ACAGTGATAACAAGCTCCTGAAGCAATCTCTAAAATTAAAATAAAACAGTTAATCTCTAAGTATTATGGATGATTATAGAAAAAAAAAAATCATTTTTGGTGTTGAAATTTTGTTTAAGTGAACCATCTTCGAAAATTTCCCAAATTTTCAAGTGGCTTCCAGGGATCATAAAGAAGCATGTACAATGTAAGATAGAGCTCAATTAATTTTTTCGGGCTGATTTTATTTTAATTTAATTTCATTGATAATATTTTATTTTGAGTTAATAAAAAAAAATAATATAGCATCATATTTGATTGAGAACCAGTAAACAATATCATTAGATACTTCTCCAAAATAAAAATTTAAATTTGTTTGCTAAAAAAGTTCCTTTTTGTAACATGTTATTTATTCTGGCATACACAATTTAGATTAGGAAGGTGGAGCCCCTTAGTTAAACCTTAAAAAAGGAATTTTTTAAAATTTCTATAGTGATATATCTCATTTTACAACATTTTTTCATCACCGCACATGTAAGGAAACAATTGAAGATTGGAGCAGACGGTAGGTGACGACTCCGAAAAGCAGTACCTTAAGAAAATACTTCCCCACCATTGAATCTCGGTTACAGGCGAAATGGGTCCTCCCGGACTATTGGGTTTCACAATTTCTTACGGGGCATGGGGGTTTCAGAGCTAAACTCCACGGCTTCGGACAGGATACAGATCCCCACTGCCCCGCTTGTGGTGTTCCGGAGACTGTTGAGCATGTGGTCACGGCCTGCACTGCTTTCGACGAATTAAGAGCGAGGTTAATGAGAACGACGGGAATTTACGTCCTCACTGAGGAGGAGTTTCCTCAGTTGGTGAGTGAAGAAAACTTTCCGCGGTTCAAAGACTTTATAAATGGCTGGAAGACGGCGGTGGGCCCAGCTCACTTCAACCTAGGTGCACGCAGAAGGAGAAGAGGACCAGTCCCAGGAAGACCTCCGGATTCGGGAAGCCAGGCCTTATTTGCTGAAGAATGAGGAAAAGTAGAAGAGCTAGCTGTGTGCACAGCTTAGAATTTTGTAAACCGATATTATGGCAGTAGTATGTTATTATGCATTAATGCTTAACATCAAAGTACTGCATACACCCGTGTTGTCCTGGTGGCATGGGAGGGTGGAAAACAAATAAAAAAAATCACCGCACATGTTTAATAATTACCACCAAAGAATGTAGTACAGTCTGTGGTAATGAAAGGGATTGATGCGCGGTAATGAGAACTTAAAGTTTGCTACCAATGCTAATTGGTTAGGCAGATGTTCAAAAAACAAAGTGCAGTTGCTAAGGCCTTTATTTGAAGACAATACCGTTAAATAACAAAATAAAATTGCAAAAGAATGATTAAAATGCGGTAATGAAACTAATAAATATTCACACTCGAGTAGCGTCTTTCCACGATGAAAGTTGAACAATAACTGTTGGAAAACAGCAGAAAAATTATATAAATTCATTCCTGAATAAGACATACTATGGTATTTTTGTTTTATAAGCTTTTTCCATAACAAAAACATTTTTCAAGTTCTTAGATAATAGTTTTTAAACTAAATTGATTTTGTTATGGATGGTGGTAATAATAATAATCGAGGACTTTAAGACTAAAGAAAAACTTGTTTATTGAAAAAAAAAATATATATATTTATAGAACATGTCCAATTAAAATAATCATGCGAGTTACATTACAATTAAGGTTTTTTTTTAGAATCACCCTTATTACTTTTTTTTGTAATTTTTTAAATGAAAATCTGTTCTTATAATGAATTCTCCAAGAGGGAGTCTGCCCATTCAATTAAAAGAATTAATTTCTAGAAATGGAATAAAATAATTTAATAGTATGTTAGATGATCAAGGTAGTGGTTAAATTATAAAAAAAAATAGAGTGCAACTACTGAGTGTTTTGGCTCACTTCACATGATTACAAAGACAAGATATGACAAATATGATAATTTTAAATTAAAATAGAATGAAATCATGCATTATTGCAGGCAAATATTGAACCTCAAAATAATGCCAACCATTTCTCATGTAGTAAATCCACAAAACTTTATTGTAGGTTAAAATACTTCAACTTCTATGGCAAGGTTTGTTTTTACTATGAATGATTTTTTTGGTTTTGGCCTTCCCAACATCATCCTAAATAATCTTGATTTCATAATTCTTTCAATAACATAACTTTGTTGACATCAATTCATAATAATAGTTTCTGCCTTAACACCAAAGAGAAATTTATTGATAATCATAAAAAAAAACCCTGAACTTTTCATAAGCACACTCAACTATTTTTCTAAACAGATCCCTTTCTCATATTCCTACATTCTCTTGTGACAAAGATATTTCTATAATTCATCATATCTTACATCTTAGTTTTAAGTTTCATTACTCTTTAAGATCTAAACAAATTTCAAATATCTCATTTCGCTTCAACTGCAGTACTTTTCCACAAAATTTACAGTATTTTTCTTTAACCTTACTACGACCAAATGCCCTGTACATGCTCTATCTCAGAAATCATTCCTTTCAATTTCGTAACACTTTTACAAAGATATAAATCGAACACACTATAGATGGAATGCCGAAGAATACTGAAAATAGACAAGTATTGACAATCATGTTCACATACGACAGAAACATTATACTGATATTGTATAAATGAGTTATATTATGTTAATTACATCGTGTTATATCATATAATCCAGAATAAGGAGAAATTTAATTTAGATGCTTTTTTATCTTTTTTATTTTAATTTAATTCTAAGCATTTTGGTAATTGTTATTTGTTCTGTGTTTAATAATCTGGATTAGTAGAGAAGATTATAATTATTATAAATCAGAAACATAAAAACCTTGTTTATTTCCTAGGAAGAAATTTAGGTTTTAATAAACTGTGAACAAACATTTCAATAAGTCAGTTTATACCAGTATTTATGTATTAACAGAAACTAAATATGGTGGAGATCGTAACTGACCTAACTTCATGTAAACATTCCTCTGTAAATATGAGAACAAATTTTACTGGTTAAAATGGCAGGTAATTAATTAACAAAAAAGAGTTGGGACTGGTCGTCTCCATCAATTTGAAGACTTATTCAGGTAGTTTTGGGACTCCACTTGCAGTACGCTCAAGGTTATCTTGAAACCAGCCACCATTGTTTTAGCATTAGTACAGTGCTTGTTTTTATTAGTAGCACACATAATACTGTAAATAATCTTTATATACTTCAAGTTACAATTCCTATAGTTTATTGCATTATATCATGTCAGCTAGATAAATGGATAATATTTAACCTCTTAAGCGATTAACACAAAATGTTGACTCAGTATCAATAAAAACAGATTCAGATTCTAAACCACCTAAGGCACAAGGTAAGTGAACATTTACACAGAGTTGCAATCTGAAAAAATAATAATAATTAAAAATAATCTTATGAGCAATGAACATACCATCAAAGAAAAAGTTATATTAATAAACATTGACTTACAATATTGTTGGTCTAGTACTAAAGTGGCTAATCTGCAAATTTTACTATTTTCGGTTTTGTATTTTCTGTTATATATTAATATTATTATACTGAATAATAAAAATAATAACACTTGTGAAGCAAACTGAATTTAACATGATAAGACTAATCTAAATATGAAATTAGGTGCTTCATAGTGGCAACCATTACTTGAAACAAAATTTCCGCAATATGAAATATCAGATACACCACTTTGGCATTGCACCTATGATATTTCTAAATTGGATTGGCAAACATGATATTACGCTAATTGAGTTTTTCCTGATCCAGGCGGACCACAAATTTGTAAAAGCGATCCAACTTGTACTCCTCCACCCAGAATTTTGTCAAGTGTTTCACTGAAAGTAGGAATCTGTTCATTCATTTGCTCGTTCTGAAATAATAACAACATGATAAAAAGTTAATAAATAAAATTAAACCAAATTAATTTATCAGGCAACTCACACGTAAAATCTGAGCGGCAGTTATAGCCCCAGGGCCATGCATATGTGTTTTAATCTCATCGAATTTAAGATTAAATGACTTCAGAATATCTAATACCTTTTGTTGATATTCTGCTGACAAAAAGATTTACCAAAATTTAGACAAAAGTAATATCTTTGAAGAAAAGTACAAAAATGTATGAGTCAAAATCAATCCTTTTTCAGGATATTTTAAGCTGGTTTTTCCATCACATTTTGCATTTTGATAGACCATTCATTATATATAAAACTGATTTATCTATTTAGTAAGTTTATGATACCTCCGACAAAAACTGTTGAAAAGAGACTATGCCAAAACTTAAAACTGGGAAATCTTGACTCATACCCTTAATATATTCTTTAAAAATTCTGGAAAAGAACAAATAATAAAGTGTATTACCTAAGTTACCATCAAAAAGTTCTTCACATTTATAATAGCCAGCTTTACCTAAAGCTGATACTATATTATCTGGAAGAGGTAATGTAAATAGTGGTCTCATTTTAGTTTTAAAGGAATTCAATATAATTTATATTCATTAAAATTTAAATGAAATTTCTGATTGTTTTTACTATATTATAATTACATCCATCATGATTTTAATAATCAAAATAGATGATTATAACAAACTCCAAATAATAATACATTAGCATGAAATAAACATTAAAAAAAGAACGATAACGCTTATAATATTATACACAAATAAGTTGATATTTTATTTAAATTTCACTTAATGATTTCAATAAACAATAATTAGATTTCAAAAGTGACGATACTTTTCCTCCAAAACTTTCCGACCAATTAGATAAGGCTTTATGACGTTTTATATGATAAGACTTAAATAAGTTTATAATAAAAATATTCAAAAATAATATTTTGATCGATTTAACAATTTGATTTTTCAATGCATCGGAGGATTTATCATTAGACTGAAAAGCTGGGATGGCAGTATCAAGTACTAGGTTGCCTCAATCTGTGCCATTGACCATTGTTTAATGGCGAGTATTTAATAGCAAGTTGTTTGTGATCATTTTCGGAAGTTTATTCTACAGTAAATGACTATAATGGCTGATACTACTGTCGATGCAACTCGTCGTTTAAACGTAAAGAAACAAACCTTGGACGACGCATACGCAGCCCCTGCAAATTTTTTGGAAATTGATGTCATAAATCCTATAACCCATGGAGTTGCTAAGAAAAGATACACCGATTATGAAGTTAGAATGAGAGTGAGTGTTAATCAAGTTCATTTAATTTTGGTTAAATGGTTTACTTGAATACATTTCATTACTTTCTAGTATTTTCAGAAAGCTAATTACGTATATTAAAAAAAAATGTTGATAATTGTTTTATTAAATTAGCTAAGATTAGTTTATAATCAAATATATATGTATGGATTGCTATCTATCTTTTCAAACATCAGAAGTTTTCATATTCATTCTAATTCCTATGTTCTATAAATACAATTGTTTCTCAACATTGATCTACCTTTCAGAATAGTTTAATTAAAGTTCATACAAAATTATGTCTTAACTCCTTAGTGAATAATAAGTTGCTCCCTTTTACAAATCATATTAAGAATTTAGCAACACAAAGAAAAAAAACTATATTTCTTGAGTACTGATAAGAAATAACTTTGTTCTATATGTTCCACTTGTTCCACCTTCCCAAGTTTTTCTATAAATCTAGAGAAATTGTTTAAATTATTGCATGTGGTTATTATAGCTGATTCATGTTTTACCTTTTAACTGGAGGAATTATTTAATTCACAAACTATTTTACCTTGAATTCGAACTTAATTATATATGTATAATTTTTTTTTTTTTTTCTTTAGACAAATCTACCGGTGTTTAAAGTTAAAGAATCAAGTGTTCGAAGAAGGTATAGTGATTTTGAATGGCTTAGGAATGAATTAGAAAGAGATAGCAAGGTAACTACTTATTATATGTTTCATTAATTACTGATTAGTTCTTTCAATTCAAAACATTGTTATTATTTCATAATTTTGAACTTTATTCTGTTAAAAGCTTATTTTAAAATTTACTTTTTAATTATAGTTGTAATAAAAGTGATCATTTTTTAAAGATTTATGTACATAATTTTTAATAATTACGTAAATTCTAAATAGATGATAATAAATGTTCTAAAAGTCATATTTTTTAATTATAAATAAATTTATGAAGAAACTGTGAGTTGGTCTTACTTTATATCATGAACCACAATAACTTTATCATAAGTTTAAAGCTTAAAGTGTTATTTCTCAATATTGAAAAAAAAAAACATTCATTAAATTTTTTTTATGTACAAATAATCGTTATTAATAGGACTTCTTTTCATCACTGGATCTAGTAATTCCCTATTATTGATTATTTGTCTATTTTTATATAAGTAATTGTATTACATATTTTTTTGATCCTTTTCTTTTTTTATGTTAGTAGCAGTCCTTTTTAATTTTACAGTTACAGTTTTAAAAAAATGTGTTTAACGTATTTGTGTGTGTGAATACGTGTGAAAATTTTTGCTGCATAGAAATTCTTGTTTTATATTTAAATATTTTTTTTAAACATATGTATTCATTGGGTACAATATTAAAGAATATTCCATGGATGAGTAAAACGTGTTTATAACATGAAATACATTTATTATAATTGAATAATTAGGCATCTATTGTCAGTTTATTTCGAAAAATCATCATGTACCATTTTAGTAAAATAAATGATTGAATTATTGGATGAATTTTCACTCTGTAAAAATGCAACAATATATCCACTTCCAATTAGTATGATAACTGTTGACCTATTGATGGTAGACAATGAAAATCTCTTTACTCCATTTTAGTAAACTTTACAATGGAAAAATAAGAGTTTATTAATAGTAGTATAATCCATAGTCATTTGTAGATCAAATATACAAATTTACTTTCATATCTCTCTTGGCATATACAGGATGTCCCATAAGTTGAGGAAAATATTTATACAAGGGAAGCCAGACCTCAATCGCCACGAAAATGTTCATTTAAACAATAGTATTCATGTTCATGTTCATTCTATCTGCTTTATTTTACTTGAAGTTTTTTCTACCTAAAATTATTAGTCTATACCTTTCATCTTTCTTAATCTTAAATCTGTATTATTGTACCTATTGTTATCTGTTTCTTTTTCCTGCCCTGATGAAAGCCTGAACTTCAGGCCGAAATGTCGGCGAATGTAAAAATAAATAAAATTATTTATTTTCACCATTTTAATTTAACTGATCACCCCAACAATCCTTCTCTTCAATTATTCACTATATTCAACCATAAATTCACAATTATAAATACATATATTTTAAATTTATGAATAAAATAAGAATTTAAATGCAGTGAAAGCTTTCAGATTTGTCCAAATTATATAACAACTTATTTATTTATTTTATTTTGAATGCAGCGCTTTCTTTTTGAGTACCATTTCAAGTCATTTGGGGAATAATAGAGTATTTTCTCCCAACTATCCAACAATTTAGCTCTAAGATATTTTACTGATGTTATGTTTTCATTTCTGAACTTCACCCATTCAGCCAACAATTTAGTTTTAAGTTATTTTACTACTGTTATATTTTCATTTCTCAATCCAAACCCATGTTCGATTCTTAATCAAACTTAAGTTGCTTTTTATGTTTTTATTTATGTTTAGAGATTGAAAAATGGTTTCTTTTGACAATACAGTCTTTGAAGCCAGTTGATAAGAGTCTCCTGATGAAGGGGGACGTAAATTAAGTTTTTTAGTAATGAAGATAATTTATAGTTGTTAATATCATGTGATATCTACTCTTATTGAACAATCACCTGTATTCTCTTCAGAATGCTGTTTTAAATCGGAAATCCTTTGATGTTCAAAGTGAAGTGAACTCTCTCTTCTACAGAGGGGTGTGTATTTATATAGTCTGTAATCACATTTGCAACGTGTGGCAGATCATTGTTGTTTATAAAAATGAAATCAATGCCAATTGGAAAGATTGAATGGCACTACATTTTCTTCTAGGATGCCAAATTTGTACTTATTTGTTGTAAAACTCCCTCTTCAGGACAAATGGATATCGTCCTTGGCCTCTGAAGTGATCCCACTCCAAGCTATTATTGGCCCATTCCCGTAATGTAACCTTGATTTTACACTGTACAGAATGCCCTCCTTGCTTGGAGAGCTCCCATAAACCAAATAATTTGAAATGAATAATGAAAATCAGGACAGGACTGGTATGAAAACATTACTCATGCCCTGCCCAGTTGTTTTCTGTCTAATCTGTTCTTGATCTGAGATGATCAATGGCTGGGCTATAAACTCCGATAAATGGGGATCTTGATTGTAGGTTAACTTCAGCAAGCTGCCACTGCACTGCATACAATACCGATGTTCACATTTCTGGCAATCTCAATCCATTATGCAGTTTCTGCTGCTGTCTGGAAATGATTTTTATTGTATAACGGAACTGTCAGGTCTCGTCAAGTTAACAGTCTCTCTGGATTCCTTCTGAATGGTAGATTTTAGTAGCCCTAATATTCTGACACAAAATTATAGCAGAGTTGCCAGTTTTTAATCAGCTGCACCCTGAGGAGAATGCAGATAATTGTACTTGCAAGATGAGGTATCCCAAGATATTAGCAAAATTAATTGTCTATGTTTATTAAAACTTTTATTATATGTATATACAGGTGTTTCGTAATTTCACGGCATTACGATATTTTAGGTTAAGAGATAAGGGCTAAAAGATATTATAATATCTTAATTTTAATAAGATATTTTAGGTACTAATGTCTTTAATTGTGACATAGTACAATACAATCAAATAAAGAAATGAAAAAATATCTTAATCTGTAAAAAAGTTAATAATAAAAAAATCGGCATTTGTTAAATATTTGGGCAGGTCGAAACCTCTCTTGTTATCTAATCCCTTCTTATCTCGTCTAACTTAAGTTATTCCATTGTTTATTTTTTGTTCCTCGTGTAAGCTGTGCGTTAGTGTTATTTTCGTGAAATTATAGATGTTGTTACATTGTTCGAATTGCCGTTTTCAGAAGAAGAGGCTATCAAATATTTTCGAGACGCCGGGATAATTGCAAAGGTGAAATATTGTGATGAAGGTCATGAAATGAAGTTGGATGGGAAGACGAAATGGAAATCCTTTCGTACTTGTAACAAAAACATTTCTATAAGGAAAAGAACGTGGTTAGAGGGGTCTTATTTCTTTTATATGATATGTTCTTTATAGTTTTCATAGTGTTTCTTTTATATGTATATATGTTGTTTAAGTGGTTTTTTATTATTTCATTTATATTTATCTATTTTTTGCCTATTTTTATTATTTCATTTATTTTTATATATATTTCGCAATGTTTTTACATTCTATATATATATATATATATTATATATATATATATATATATATATATATATATATATATATATATATATATATATATATATATATTATATATATATATATATATATATATATATATATATATATATATATAATGTTTTGTGGTCTATTTTATATATATCTTGTAAAATAAAAGTATTTTTTTATTATTACATTGGTTTTTGTTTTTGTTTACAATTTCAATAATGTGAATATAATACAATAAGTATGATTACAAAGATATTATCAATGCCTTATCAGAATTATCAGTGTTAAGGTTATAAACATTGGCATAAAGTAGTCTGACCCAACCGGCCCGTAATATTTAGCAAGTATTAAAAAATATAGTATATTTAATTATTTTTCACAAGTCTTGAGTTTTTGTTTTTCTCTAAAGATATTTCCCATTTTTCAATAGGTTCCCAGATTTTATTCTTAAAATATAGACTACTTGGCACATAAAGAAAAAAAAAATTAAATTATTTGCATTAGAGTGAAAAAACAACAAAATATCATAACTATCTTTTTTTTGCAGTTTAATTTATGTATTTAAATATTTCCCTTCCACATTATTTTATCATTTTAATGAATTCTACTTCATTTCTATTGAATTTATTATTATTTTCCTTTAGATCGTTGTACCTCAATTACCTGGTAAGGCTTGGAAACGACAAATGCCATTCAGAGGAGATGATGGTATATTCGAAGAGGAATTTATTGAAGAGAGGCGGAAAGGTTTAGAAGTGTTTGTAAACAAGTAAGGTTTTTATTGTTGTCTTAAATCATACTTAAAACATTTATTTTTACGACTATTTATTCTTAAGCATAATAAATAATAATCTGTAAAGATTTTTATTTGTTATATGTTAATAATAATAATACTTAGCGAATTTGAAGGTTCGATGCCGATACCACTAATCGATGTTTAAATTCTTCCATCCAACGGACGCCATCCAAACCCAACCTCTCGAGATCAGCTTTAATGCAATCTTCCCACCCTCATTTCGGTCTACCCCTTGGATGTTTGCCAGCCGCCACACCCAATAACATTTAAAAATATTAAATTTGTAGGAATTCTTTTGTTACTAAGCCCAGCGATTTCACATGTCCATTTTAAGTTCTTTCCCTTTTCTTTATTTGTTGTTTAAGGTTGATTTAGAAGTAGAAAAATAACTTTATTCTGGGATTCAGTACCTTAGGAATAACATAGAGTTACAGAAAAAAGTAATTTTTTTTTGTTCTGTTTTGGCTTTAAGACTTGTTAAAGCAAGTCCTATTTTGCCAGTAAAATATTTTAATTGTCATAGTAAGATAAAATTACACTGGATATTTATTGATTATTTATAAATAAATGATCACTGAATGTAACTTATATAGAACTTAAAGTAGAAAGACTAATAGTTAAAAACTGAGGTGACAGTAGTTTCATAACAATTAAATGAGAATAAGAAGTGACTTTTATTATATAACTGCTTTTATGTCATTCAAAAACTTTATCAAGTCACGGGCGTTATCTTTATTCTTCGACCGAAGAAAATTAGTAGCTCCATCATCGGTAGTTTGCGATCCTAAACTAATTCTTCTTCGCTTCTCAAATCTTTTGCACTTGAAGGCAATGTGTCTTGGATCCTCCAAGCATTGGCATGTTGGGCAGTGACCACTTTTAGCTATACCCATTAGATGTAGATATTTATTAGTTCTACCGTGATTTATCCTAAGGCTGGTCAGCTTTACTAAGCTGGAGCAGTAGAGATGAGATTTAAGAATCACAAACCAAGGAACTAGTGATATCTTCTGTTGAACTGCATGATGGTCCTTACCCTTCGAGGAACATTCCCAGTCGTAGAAATGCTGCCAGTCTTTCATTTTTATTCTTATTAAATCCAGTAAAGGAACCTTAGCATTTATTCGATGTAGTTGGTTTTGATTTGCCGTTTTGTCTGCCATTTCATTTCCTGATATTCCTGTGTCACGGCACCCACTGGAAAAAGTAATTGTTGCTGGCGTTGTATATTAGTCATATGATTTTAAAGGAAATGTGTGTCAGTGCTTTATTTTGATAGATTAATTTTAGGTGTTTAGATGCAGTTGCTGAGTCTGTCAGAATAACTATTTTTTGGTTGATGTACGTGTTTTCGCTGTATATTATGGTGTTAAGAATGGCATATAGTTCGGCGCTGAAAATACTGAAATCAACTGGTATTGATAATGAAAAATTCTGGTTCTTTTGGGGATCATACATAGCTACAGACGTTCGGTTACTTGTTTTTGATGCGTCTCTATAAACTTGTAGATAATTCGGGTAACATGCCGTGATTGTGTCCAGTACTAATGGTTTCAAATAAATTGATGGGTATGAACTTCTTCTCTACTTTACCAGCTAGATTAGAGGAGCTTTGAATATTAATTAGAGGTTTGGAAAAATGGGCGTTGTGTATTCCAGAGCTTCCGAAATGTGTAGTGATTTCATAAGAGGTTGTAATTCTTTAATAATGACGGATAGTTGGGGACAGAACACGTTTCCACTTCTAATTTCTTTACCTACAGGATAATTATTGTCGGAATACACTTTGAGAATGTATTTTTTTGTTATCCATGACCTTCTGATGTGTAATGGCATCTCTCCGGCTGAGGCCTGAAGCGTGTTTACTGGAGAAGTTTTAAAAGCACCCAAACATAACCTTATTGTAAAAAAGTAGTTAAATTTGACCAGAAAAACTGTTATATTAAATAAATAGATAGATAAAAAATCTTAAGTGAACAAACTAATGAAACTATTTACAAACTATATACAATAAAAATACGAAATGAAACAAAATAATCACTGCTAGAATAAAAAGACAAAGAAAAATAATAAAAAATATAAAAAAGAAAACAGTAAATACAAAATAAATGAGTACCAATTCTCCAATAAATAAAAGAATATTACAACTGTTATTATTTATTTTTTGTTATGATATTGTATATATTTCACTCCTTCTTTTTCTTGAATACACGGTTTTATGTATATATGTGTGTGTATATATAATGTTCTGATTTTGTTAAAATTGTGAATTAAATTAAAACATGAATAAGAGAATATGATTAAGTGAGCGGCATGAGACTCAAAATTTATTAAGTTTATATATATATATATATATATATATATATATATATATATATATATATATATATTTTTTTTTACTTTCATTTACCTATATATGTAGTATATTGTGATCTTGAAAATTTTTGAATCTGAGTTTTCAACGGAAATACACGTTTTGATGTATCCTGAGTCCAAATAACCAAGCCCCAAAAAATGGTCTGTGTATATGTGAACACTGTAGCTCAAAACGAAAAGTCGTACGAAACTGATATTACATATTTAAGATAGGTATATGCATTAGATGTCCTAGCAACTTTTCCCTTAAAATCGGCTAACCGTAAGTGCCACTTTATATCAATGCTTTTTTAGGCACCTGAACCACTACTTACATGACAAAATATTCAATGAACAAAGGGAATTAGAAAATGCTCTTTTGGAGTTTATCAATTATAAATATGGGAAATTCTATTCAAAGGGAATGGAAAAGTTGCCAACACTGGCAGAGATATATTGATATTAGTGGAGACTATTTTGATTAAATAAAACAGTTGTAAATCTTTTCTCTTTTATGTGACCCAATAGATCACACAAATATTAAGATTTCACATTATGGAGTGAATAAAGTATAAAATATAGAAATATTTCATTTCTATTTATCCTTATAACAATGTAATTGGAAATAAACAATTTTATAAATAATTAGTTTGTAGTTTTATGGCAATTATGTATGGTAGGTCATAGATCTGAATAAAAATTAGCAAAATAAACACAAATCAGAATAGCATCCTTGAATACCTGAAACAAGATACCTATACTGGAATAAAATTCAACCTTATTATTGGTAAACCATACCGATGTAGATGGAAAATTTATTGTGAGTCAGAAATATGTATATCTAATAAATAAATAAATTATATAAAATAAATAAAATTATTAATTCAAAATATACGTATGTGAAATGAAAAACCTTGTTGAAAAAATAAAAGCAGGACCCTCGTAGTTTTTAAATAACTCCTATAAAGGAAGTCCTAAGGGGGGACCAAAATTCTGATAATACATTTGGATTTACCTTAAAAATCAAAATACAAAATTTATTCTGGAAAATTCTGTCAAACTACTATTAATTAAAAATATTTGTTTATTTCCAATTATAACCTAACATTTTTTTTTTTACTTTTGATTAAAATTTATATAAAATTAACAATGTTATTAATTTAATTTCTAGCTAAACATTTGTTTTTACAAATCATTTTATATGTTTACAGAATAGCAGGTCACCCTCTTGCCCAAAATGAGCGTTGCTTACATATGTTCCTTCAAGAGCCAGTAATTGACAAAAACTATGTTCCCGGAAAAATACGTAACACGTAATCTGATATATTATGATATATATTTATATATAAAGTTACGTAAACATCAAGGAGTGTATGAATTATAGTGGCATTTAAATTTTTTAAAAATTACTGGTCCACTATAAGGGAGTACTTTGTAATAGTAACTGCTCTCATTTCTCATTCCAATATACTTAAAGGCTACTTTTTTATACTAGCAGTATAAATTTAAGTATAATTATGTGATTGATATTCTTGTTATTCAGAGATTTTATGTATTTAAAATATTATTTAAAGTGTAATAAATATTATTTATATTATTTAGTGAATGATAATGAAAATAATGTATTGATTGTTACCTAAATTAAAATGCATATTTAATCGTATTTTTATATTATGGTCCATACAATGTCAGTTCTTTTCTTTTTCAAATTCTATGAGAATTGTATCCAAAGATATTTGTCAGTATGTGATACAGATCACACAATGTCTTTATATTTATGAATGCTTTATATTTTGAAACTAATATTTATTTAGTTAAAAAAAAAAAAGTTAGTGATAATGTTTATATATCCCACATGTACATGTATGTATGTATGTATAAGATATTTGAAGATTTCAAATCACTGAAGCTTAGTTAAATGTAAATATTTATATTTTATTTTCATTATAATACAATTATTATTTCACCGCTAATTTTTTATTTGAACCAGAATACCTTAATTTATTAATAATATTCTAATGATATTACATTGTGATTCTAGTAACATATAATAAAAGAATGAAATATACAATAAAAAAAAATCTTGATTTCAAAATACATAACGATAACTTCAAGAGTAGTATTTATTTTTTATTGGTTTTATTGCTGTTATATGAAATAAACTAGCGAACCATGTTTTATTCATTTTTAAAGATCTGAAGGAAGATACAACAAATTATATATTTTATTTTAACTTGATAATTGCTTAATACTTGATGAAAGACATAAAATTCATTCTCTAAAACTCTTGTCATTTTTATCTTAAGGAATTTCAAAATATTGGTTTGAAAAAAGTCATCAATGGAGTTGCTTAGGTACCACAATTAATAGAATTTTAAATTTAAAGCATTTTATCTTTTATTTATTTTGCATCAGTCCTGTAACCTTTTCATGAAAAGGAGTTTGGTAAGTTGCATCAAATGGGGGTAGAAGGTTTCTTTTTTTTTTTCTTTCTTCTTTTTCTTTTAAAAAATGTATAATTATTTCTATGCACCACTTTTAGGCATCCTGAAGTACCACTCCTTTCCAATTTTCAGAATCCGAAAGTACCAACTTCTGGCAGGCTTCAGAATAAAAAAACTTCTTTGAAATTAAGTAGAAGTGTTTACTACGTAGGTACACAAAGACAGAATTAAACATAACTAGGAACTGTAACAACTTTGATATGTACAGGATTGCATCCTTAGTTGATTTTATTAGAATGTCCCTAATTGTTCTTACTATTGATTGCCAAAGAATTCTATAAATATAGTCCAAAGACTTTTAATACGTTTTTAAAATATCTGGACAGATATGCTTATGAAAAACACGTTAGAACAGTTGTTCTAGGATTTTGTAGTTATCAATTAGTCCGGACATTTATGTTTCCACGCAGCCACTTTATTTATTCTTCCTTCCTAGAATAAATGCAGATATATCTGATGATTGTAGAATATGTATTGCTTTGGATTGAAGTGCAATTAATTCTTATTTTCTTTACAGTTCAAACCATTGATATGGTAATTCATGTGACTGCTAAGCCCTTAGATCCAGGAAAAGAATGAAGGTTTAGCTATATATTAAAAATAATTTTCATCTGCCCTGTTTCTGAATGACTAGTGCCAATTTTTTTTAGGGACCAGTATTATAATTTCTTTGGGATAGAATAAATAGTTATTAATCAGCAATGTACCACTGTTCTGTTATAATCATAACCTTGCCATAGGAGGCACTCTTTCTCCACACAGAAATTGCCAAGAGGTAACTTAGGTGTCGCCAGATATAAATACAAATAAAAAATGAAATGAAAATCAAATCGAGCATCTGTGCATCAAGCGAATCTCGAAGAAGTCGCTGCTGGGTGTCCAAAACAGGTGAAGAGCCGATATGTCTAGTGACCACCATCTAATTACAGCAGTTATCCAGTTTAAAATATCAACAAAAGATGAACCATTCGGATGTGTACAGAAAAGATGAGGTACAGGTAAACTTAATGACAACAGAATTAAATCGCAGTACACTCTGGAGCTGTCTAACTGATTTAACACTCTGATTCCTTACAATAATGAAGACCATAATGATGCCTTATGGTCTTAAATGCCTTTCTCCGAAGTTTTATTCTGAAGGCTTTCTTTATGAATGACAATTAAACATCAATGAGAATATCTCTACCATTTATTCACTCTTTTAATTTGCAGAGAATTCGATCTGGTTTGTGTGAGAATGAAACCGTTAGAAAAAGGTGTCTTTTATGTTCTGGAGAATATGGAGAGCCGCATAAATGTGTTTCCAGCGTTCTACTTCCAAAATTTCACAGCCTAAAGTTCAGCGAAAAACATTTTTAACCAGCAATAGTCCGGATAATCAGAAATATAAGTTAGAATGCCCAGTCTGTAAATCAAGGACTAAAATTATAAACTGCTCTCAGTTTCTGGATGCCGATGTTAACGGCCGTTATGATCTACTAAAGAAGTCTGATTTATGCTTTTCGTGTACGGGACCTCATGGCTTGACTAAATTCCAAAGTAAAGGCTGTTGCCAAATTGTGGCAAAAAGAGTCACCATACGATGCTACATAAGGTTGCAAACACTGAGCACTCCCAGTCTCAAGTAACAAACAATTCTCGTGCAGTTTCGTAACATTCTACTACCAACTCCCAGATACTTCTGGGTACTGCCTTGGGTAGAATTTGTTCGAGTACAGGTCAGTGGTATTCATGCAGAATGGTGATAGATCCAGGTTCCCAAATTAATTTAATTACCGCTGATCTAATGAAAAAGTTACCCCTTCCGGGTTAGTCCTCTTGCCGTGTCTGGAGTAGGTAATACCTCCATATCTTCATTTTCAGCTGAGGTTAAAGTGAAATTTAGTTCGATGAGAAACAACAATATATACGAATTTTCAGCCAGAGTATTGCCTTGCATCAGTAGAAGTTTGTCCTCTTTTGCCGTGTTCCAAGAAGTACAGAATAGATTAGCTTCGATTGAACTTGCATTGAACCTCAATTTCATACACCGGGTAAAGTTGATCTTCTAGGTGCTGAGATGTACGGCAAGGTTTTAAGTGACCCTGTTCTATTTCTAAAAAGTCAACCGAAAGCTATCAATACCTCATTAGGATAGGTATTATTTGGAAGCACCCTTTCAGAATACCCCACACCTTCAGTATGCACTCTTTTCAGGCAGAACAGCCTTCCCTTACAGGAGGAATTAAAGCGATTTTGGGAGACTAAGGAAGTCCCAGTTTCTATTCCGCCGAATCTGGACGATGGATTTTTCGAAAACCACTTAAAAAAATACATGCACTCCTGATCTCCAGAGTAGATTTGTGGTTTCGCTTCCGTTTCGTTCTAACCAGCCGATTAGCCTTGATTCTACTAGAGAGATCCGGAGAATAAGTCTGCCTATGCTGCACTGATGGACGAATATATAAGAATGGATCATGTCCGTCTCGCCAAGAATTCTCCATTATGGATTCTCATGTCATGACCCAATATGGAGTCATTAAAGATTCTTCCAGGACAAAACATAGACTCGTATTTAACGGTTCGGAGAAGATGGTGGTAGGGAACTCACTGAATGATTTACTTTTGACCGGTCTGCAGCTCCAGATTGATATTGTGGAATTTATAGACCATTTTAGATGCTTTCCTGTGACCTTAGCATGCGGTATAAAAATGATGTTTAGGTGTATCCGTATTACCGAAAGTGAATCTTCACAGTCGATCCAGGAGTATGAGTTGGTTGCCAGTACCAGTTACAACAAAACTTTCAATATAAATGGATATATCAGTCCTTTAATCTATTCGGTTAAATGTACATCGTTATTGGCTGCTTAAGGTTGGTTGGGATAATGAGTTGCTCTCTAGTGTGTCTTCACTGTGATTTTGAGAAATGTTTGCCTACCTTGTTGTATTATCAGCCAGAACGCATCATCCCTGCAGATAATTTCCTTTTCAGACGCTTCCGAGAAAGGTTATGGGTGTATGATCTACTTAAGACTTGGGTGCCTAGGAGAAGCAATCAAAATTCATTTGTTATGGGCCACAAATTAAGATGGCCCCACTGAAATTTCAATCAGTGCCTCGTTTGGAGTTAAATGCTGCTCTTCTTGCCTCCGGACTACTTGCGTGTATTGGTAAAATTAAAAGTCGTTTGCGAATTAATTAAGTATATTGTTTTTCGGATTCTCATAACGTACTCTATTGGTTACAGACACCGCCTCATGAACTTAAGATTTATGTTGCCAATCGTGTAGTCCAGATTTTAGAAGTAACAGAACCCAGTTGGCACAATATTCCTACAAAACAGAATTCGAGCCGATTGTTCATCAAGAGGTCTCACACCACACCATATATTTTCACATGAGCTTTATTGGAACTCCCTGGTATTTATTTTTGTCACAACCTCTTGACTGGCCTATTTAACTTATTGTACATCCATCCGTTCTTCCTGAAGTAAAAACAATATCTCTGTCAGCTGCTGAAAAATCTAATGATTTGTTGATTTGTCTGGAAAAATATTCGAGCCTTTTAAAGCTGCAAAGGTTTTTTCTTTTATTTTAAAATTTACTAAGCATTGCCGAAATCGGGAGCACTGTGTTTTGACGGTTGGAGCCTTGACCGCTGACGAGCTTAAAGATTTATTGATAGTTTATGTCAGGCTTGTTCAGAGAAATTTCTTCACTGAGTTAATTGATTGCTTTAACAGTGGCAAACCATTTGACGGTTTCTTAAACAGGCTCATATAATTTTCGGATAAGGACGGAGCTCTCAGGGTGAGAGATAGTTTGAAGTATTTGACAATTTATGAGAAAAGTAGGCACCCGCTGCTGATCTCAAAAGATTCACATTTAGCAGTCCTTTTATGTGACTATTATCACAGGTATTCCTTGCATGGTGGGGCCTTGTTGGTCCAGTCGCTCATTCATCCAATTTTAGATCCCTTCTCTGAGAACCCGTTAGACGCCAGATTTATAAATGCGTTATATGAATAAAAACTAATGCGAAGCCACAGGCTCCGAAAATAAGTGACTTACCATCTTTCAGGATGACCGAGGGTCGATCCTTTTAGCGAGTTGGAATAGAGTATGGCGGTCCCTTCGTTATGAAGATTTCCAGAAAACGCAATGCTCCTAAGTCGAAATGTTGGTTAGCTCTGTTCGTATCCATGTCTACCAAGGTCATCCATCTAGAACTTGTGACGAACCTATCCACTCCTTCATTTATTGCCACATTTGACAGATTTATTGCCAGGCGTGGTTTGTCTTCGTATATTTATAGTGACTAGAACAAATTTCGTTGCAGCATCCAAGAAGTTGAAGGAGCTTTATCAAATTGTTAAGAGCTAGAGCGAACCCATTTCTAACCATTTAAGTAGGATGTTTATAAAGTGGAACTTTACACCTCCAGCATCTCCTCATTTCGGTGGTATTTGAGAGGCAGCTATTGAATCCGCTGAGAGGCACCTTCTTGCCGTTCTCCAGGATCATACGTTAACATATAAGGAATTTTATACTCTAGTGGTACGAGTTGAAGCCAACTATCGTCCTATCTGTAATATTAGCAGTCAGCCTTCGGATAACCTTGATTACTTCACCACACGTCACTTTCTTATAGGTCAACCCCTCCTAGCCAGACCAGAAGAAGAAGAGGCGCCTGTTTTTCTTTGACAAGCCGCAGGGAGATGATTTCCAAGACTCTTCGTAAGTTTTGGAAGAGATGGTGTAATCAGTACCTCCACAATATGGTACTTCACAACAGCTAGTATGGTGACAGAGAAAATTTAAAAGAGGGAACTCTTGATATTCTACATGGAAAAGATTTTCCACTGTAAGAATGGCGGCTTGCCAGGATAATAGAGACACTTCCAGGATCTGATGGTGTAGTTAAGGTGGTAAAATTGAGGACTGCTACAGCCACTTTGGTGTGACCTGTGCACAAGTTAGTGTCTCTCTTATCTGGTGAAACCTTTTATTGATACGTATATTTTTTTTCTTTTCTTAAATTTAATGAAGAGCCATTTTTATTTAAAATAAATTGTAATTTATTAGTCTATCTTTGATCTGGCTCGCTTTTATATCTCAGTTTTCAAAAATATATTTCGGATAATTTTTCTCTTTGTCACGGTGGGTTATATGTTTTGTGCGATTTATATTGTACCCGAGCGCCGTTGCTATGAGTGGTGAAAACAGATCTGATAAGATACAAAAGACAAGAGATAATTCGCTCCAACTACGAGACACTCAGCCGATTCCAAACCAGAACTTCCTATAGAGAACACCCAAGACCAGACTGGAGAGGGCCCTCTCAGTTAAGTAAGATATCTATGCAACCCAAGCATAAAAGGGTAAGTTTTATTTTACACAATTCATATAATCTACAACTTTCAATCAAAATACAGTCCACGGCCATAATAAGCCGAATGTTTCCTATGTTGAATTTATTAAAGTTATTTGCCATTTTTAATTAATTTGGAAAGTTGCCTAAACAAACACAATCCCATCCAGATTAAACTGGCCGTTTAAGCAGAGATGAGCATTTGGCACCGAGTACGCCTCTGCGTTTTGACTTCTTATTTGTTTTCGGAGCCGTACTTTTTGGAAGTGATGTCCATTTTTAGATTGCACCACTATGTTTTGTTTTATTTGAGTTTTTCGGTTTTCTTTCATATAAGGGTATATTTATATAGTTTTGGAGCCACTTGATTATGATTACGCCACTGCGTTTCAACTTATTTGAACTTTTTAGATTTTTTCCATGTAAGGGTCTAATTATATTTTCAGACCTGTAGATTTTGGAAATGATTTCCCTTTTAAGACTATGCAACTGAGTTTCGTACAAAAGTGCAGGAAAAAGAAAGAAAAAAATCAAGAAATATTAGATGAAAGCCTTTAACGGCCAGTTTAACCTATATGGAATAGTGTTCATGAATCCCTGCAACGAATTTAAAATGTAAAAGATAATTTTTTTTTGTTTTCAGCATATACGAGATCACAAATTATCACGAATGGTGGCACTATCAAATGATCTTCTGATCATTACCTTGTTTATGATAAATATAATGATCTAACTGCATTAAATTAATACTCGAAAAACACAAATACGTCGAGACGAGGCGGTACAATGGACACCATTTTCGAAAACTACGGCTTCGAAAACATATCAATAAACCCTTGTACGAAGGAAATCCGAAAAACTCAAATAAGTAGAAACGCAGTGGCTTAATCTCAAAATGGAGATTATTTAAAAAAATTACTACTCCGAAAACATATAAATAGACCCTTATATGGAAAAAAAAAACCGAAAAGCTTGAATAAATCGAAACGCAGTGGCGTAATCATAAAATGGATTCCATTTTCGAATACTACGGCTCTGAAAACTGATAAATAGATCCTCATCTGAAGGAAAACCAAATACTCAAATAAGTCAAAACGCAGTGGCGTAAGCTCAAAATGGACATCATTTCCAAAAACTACAGCTCCGAAAACATATAAATAGACCTTTATATGAAAGGAAGCCTATATTTAATAATATTTATGTAATTAGAACAATGGCACATCTATTATTATTATTCATATATTTAACTATAGTCATATGATATTTAAAACTATGACTGTTAATAGGCTGTGAGTAAAGTACTCGAAGTGGCGCAGGTCAGCCATTTTGAGTAAAATACTCAAAGTTGGGCAAGTTGAATATCTGAATACCGTAATCAGAATTGGGATGTCAATAGTTGACTAAAATACTAGGGACTCAGTACTCACTTTGGCATTTGCCCGTTTCTAATAGCCGATTTCCTCCCTTTAACTAAGAATGCCCACTTTATAGAGACTGAATGTGCCCCAGGAGCGTCCCCGACCACAGGGTCGATCCACTGCTGTCACAGAATAAATAATTACTTGGCCATTCGAATAAATAATACCCAATTTGAATCCAGGACCTTGACCTTAGGAAGCCACTACCTTACACACTGAGCTACTCCGCTCCTATAACCGTGATATGAGAATTATTAAACATTTTCTTTCGATTGGAGCCAATCGCTGGAAGTGTGAGGGGGGCGTTTACGTCAGGAAAATGAGCTAAACAGTTGTATTTATTTTAATAATTAATTAATTTTTATTTGACTATGTATGAAATAATTTCCTTATATTGAAAACTGTAACAAAAACTATATCTCCACCCTTAGATTTCAAATCAATTCACTCTTCTTAATTATGTCCTGTTGACAGGTATTTAGAATGCAATGATATAATAATTTTCCATTTCGACTATACTTAAAAAATAAAATCTAGAAGACATAATCTTCCATATTTTTAATCAACACGTTTTATAAAATATATACAATGCTTTAAATTATTAGATTCGAATATAAATATCTAACAATCTTTAGGTGCGTTTAGACACGGGCGGATCTACGGGGAGGGCTTTCGGACTGAAGCCCCCCCTCAAAATGGAAAAATATAACCGTGTTTTATCGAACAAAATATTAAAAAAGTATGTCTTAAAGTGTTATTGTTAGTGCGATTAATATTAAAAGGGCTTTAGGAATCACTTAAACACCATTTCATACAGATAGTTAGTTTCTTTCTTTTTTTCCAAAGTAATTATCGTTATTTTTATGAAAAAAAAGCTTTCGGGCTGAAGCCCCCCCAAAATTAAATCCTGTATCCGCTAGTGCGTTTAGACATTTCAAAAACTATGGGAAATACAATTATCTAATTTAACCAACAGCGAAATTATTGCTAAACCAAACTATTTATTTTATTTCTCGTGGTACCGGATAGAGATGGAAAATATCAAAAACAAGAAACAAAAATACTAGCATAGTGAAATAATCATTTATATATTTGTTTTTCCCGCAGTTTGTTAAATGTCTAAAATGCATACATAAGCCCGCCTAAAATGCCCGCTATGCAAGAATTATAATTTAATTAGGGGGCCAATGCTGTTTGTTGGTACTTTTCTTTTTCGGTTAGATTTAGTGCATAATGCATATTAAAAAGGTAAGAATTGCCTGTATGAACTAAACCATAAAACTGATTCTCTTGAATTTAAAGTTATTTATTTCTCTATTTTAATTTAGTAATGATTCATTGCTGTTTTCAAATCTGGTTGTTGACTAATTCATTTCAGGTAATAATCAACAACTTCAAAAGTTTTCATGGTTTTAACATAATTGAAGAAATTTTACCCTGCCACAATGTAATTGGTAAGCTTTATAATTTCTGAATTCTTATTTTATTAATTTCATAATTATTTTTGCAGTCTATGTTGATAAATATTACAGAATGAATTCATACTTTAATGCTCTCAGTAGACTTATAATGATATATATGTAACATACTATAGATTCTGTTTAAATTTTAAAAAGAGTAAAATTGTTTTATATATTATATGAAGCAATAGCAAATTTTTTTCCCCCGTATAACTTCATTTGCACTAGTTTATGATATGCAATTTATTAATTTCAATCAGTTTGATATTTGAATCAGACAGAAAGCTATTTGCTTAGTTTTTATTATTAATTATATAGTTTTTCTGTTATTTATTTAATATCTTCATTACAGTGGGAGATAATGGAGCTGGGAAATCAGTTTTTTTACAAGGTAATATTTAAAAATTATGTGGTCATTATAGCAAATCTATTTTTTAATTAAATTAATGCAATGCATTTCAGCATACAATATCATAATCAATAATAACCATTGTTTTACTTCTATAATTTTGTAGTTAAACTCACTTCCTATGCACTTATAGTTTTTAGAGGTGAGCCATTGATATTTTCATTTTAATAAAACACATGTATCACCTTTTCTTTACTGTCATTATCACTATTCTTAAAAATATAATATCTCTATTTAAGTAAAACAGCCTTATTAATAAATTATAAATTGATCATGATTATTAATCTTTATTGGTGTTAACAACTTATAAAGATTTAGCGAAGTTTGTCATAACTTTGCTTTGATGTCAAAATAATAGGAAAATGAAATTTTGCTCTATTTATATATCTACTTGATATAAACTTTAATTTTTACTAGTTACATAAACATTAAGATGATTCCTATAATTTTTTTTTGTCATTTTAGCAATTGATTTTTTGTTGAGATTTGAAAATAAACAAGCAAGCAAAGGGAATATAGCAAATATACTGAGTCAAAGAGAAAAAAAAGGCTTTATTGAAATATTATTGTCTGGATGTGAATTACCAGTAAGCTGTCTATAGTATTATGTTGTTCAATATTTGTTTGAAATTTTTATTTTTATATAACTACAAACTAAGAGGTCTGTTATCATGTGATGTGGTATTTTTACACATTTCCTAGTGGTGCATGTTTTTTTACAATATACTCTGGCTGTTGCTTTTTCTAAACATATCATGTTCTTCAAGTTTATAATGGCTGAGAAATCATTGAGTGTAGATTTATTCAAGTGTGTGCTATAAAGAAAGAAAACATTGATAAATGTAGTCTGTAACTTAGGCTGAAGCATAAGCACTAATTAAAAAATAAGTTACCTCCAGAGTTGGACATTAGTTGATTAAAATTTATCAAAATAAAAAAAACGGTTAAAACATTCTGATAAATGTTTAGTCGTTGATTTTAGACTCGAATTATAATCGGATAAATATGTATTGAAATCCATTAAATTGAATAAGAAATTTATTAACTGAAAGCCTCTTTAGGCCGTAACTCTTTCAGACCAAGCAATGTCCCTGGACAATATTGTCATCTCCTCAAAAAGTTAATTTTATTTCTTAACTTGTTTTATATTAACTGATATTTTAATTGTACATCATTCAATATGTTGAATGCAGTTGCTGTATTAATAGGCTAAAATTAATCATCCTTATATGCTTTGTAATTTTTTTTAATTCTCAACAAGTAGCAGGCGTTCTCCTCCTGACTGATGTCCAGCTACCATTGATGATTCAACCAATGAATAATGTAATACTATGAATTCCATAGATGTGTTTAGGATTTGTTTGATGGTTTTCTGAAGCCACCAATGAGCTCATAACTGAGTTTAGCGCATGTTTTTCAATTGTGGTAAATTTTTTTTAATGTTCAATCATTCCGATTGTAGGTTTTACTATTATTAATCATTACTATTTCATGAGCTCTTTCACAGAAAGATAATAATTCAATGTGGCATAATTCATACGGCTGTCTTCTTTTTTTATGTCGATACCACTGCAGCCAGGGTCTTCCCCTAAGGCGCGGTATTTGTATTTATAAACATAAGACATAAAACCCCTCCTGGGCCATTATATAGAGAAGTTTCCTTGGCAATCTATCTTCCTCCATCCTCTCTACATGGCCAAGCCATGTGAGGTGGTGCCTTTTGACTGTGGCAACAATATTATCATTCTTATAAAGTTCTTCATTTTTTCTTATTCGCTACTGATCATTTATTCTTTTGGGACCATATATTTTCCTTTCCCAAATTTTCAGCAACCTCTCGCTTTCCTGGGCCAACACCCACGTTTCACACTCTTAGGTAACAAATGGTCCATTAATGGTTTTATAAACTGTTATTTTGGCATCCCATGTCAGTTCCTTTCATTTTAGTAATTTTGCCAGAGAATAGAAACATTTATTACTTGCTGTGTAAATCTAGCTTTTATTTCTGTCTGTATTTTGTTTTGGTCAGTCACTACCACTTCCAGGTATTGAAATTTTTCCCTATTGGAAAACGATGCTGATTGATTTAAATATATTCATTATTTGCTACATTATTCCTTAAGGACTTCATGTAAAGGCTTTTATCTTCATTTATATTCAAGCCAAGTTGCTTGGCTGTTCTTTCGAAAAGAACGTCCATCTTATCTGCAGATTTCTCTCTGGTACTTTACTAGCGCCAGGTTGGTACAAACTTACATTCCAAGTTGCCAGTTTTAATAGTCCTTTTCCTTGCGATTGTCGTAACCGTAGATCCATCTGACTATTGTTTCTGTTTTCTAACAATGGTTTTTTTGATGGTATAAAGTTGTTAGCCGTATGAGCACCCCCAGTCTTGGAGAACTAAGATTTTCTGTAGGGGTTGACTCCCTTAGCCTTTGAACATTGTTCTAGCCCGCAAGGCTGCGGTGCAAAGATATGGGTGAGAAAAGGAGGAAGATGATGATTAGGACCAGTGCTAGTTAGTTGAGAGAAAGGAAAGAGTATAAGGTCAATGGACAGTTGTCCCTTTTACGACAAGCAGTAAGACACTGCGGGCCTATTCTATTATTCCCGCACCTTCAGGGAAAAGACTATATCCAACTTTCAAATAATGTTCCAGTACAGAATGAATGATGAATCAAAATGAGAATAGACAGAATTAATAATTTTTTTTTATTTATTTTAAAAGATATTTACAACTGTATACAAAAAAATACATCTAGTAAATTTGCACATTGGTATAAAGACATGGAACACATGTTGAGAAACTACCCATTGGTAGCACTCTAAAGAATTAATAATAAATTCAAGAAAGAATGGAGTTGCTTGACTTCGAATGGGTTATTTAAATAATTAAGAAATAAAAAGCAAATAGGTTATTTTCATAAATACTCAGCTGAATACTCACACACTCTAATATGATAATGACGGTGAGGAAAAATGTTTACTAAGTGAAGAAAAAAATTCAGAAGTGGTTTGAGTTTGGCTTGGAAGGAGAGACTTATATTAAACAAATAATTTGTCATTACTATTCATTTATTATTATTGTTTTTGTGGCTAAACCACAGAAGCAATCTAAAATTTCTTACTCTGGCTAGAATAGGTTGGTGACCTGTAGGATTATCCATTCTTCTTGCTGTAGCAGAATTAATAAACAAACATTGAACCAAAAAATGTAATGATAAGGAAAAAAAGATTGATTAGAAGTCAGACATTTATTTATATAATTACAATTTAACAATTCAAGATCAAGAAAACAGTATTTTGACAAATTTTAAGAAGGAAGAAGTGTAAGTATGTAAAATAGAAGCAAAGACAGAATATAAATTATCCTTATTCAGATATAATTATAATATATAATTATTAATATATAATTATTCAGATTAAATTATCCTTTCTGAAAGAGCTTGATGAAATAGTAATGATTGATAATTCTAAAACCTATTGGAATGATTCCACTAATCATAGTTCACATTCCATTAGCAGAAGCTATGGTGATTGTTCATAACAATTGCTGGTTTAATAACGAATAAATATACTTTTTTTATCCAAGGTTGGAATTGTAATCTTAGCTTCTCTAAACATCAGGTTAAATTAAAGTAGTCAGTAATTAACAACCTAAAAAGAGTTCATCCGAGTATTCCATTTTTAGAGGCTAACTTGGTCAAAATCTCATTATTAATTTGTTCAAAACATTACAATTATGTTTTTTTTTTATTCTGAAATATTGTTCAGCCGCTAGCATAATTGTTAAAAACATTTATTTACTGTGATATACCTCACTCTTTTCATTTCAGTTTGAAAATGAGATCACTATTAAAAAAGAATTTTCATTAATTACTAATATAAGATTTTATTTTAATGGAAAAAGAATGGATAAAAAAACAATTATGGCTCTCTATGAAACTTTATGCTTAAATTATATGCATTCATCCTTTCTAATGACACCACTAATGGTATATTATAATATTTAGCCATTTATAATTAATTTAAGCTTTTTAAATACTAAAATTTTTGTATTATGTAGGTTCAAAAATTTGTAAAATTTTCTAGAAAGGAATTATTAGATTATTTAATGAAACATATAGGAGCAACCTTACTAAAAACTTATGAAACCATTCAGAAGATATTTCTTCTTTTAGAAGGTTTGGAAGATTTTCATTCTTAATTTAATAGAAATTTACAGAAATCAATATTATTTTTTATAATTTTTGTTTAAAACACATAATAAATATGATAAGAATAAAGAATCTATTAGAACTGGTTTTTATTTTAATTAGATAAATAAGTTTGTAAAAAAAAAGTTTACAATAATAATTAACTCAGTGTAAATAATTAAGATAGATACATTTATTTATTTATGAATTTATATTTTTTAATATAAAATTAAAATTGAAAATTGTATAACTATTTCTAAATTCAGGAAAATAAAGGTACCAAATGAATAATATAATTTCCTTATTTAAAATAATCAGCCAGATAGATTCAGCGTCCATATGCTAGAATTAAAGCAGAGCATACTGCCTTGAGTCTAGCCTAGATATGTTAACTTTTATTTCATAACCGAATGAATTATGCCATAGTTGGATTATTTGAGGGAATTAAAAAAAATAATGTTCGCCCAGTGGTTGAAATTCGACCATAATCATTAAAAATTTGAGGAAAACACATAATTAAATAAAAAATAAATTAAGAGTTAATCACAATTAAAAAATCCTCATTTATTTATAAAAACAAAATTTCAATTTCAATTAAAAATCGTGCTTAAACTACTTAAAATTATTTATAAGTAATACAAAATAGACTCATTCAAAAATATTCAATTTCCATTTTAATTTATGTGTGATAATATCACAATAAATTAATGTTATGATTAAGCAAGTAAAAAGTAAATTTAAATTAGCAATTTCAATTCAATTTAAATCTATTTTTATGTAGAACTTCTCTGTAAACAATGTTCTTTTTTAATGTTCTGTTATTATTTAGTACTTGCCCATTGCCATTGGGAATATAAATTTAAAAATTTTAAACGATCGTGCTCTACTTGCTGCCACATATAATTGTCCATGCAAAATTACTGGACGTCGCAATAATACTCAAATTTTTCTAAAACTTTGACCCTGTGATTTGATTATGGTCATAGCAAATGCAGCTATTAATAAGAATGTTGCTCTTCGAACTTCGAATGGAAGTATTGTCTCAGAAAATGTTAAATGAATTCTTGAAATTAAAATTCTTTTATTTAAAGTAGATCCCGTTTGTACTCCAGTCTCATTTGTGTTCCATTAACTAATGCTTGTGCAGTATTTAAGTTAAGAATGAGCACAACTATAGAATTTACTTTTAAATTTAATTTATGAGGTAACATTGCACTAACGATGATGATATCTTCTCTTCAAATAATAGTCCCAATAACTTCAGTAAATGAAAAGTTTTCGATTTTTCAAAAATCAAAATAATGGAAATCGTCTTTGCAAAAGAAAAAGTACTAAATGTTTAAAACTATATATTTCTGCAGCAAATAGTCTGATTTCGATGATTTGTTCTTTATTTTGTAGAGAATTCAGGAAGCTTTCAAATAAATATTGGTATTATCAATAAAACAGTGTGTACTTTTTGAGTTATTCGCAAATAAAATACTGAATTTATCATGAAAATTTATGCAACTTGTTTTTGGGAAAGTATGTTATATACATAAATTATCAAGGTTTCAACGGGAAGACTTTAGCCAAGTTTCATTAAAATTGTTGCTGCCGTTTTGGCGCTATCGTCTAAAGGGAATCACATTTTTCAACCGCCATTTCGGAAGGAAAGGCATGATGATAATGAAACGTATAAAAAAACACTCATAAATCTTATTGCGACGTTGTGTCAAAATTTCAAAGAAATCGGTGAAAAACTTGTGGAGATTAGCTGTTTTGAACGAACTACCATTTATATTTTTATTTACATGCACTATTTCATATTTTTATTTATTGATAACAATAAAGCTCGTCAATAGCTATTAAGCAAAAAAAGAAAGAAGAAGATCGGTTGAATAATAGAGGAGAAAAAGGGGCTGAACCGTTTTGTGTTTGCCTATTTATATAATGATAAATAAATAAAATAAAATTGATTAAATATTTTTTATTGTCAGATTGAAATTATAGATATACCAAACAATTATGTATATTATCTTAAATATATTATACCTCAATAGATCAAAAAGAAAGAATCGACTGCTTACTTGAACTTTTTCATGATGTTAACACAAATGATGGTAAAAACTACTCCATGCTGTTAAAAAAACACAAAAAGATAAAAAATTGTATTATGACAGAAATTCTGAGGAAAAAGATAAAAAAAATGTGTAAAATTGTGTCACAGGTAATTGTAGTATATAAATTACTGAAAATAATTATCTATTAAATTATACTTAAACCTTTCTTCATTTAATTTTAATAGCTTGAAGATGATCTATCCTCTCTTAAGAGATGCAATAATGATGACAGTGCTTCTAGCACAGCTTCATTTTTACAACACTCATATTCTCAAATTGAGGCTGCATTAAATGATAAACAGAATATTTTAAATAGTTTAATTGAAGAAAATTGTAAATTGATTGAAAAGAAAGAGAAAATTCATCTATCAGCTCAAGATATTACAAAAACAATTTTTTTTATGAAAAAAGGAGAAGTGGGTAATCAGCAAATTACAATGATATATTTATTGATATTAATAATTGATGAATAATTATTTAATTTTCAGGAAACGTTTAAGTGTAGTATACAGTCTAAGGCTGAAGAGAAGATTAAATGTATATATGAAGAGTTAGATAATGTTACGAAAGAGTTGGAATCAAGAAAAAATGTTTTAACAGAACTGGATTCTCAGTAAATATTTTTTGATTTCATATTGTTAAGATGTTTCTTTTGTTTCAGATCTGGCCCAATCCAGATACCTATCCTTCCATAATAAACTTCAGAATCATCCTAACTCTCTCGTTTCTAACCTTGCTTCCTCTTCAATTCCTGATAACCCTCCGAGGCGTCTGAAAAGAAGATGGCCCCGTAATCTCCTAATGTAAACATATCATTAGAGTGCTACCATTGGGTAGTTACTCAGCAAGTGTTTTCATGTCATTATATCCATTATTTTCAAATTTGCTAGATGTATTTATTTAATACAGTTGTAAATGTCATTAAGAAATAAAAAAAACATATTGTTAAGATAAAAATATAGTTATTTATTATTGTTTTAAACATAGTTATTGTTTATTAAAATATATATGTAAAACAATTTGTCGAGTTACAAATACTCAAAAAAATAGTCTCAAAATAATCTTAATCAAACAAATAGTCTATTCAATATCCAGTGAAATAGATGAAATCACTCCAGTCTCAATTATCTTGAAAAAAAAAAGTCAAGTTATTTAACAGGATGCCTTTAATGACATGAGGATTATAAGAACAAAATAAATAATTATTAAATAGGAGCTCTTTGAGTCAAGAAATGTTTATCCAATTTAAGTATATGATATTTTCAGATCTTCATTGCTTGTTACATTACACAGACATATTCTCCAAAATTAATTTAATTTCTTTAATTTACTGAAACTATGAATTATGATATGAAGGCACGGAGGTTAAGATGGGCAGGGCATGTAGTTCGTAACAATCCATCTGGAAGCCTCTACGTAACATTGCATGCCGCAATAGAAGGCAAAAGACCACGTGGAAGGCCAAAAAGCAGATGGATAAATAGAATCAAAGATGCTATAGAACTGCCTGTAGATAAATGGAAAGAAATAGCCCAAGACAGATATGGATGGAGCAAGCCTGCTGTAGTACCATCTAGATCTACATGGTCTGTAATGCCAACAGAAAAAAAAAAAATACTGAAACTGATAGTAAACCATATGTAATGTACACCTTTATTGGAAGTGAGTAAAAAGGGTTTAATAAATTAATGTTTAACAATTAAAAGGCAAGCTAATCTAGTTCTACTAGTGCAGAGAAAAGAAAATGGCTGCTCTGTAGTTTCCCAAGAAGGAAAATCCCAAAGAGGGGAGGGATAAAGGTTTTTGTTTTGCCGGGTAGTTGGTTTTTAGCTAGGGTGAAGAGAGGATGGGAGAAGTGATCCTGGCTCCAGTTGGTAAAACCCAGTAATAGTATTACCATCTTGGAAGTTGTGTTTGGCAGAACATTAGAAAGTATTTGAAAACAAATTAATTCAGGGCTACAAAGGAAGAAATAGTATCTATAGCAAAAAAGGTTAGCTTGCCAATCCAGATTTGACTTTATTTTAAAATCAGTGTTTAATTTTATTATAAATAGTGTAAATAATAATAGTTTGTCTGAGTTGATCTGATTGTCAGAAATCCACACCTGAGATAAATAAATATATTAATACCCTTATAATTTTGTTTATTATTATAACAACCTCTTGTTTCTTTTGGAAGTATCCTAACGGATAAAGTGATCTTCCGAGGTTATACTATTATTATTTGTAAAATATAAGAGAGACTTTACACATAATTACACTATTCTCTATACATCCTTCAACTTAGAGTAAAATCAGGCCACTTTTGAAGTATAGGTGTTTGCACATCAAAAAATGGAAGTGTTTTTGAAAGTATATAAAATTTTTTAAACCTTCTGTACGAATACAAAGCTTTTCTACTTTCAGTAGTGAGGAAGCAAAAATAAATACTGCTGGTCAAAGAAATAAGAGGAGGAAAAAGATAATATAAAGCAGCACTGTGGGTGAAAAGCTGAGTACAAATACAATATGATATCTAAAATTTGAAATGTTAGAATCTGATAGTATAATTGACTATTTTATATACAACCGGTACATGTGACAATATTTCGCTGATATCGTGACCGTGAGTGGAGCAGAGATAGGCAGTCTCATGTCCTCGTACTTGTGGCCGATACAATATAATTCCAGACTATAATAGAAAACCAAAGGTATTAAACACCATCTACATTAGGGCCTTGGATGACCCAGAAAAGAAGACCCTCTATAAATGGAACTTAGAAGAAAAATTAAGAGCAATACCTTTCGATGGAGACATAGAAAAGATGTGGAATTCATTAAAGTAATGTATTTTGGAGGTTTTAAATGCAATATGTGGGAAGAGGAAAATATCTTTGGTGGACCCTTCCGGAGATGCCCCAAAAATAAACTAATTCATAACAATTACTGTATAAATAAAGCCTGCATTTATATAGTAAAATATAATTTCACCTAAAATATAAACACACATGAGATTCATAACAATTATTTCTGTGGCCAAACATATAACGGTAGTAGATAAATACAAAACAATAATCTTTGGGCTCTCAGGTGGGATCCCCGATCATTTTATGGCTATAAAAAAGTACAAATGTTTATTATGTTTATGTTTTATGTTTATTATGTTTATGTTTATGTTTATATTATGTTTATGTACAAATTTTGTTATGTTTATGTTGGGGACCCATCAAAATTTGCAAAAATAAAGGAATACAAATCAATTATTTCTGGCATACAAGATAATTACAAAACAATGATCTTCATGCCCTCAGAGGGGGTTCCTGATCATTCTATAGCTATAAAAAAATACAAAGCATTTGTGCTTGGGACCCATCAAAGGGGCCCCAAAAATTTGCAAAAATGAACAAATACAAAACAATTATTTTTGGGGTGTTAGAAAAATACAAAACGATTGTTTTGGAGGCCGAACATACAGCGGTACAAGATAAATACAAAATAATGATATTCGAGACCCTAAGGGGGCCTCCAATCATTTTACGGCGATAAAAAATTAAAAAACATATATATTCAGGGCCCACCAAAATTCAGAAATAAACGAATACAAAACAATTATTTTGGGAGCTTAACATACCACAGTACTAGAAAAATACAAAATAACAATATTCGTTAGGCTCCTAAGAGGGGCTCTGCAATGTCACCGAGCTAGAACATTGTTTTCAAACAATATTTACTATAGAAACAATAACATCATTGGCCACCATCTTATATTTCAAGTCACATTGTATGAGGAGTGCATTTTTTCTAAGATGCTCATTGTTTCAAAAAGTTATCACTTGTGGCCTCTTCTTCAGGTCATTCATTATCTTGGTCAATAGCTCCGTAAAAGTAGATACTAGATTATTTACTTTTGTTTTTTGGTATATATCATACTAGTGTTTCCTCCTTTTTAAAAGCATATATAACGTAATAAGTTTTCCTCTTTTTTTTTTTTTTATATTTGTTGGTATCTGTAATTTATTTTTCTTTAGAGTTCCCATAAAAATAAAAAAAGTTTTTCTGAAAGATTTTTTTAAATGATTCAAAATTATGTAAAAAATATTTATTAAAGTAGTAATATCGGATTGTCCTGAATTATAATTATTTTTGATTATAGAAAACAGTTGAAAGAAGGAATGAGACTACATTTATTATCAAAAATACAAAGAACTAAAGATTTTCCGAGCAAGGAAGAAAGAAATTTGCAGCTCCATGTGAAAGTCAAGTAAATTATACCATTACCAAACAACTGCTTCTTTTTTTTTTCTAACTTTTATTAGCGTTTTTCATTTACTTATTTTTTAACAAGATCAATGTCAGAGCAAATTAAGAATATAGAAGAAGAGTTAAATATACTTTCAATTAGAAAAGAAGAATTACTTTATAGCAAAGAATTTATGGATGGGAAAATTGAGGTAATTTACTTTTATCCTTCATAGCTTACTAATCATAGCTTCATAGCTTACTTATGCCCCAATTGATTCTTGTTTATTTTTCCTTAAAGATTATGATTTTTTTACTAAAGTATAACTTTTAATTAATTTGATAGTTTCACATATTTAGCCTCTTCCTTACCAAAATATAATGATACCAGGGCTGTCACTTGGACGGGGCAACAGGGGTGCCGCGGCTATGGGGCGCCATGCATTCGGGAAAAACATTCAAACAAATTAACAGCAAACCCGATAAAAATAAGAGTTGACTAAGAAAATATATGTAGTAAGGAAGTTTTAAGAACAAACATAATAAGCAAATAAAAAAATCCTTTCAATCTATAATAGGCTAATAATAACATGAACTTTTATCATGATCTGACTCTGTATCCTAACATAAATAAGAATTTTTTAAATAAGAAAATGTTAGATGTTGAGTGCGTCTCTGCGAAACAAGAAGTATCGGTTTATATTGGTTAGGTGAAGGATCCCTCCCTCCATCCACCAAAAATATATCCTACAGCTCTGTTTGCGAGTTAATACCAAATTTTTGTAACACTCTTTTAGAGTTATTATGAACACTTTAATTAATTAATTATTTTTGAATATTCATTATTATATTATTTTGTCAAAATTATTGTGTTACATATTTTATATTTACAATGAACACTTGTTATAACAATTTAATTGTTATATACTTTTTCATTTAAGAACAAAATTACCCTATTCTCAGCTGATAGTGGCCATGTACTTCTTTCTGTGTTTCCTAATTTTGATGTCCTGATTATGTTGTAATAAATTAATAGGATGACAGATCATCAAAATCTCTACTTTATTTTTTAACTCTTTTATTAGTTACTCACGATTTCATTCACTTAGTTTTCACTTTACTGGAATTTACTGTGAGTACCTGGCATTTGTTTTAATGCCACAGAAAGAAAGAAAGTGCTTTTGTTTTAACTGTGTTAAGTGAAGCATTACGGATTGCAACATTTATAAAACCTGCTTTTAATAATTTTTTAAATTTTATTTATTAGTTGTACATATTTGTGGCTCACAATAAATTTGCCATCTACCTTGGTATTCAGCAAATATGATATCAAGGAGAAGAATAACAAAACAAAAAGAAAAAAAAAAAAAAAAAAAAAAACGTAGTAAAATAACACATATATTATAACATAATAACAAATACACACACAAAAAAGATAATGCAGCAAGTAGCTCAATGCAAAAAATCTCTTGGCCAGCGCCTCAGCAGTCTTCTGGGCGGATTATATGGATTTGTGGCAGTAGATAGAGCTTGAGTAAGTGGATTGGAATTTAGAGTCAGTCTGTCATGAAAATTTTTAAAGCGGTCAGTGGCAGTTGCTGTGATGAAAGGAGTGCTAAGGTCAGTGTGTAATGTGAGGTTTGAAACATAAAAGGGTGCGTCTACAATTTTCCGAAGGACTTTTGACTGGAATGACTGAATGATTTTTATATTTGATTTCTTTGCTGTTCCCCATAGTTCGATCCCATATGTCCATAGTGGTTTAATGAGGACTTTGTAAATAGTTAATTTATTAATCACAGATAATTTAGAACGTCTGTCAAGTAGCCTAGAAAGAAGTCCGTATCGCTGATTAAGTTCTTTTCTTTTTTGTTTTATATGGTATGCCCATGTCAGTTGTTTGTCCAAGTGGAGACCCAAATATCGTACAGTTTTTGAAGTTGGTAGAGCAATATTATTAAAGAACACTAAAGGACAAGAGTCATGTTTAAGTGTAAATGAAACAAATTGGCTCTTAGACTCGTTCATTTTTATTCTCCACCTTTTAGCCCAACAAGCTATGTCGTCTAGGTGTTCTTGAAGTACCTGAGAAGCCTTTGCTGCATCCTTGTTAGATGTTAATATTGCCGAGTCATGTGAGAAATGTAGCCAACAGTGTTTCAGAATGTTGTGGGATGTCTGCACAGTAAATGTTGAAAAGTGTTGGACCCAAGACACTGCCTTGAGGTACTCCAGCTTTTATTTGTTTGATGACAGAAAGCTCAGTTCCCATTTTCACACGGAAAAATCTATCTTTTAGATATGATAGTAAAATTAAGTAATACGTCGGAGGAATGATCGTTTTTAATTTATGTAAGAAACCATCGTGCCATATTCTATCAAAAACCTGACTTATGTCAAGAAAAACGCCAGGACAGTATAATTTTGATTCTAGCGAGAAAGATATGTAATCTATAAGGCGGTAACATTGCTGAATAGTCGAATGATGCTCTTTGAACCCGTACTGGAAATTTGGAATGACATCAAATAGTCTAAGTGAATTTAAACGCTGAAACAGAATTTTTTCGAATACTTTAGATAGAGAAGGTAGAAGACTAATTGGGCGGTAAGAATCAGGGCGGTCTATAGGCTTATTGGGTTTGTGAATCATAGTTATGATTGAGTATTTCCATAAAATCGGAAAATGTGTCGTTCTAAGAATGGAATTGAATATGTTTGTTAAGAATATAATGGCCTTTTTTGGTAAATTCTTTAGAATAAAGTTAGTAATGAGATCGAACCCTGGAGATTTTTGATTTGGTAAACTATTTATAATAACGCTAACTTCATTCGGATGAAAAGGTTTAGGTGGGGGGGTCATCTCTAAAGGAATATCTAATTGATGTTCTATCTTGCAAATCATTGTGAGGAGTAAATATATTTTCTAAGTGGCATGCGAATAATTCAGCTTTCTGAGCATCTGACTTTGCCCTCGAGTGTAATCATACTGAGCATAATTACACTTATAAAAAATAAGTAATTAATGCTTAAAAGATGATTTTTGCTATATTTTGTTGAAATATCTTTGCGTTGTTCCCCAAACAACCTCTGCACCCTGATATGTCGCATCGGTTGCATTGAAATTATTTATGCTACTGCATCTTTTAATCATGGCCGGAACTAGAATTTTGTCAGGAGGGCCAAGCTAATTTGGTACCTTCAATAAGAGCCTATATTTTATATCAGTATTTTAGAAACTGTATTTCATAATAAATATCATCAGATAGTATAAACTCATGCAATAAACCTAATTCAGGTCAAAAGAACTGAAGATTAGAAAGAAATACTTTTATTTCAGCTAAAAAAGAAAATTCTCGAATTTACTACCCTTTCAAATATGCCTCTTGGAGAAACTGCCTCCTTTTCCCCTCCTTGTTTCGTGTCCTGTTACTAGTTATATATTAATTTTTTTTTCTTTAAAATATGATAGCCTGTCATAAAAAGGGATGAAGCAACTACATACAGCCTTTATGTCGCACTATTTTTATTTCTTATAACTTCTCGTAAAGTTTGTAAAAAATATGAGATTCGTTCGGGTTTAAACCAGGTAATTAATAAAAAAAGACTTTCATCTATCCTATTTAATTTAGCACTAAAACTTGTCATTAGAGAGATTGGTAGTTGATTGAAATTTGGATAGAAAAATACCTGTGCTCGGGTAACTAAAAACTAAATACCACAACGCTGAACAACTAGGTAAACAACTAGGCTCGAAATGAATATGGATTAAACAAAATACACAGCTGCAGAAATGGTGATGATTTTAGATGATAAAGATATTGAAGAGAATACGGTTGAATACGTAGAGGAAAAAGACCAAGTTAAATGCTAGAATTGGTTGTTATTTTTTTATTTCAAGATTACTTTAGCTCGCACCTTCTGTTGCAAAATTTAAAAATTAAACTTGGCAAAACTATTATACTTCTTATGGTTCTTTACGAATAGGAAACGTGGATGCTTACATTAAGGGATGAACAAAGTCATAGGGTGACAACAGCTGAAATCTTGCCAATGCAATAAGAAAAATAAAAAAACAGTGAAACAGCCTAAAAATTTTATTAACAATCTTAAGGTTTTTGAATATTAAGTATTGCACAAAATATTTGGACCTGAGAAGAACGAGTTAACTGGTGAATTTAGACAACTACTCAACGCCGAATTGCACAATTTGTCCCCCATGAATATAATTGAGATGATAGCTTTGTGGCTATTTAATCTACCAATTCCTAATAGGTTAATGTGCGCTGTGCTGACTGATAAGCGTTCGAAGAGTTGACTGAAACAAGCAGAAATGTTATTTTTACAAGCTATTGAAATACCAGTTTTTAATCATTAAAATTACAAAAAATTCGGTAAAGATTTGTAATGTATCTCTACATAATCATTTGTTTGTCTTTCTCTATTTAAACATGGGATAATAGGCTATTAGTCGATTTAGGATAGAGTTGAGGGGGGGCCTGGGTAAACCTCACTCTTGGCACCTAGATCCCACACGACAGCCCTGAACGATACTATAAGAAATGGCTTTGTTTGATTACAGCAAATTGAAATGGATAGTTATGGGCTGGGCAATGAACGAATTCTTGTGTAGATGGACAGGAAGGATAACAAAAAGACTATAGTCTCAAATTTGGGATGTAAGTACAAAAGTTAGGAAGTCATAAAGAGTTACAGTTTAATGTGATGGAAAAAAATGTGTTCAGGATTAATTACAGTTTAAGGAGTATAAAAGAGGAGATGGTAAGTCTGAATATCATTTAGAAGTGGACCATGTAAAATGGAAAGAAACACTAGTTTTGTGTACAGGATATGGAACCATTACCAGAGAAATTTTTTAGAATATTCCTCTTAAATTTAGGATCTGGAACTTGGGAAATTTTGGTACAGTGTTTGTAGGAATAAGTGTTTTCAAAGAAGTGTGAATGGGGAATTATCATCGAGAAATTAGTAGCCTTACATCTTCTGCCAGAATATCTTCTCTTCATCAGTTCTTGTGTTTTTTGATTAATCCAGAGGGCTGGGAGGCATTGGAATGTAAAGATTTTGGAAAGTACAAGTTGATTAAGGAATGTAAGGAGGGAAGATGTAAGATATTTTATTATCTTGTTCATGGAATAGAAAGAAGAGCTAATAGCTAGATTAAATGAAATGGAATAAGTCAAGTATATAATTTATGGTTTCTGAGGCCAGGAGAGTAATGAGATGAAAATGAGACAGAAAATGTGATACTTATTTAATAGCGGGTAGCGTCAAAATCTCCCTTCTTATCTAATCTCATTTCACATAACCTCCCTTATCTCATCTAACCTAAGTTATTCCCTTGTTTATTTTTTGTTTCTTGTGTTAGCTGTGAGTTAGTGTTATTTAATTATGGATGTTGTCACATTGTGGGAATTGCCGTCTTCAGAAGAAGAGGCTATAAAATATTTTCAAGACGCCGGGATATTTGCCAAGGTCAAATATTGTGATGAAGGTCATCAAATAAAGTTTGACAGGTAGATTAAATGGAGATTTTTTCATTGTTGTAACAAAACCGTTTCTATAAGGAAAGGAACGTGGTTAGAGGGGTCGAGGATTTCTTTTTTAACGGCTTTAAAATTCACTTATGGGTGGTCCCATAATTTAACAACAATACAGTGGGGAGAAAGAGCAGCTCTAACTATCCAACGCAACTATCGTAACATGGAACAAATTTTACAAAGAGAAGTTTGTGCCCATGACATGTTATACAGGTTGAATAAAAAAATTGGAGAGCCTGGCAAAGTCGTCGAAGTAGACGAAAGTCTTTTTTCGAAAAGAAAAATCATGTAGAGAGAGTCCTTTTTAATATTAATATGTATGTTGTAAAATAAAAGTATTTTGTTATTATTACTTTTGTTTTTGTTCACAATGTCAATAATATCAATACAATACAATAAATATGAATACGAAGATATAATAATATGAATATAATACAATAAATATAAATACGAAGAGCTTATCAGTGTTAAGGTTGTAAACATTGGCAGATAGCAGTTGGACGCTACCCGCTATTGAATAAGTACCGAAAATGTTACTAGAGATTTTAATCTAATCATGCTATGACAGAGATGGGATTGGATTTTCAGAAAAGTATAGTATATTTTAACAGAAAACCAACAATAATAAGATCAATTGATGTGTCAGAAAACTGGGTGTGATAGGTAGGTTGGGAGAGGAATATGAATAGAATAAGGTATGGAAATATTAAGGTCTACTAGGTATATTTTAACAGAATTGTCGGAGTGGAGATTTGTATTTAAGTCATCTTCAATTATAAGATTATTATACAAAGGAATGAAAGGAGGATTCAAATTTTGGATAAATTTAACTTGTGGAGGGTAGTATAGGTACTTTAGATGTAGCATGTCAAGGGAAGAAGATTTGCATAGGATTTTAACGCTCAGACTCTTGGACAAAGAAACCAACACTCATCTGTTACAGTCTGCTCAATCATGATGAATGAATGGTTAGTTATTACAGTGTACATCTTGTTATATCATCTACACACACACATTGTTGCATATTATTATACAGTACATCTTGTACACAAAAAAACAGAAATTATTTTATTATAATATACATGACAACACCTGAGAAGGAGTGTAGTGGTTTCAATAAGGAAAAATACAATTTATCATATAATAAGTTATTTATAATAAAACTATTAATCAGCAACTTTTCTGTTTCGGAATGCCAAGAATCTGAAAAAACAATTGCAAGAACAAGAAGAGTCTTTTGGTCAAAATATTTTTCAAGCTAAACAGCGATTGAATAGTTTCTTTGATTCTATGAGGTAAGATATTTTATTTTACATTGATAATAATGAAACATTCAACAATTTTTTGACTAACCATAAACTTAATATTTGTAAAATGCTTCTTCATTTATAATTCTTAATTTTATATAATTAGAGTGCTACCATTGGGTAGTTACTCAGCAAGTGTTTTTCATGTCATTATATACATTATGTTATAATTTACTAGATGTATTTATTTAATACAGTTGTAAATGTCTTTAAGAAATTAAAACAAAATATATATAATCCACTGCAAGATAACCAAATCAATTTAAAGTCTTAATATGGTTTATTAGGCGTGCCATTGTTTTGATCCAAGCATGTGGGTCATCATCTGGGCTAAAAAATAATTAAAAAACAATACATAAGAAAAAATGAGATTTAGACAGAAGTATTTAAATGAGACAAGAGAAAAAAAATGGAAATCACACATTAGAGGACGGTAATATAAACATAGTAGTACACCAAGAAAAAAAAAATTGAAATAAATAAGAATATCAAAAGTACACATAAGTTAGCTAAATGATTAGTACAAATAAATAAGAAATATGCAAAAAATGACAGGGCTAAGAATAACTGAGGTTAATTTTTAGAATTATAAAAAATAAAAATACTGTATAACGTTTCCTAATCTATTCCAATTAGTTTTTATAATTCAACTCCTACTATTATTTATCATCTTTGCCAGTGAAACATGTATCATGAATGAAAAGACCAGTGACCTAATGGACGAGTATGAGAGAAGGAAAGGACCAAGTTATTAAGGAATGTCCTGGGACTAATTTCCCTTATTATTCAGAACTCAGAACTCTCAGCTCAAATTTCTAAGTATCTTATTTAACAATCTAGTAGCCGCTTGCTATCTGAGAGATGCCAAGGAAAGAGTTGTGAGTGTAATATAGTTCCAGCACAGTTCTGCCAACAGTTCTCCTACTATTCTTCTTGTCCGACAGCCAGCTCCAGTATTGTTGCAATTACTTCTTGCATACCCCCATGTAACTACTTTAATAAATATTAAGTAACAGATTTTACATAATTTTGAGTCATTTAAAAAAATCTTTCAGAAAAACTTTTTTTATCTTTATGGGAACTCTAAAGAAAAATAAATGGCAGATACCAACAGATATAAAAAAATCTGGCGTGCGCAACACAAAACTTTCACTTAATCTTTGAACTGTGCTCAACTTTGAATAGAAATTATTTTCTGGCCATGTTGGGCTATTATACATTTTTAACTTAGCTAAAGCTAAAAGATTGCGGCCAACAAATCATAAATACTATTAAAATAACAAGAATTATCAAATTCTTTCAAAAGTTATATTTAGCATTTTTTCGCTAACTATTTCACATAGCTGCTAATTATTTCACAGTGGTTTATTATTTCCAAACAATTATACATCAAAAGTAACATTGCCTTCCTAGTTACAAAGAAAAATAAATAAAAGGTGATTCCAATTAACGGACTAAATTTTTTTTTTAATCATTTGTAATATGCTAAAAAAATTAGCCTTACCTAACTAACATATTCAAAATTCAAAAACCAAAACACAGGATATAAACCTTTGCAGCAGAACATATTAAAAAAACTAGAGATCGTATCTTTTCTCCTAATTGTCCGATTTTAACGAATTTTTTTTTTAGGAAATTCCGTAAATTTTTAAAAACCAACTTTTTAAAATAAACCATATTAAAGGTACTTTAGGAGAAGACGTACATGAACATTGGGCATTTAAGCCCTGTAAAGTGATATCAATGGGGATAAGACCTAAATGATATTAAAGACCACTTAATTATACAATGATATACCGATTTTAATCAAAATCGTTAGAGCCGTTTTTGAGAAAATTGTGAAAATGTGTTTCAGTGTTGATATAAAGTGGCACTTCCAGTTAGCCGATTTTAAGGAAAAAGTTGCTGTCACATCTAAGGCATATACCTATCTTAAATATGTAATATCAGTTTCGTAGGACTTTTAGTTTTCGAGCTAGTGTTCTCATAGATACAGACCATTTTTCGGGACTTAGTTATTTGGACTCAAGAGTACCCCAAAACATGTATTTCAGTTGAAAACTCAGATTCAAACATTTTCTCGATCGCAATACTTACCCTTACTGTATATTACATATATATGTAAGTGAAAGTAAAAAGGGAAAAACTTATTACATTATATATGCTTTTAAAAAGGAGGAAACACTAGTATGATATATACCAAAAAAACAAGAGTAAATAATCTAGTATCCACTTTTAAGGAACTCTATTGACCAAGTCAATGACTTGAAGAAGAGGCTACAAGGAATAACTTTCTGAAACAGTCAGTATCTTTGAAAAAATGCACTCCTAATACAATGTGACTTGAAATATAAGACTGTGGCCATTGATGCTATTGTTTCTACAGTAAATATTGTTTGAATCGATGTTAAATATTTTTTAAGAAATGAAAACAATGTTCTAGCTCGGTGACTTTTTCTCCAACTTTTGGAAAAATAATTACTTGAAGAATATCGCAGCATAACAGAAGAAAAGAAAAATACTTATGCTTCCTAAAGTTTCATAGTATATTTGGATATTTTTACCCCTTTTCTATAACATTTAAAGCAAACTTATGAATGTAATTAGACCAACTAAATAGAAGAGTCATCTCACTGATGAAAATGAAACAGCCGATGCTCCAAAAAAGGATGAACGTTCTAGGACCAATATGTGAAGATGGAATATAGCGGCTCAGGAAAAACAGGGAGCTGTATAAGAAAATCTAATACTTGAATATCTTGGCCTGCAACAGAATCCAGAAACTGAAATGGTTTGGTCATTTAATGAGAATGGAAGACAACAATGAATTTATGTGGGTACACCACATTGAAAGAGAAGTAGAGGGAGAACTAAGGGCTGCTGGAGAGATAATTTATTGTACGGCATATGGCAGATGGAAGTGAACAAAGTTCATGCAAGTGATAGAGAAAATTGGAAGGCAGAAGTTGAAAAAGCGAGGGGCTGCTACATTCACCTGTTGACCTAAGAAAATAAATAAATAAATCAACTCACTTATTATTACTGTTGTTTTTTGTAAATTTCTTATTTATTTATTTGTGTCAGAGATGGGCAAATGCTACTCTGAATACCGAGTATCAAATATTTTAACTCAAATTGAATCACTATTGAGAATTCAATCACTACTTCAGTTAATTGTTTGACAGCAACTGAAGTAGTAATTAAATTCTTTGGGACTCAAAAAAGTAAGTATTTGATAAAATACTTGGTACTCAGTACTCAAAGTAGCATTTGCCCATCTCTGATTTGTGCTAATCATTTCGTTAACTTATGTTTAATTTTTATATTATTATTTATTTCAATTTTTTTTCTTGGTATACTATTATGTGCATATTACCATCATTCATATGTACTTTCCACCTTATTTACACACATCTGTCTATATCTCATTTTTCTTATGTATGTATATTTTTAAAATATTTAGTCCTGATTAATACCTACATGCGTGGACTAAAATGTTGACTAGCATAATAAACAATATAAATACTGCATATCCTGATTATTTGTTGTCCTCAAAACAAAATCAAGAATATTTGAAATTGATTATTTTAAAATTATTTTAGAGAATATTAAAATCAATTATTTAAATGTTACATCTGTATTAGTGACATCCGAAGAGAAGAAAGAATATTAGAAGATAAAATCTCAGAAATTTCTTTGAATATTCAAGAAAAAATGTTACAACTCAAGAAAAAAATTGGAAGTGTAGGTTATTTTAAAATTATTATGTGCTATTTTTAACAGTTTAAAAAATATTTTGTCAAAAATGGATTAAACAGATATTATGTCATATTCTTTTATTTAATTTATATATCATTGGATGGGAATTAAAGGGCGGTAAACTGATGGTGAAGTAAACTTGCCATAATGAGCTGTGCTTAAACTTTATAATTCTTGATCAAAAGCTACAGAAAGTTTTAACTAATATTTGGAAACCAATTTCTTTATAGATATAGTTGCTATATTGAAAAGTTTCTAAACTCAGCATAAATTTTATCAGTCAATTGAATCCAGCAGTAGTGGACATCAATTTATACTTAGTTTAGTAGGTCCAACTGGAAAAAAATATTAAGAAATATTTTATATTTATATATACAGGGTGTCCCATAAGTAGAAGGTAATATTTATATGAGTGATAGCCGACCAGTTAAGAGCTACAAAAAAGTTAATAGAAATATTGGTCCGATTATTAGCAAAACAGTCTGAAATTTAAGTTTTGTGTTTTTTTGAGCAATTCTTGGTTTGTTTTGAATAGTAAGCGATAACTAAAGAAATATTTAATTTAAGCAATTAATAATTTTCATTGTTAAAACCATTTAAAGAGGACTTTTGAGTAGCTAAACTGTCTTTTTTTTTTTTTATTATTATTTGAAAATTAATACATTCTGCCGCATTGGAGGGCATTAATATTAGGGCTACATTAAACATTCACACAATATATGCGTACAAATTATAACTAAAATAGAGATAAAAGAAAAAGAGTTGTGGAAAGTAAAATAAGAAAATTAACATACATGGGTTAAAAAAAAAAAAAAAAAAATAGAGAGAAACTAAATGAAATTGAAATATATAAAACACATTCACACCTATATATTTACATTTGCCCAGGGAATTCGGAGGCATGCTTTGTCCCCCAAATGTGGAAGCCAAGGCAGGACCCCAGGAGATACCAGTGCTTCTCTCCCAGCCGCATCACTGGTATTGCAAGCCAGTGGAGATTGATGGAGAGCACTAGAGCAACAGACGCTCAGGACTTGAGTGGAGAATCTGGCCATTGCCAGTACTCCAATATATACATATTTACAAAAGGTCGCGGCGCCACTGCCATTTTAACCTCCGGGGAGGATTGTAGGGATGGCTGGAGCTAGATAGGGATTGTGCTACAGGATTTGGATGATGAGTGAGTTTCTGGTGAAATTTGGAAAATTTATCTGGGATTAGGTCAAGAACAAATGGGATATGAAGGTCATTATGGAGGGTTTTATTGGATACATAGAAGGGAGCATCGACTATTGTTCGGAGGACTTTAGACTGAAAGGATTGAATGCGCTTAATGTTAGAAGGTTTTGTTGACCCCCACAGCTCTAGTCCATATGTCCAGATAGGTTTCAGGATTGTCTTGTAGATTAATAGTTTGTTGCCGACTGAAAGTTGAGATTTTCTATTCATTAGTCTATATAGCTGTCCGTATCGTCTGTTTAGTTGTTGTCTTTTAAGTCTGGTATGTGGGTTCCATGTTAGTCTTTTATCTAGAAGAAAGCCAAGATACTAGACTGTGTCTGAGAGAGGAAGTGGTATGGATTTGAAGTAGACTGGTGGACAGGATTTGCGCCAAAGGGTAAAAGTGATTTGGATTCGGATTCATTTACTTGGATGCGCCACTTATTACACCAATGTTCAATAAGAGAAAGGTGACTTTGTAGGTTTGAGGATGCTGTTTTAGGATCTGGATTGGAAGATAGAATGGCTGTGTCATCAGTGAATGTTGCCAGGAGGGTTTCGAGATGATTAGGAATATCAGTGGTAAACAGAATGTAGAGGACAGGACCCAAGAAGCTGCCTTGAGGAACTCCCGCCTCAATTGAATGGCAGTTGGAGAATTCTGTACCACAACGAACTCAAAAGGAGCAGTCAGAGAGGTAGGATCGGAGTATTAGATATAAGGACTGGGGTAGGTGGGTTTTGAGCTTGAAGAGTAGTCCGGTATGCCATACGCGGTCAAAAGCTTGCTAAATGTCCAAGAATGCTCCCGAGCAATACTCTTTGCTTTCTAAGTCTGAGAATATGTGATCAACAATTCAGAGTCCTTGTTGAACTGTGGAATGCTGAAAACGAAATCCGAATTGATGGGTAGGAAGATTTTTTTGTTTTATGGGTAGGATTCTTTTTAATAGGATTTTTTCAAATATTTTTGAAAGGATTGGCAGTAGGCTGATTGGTCTATGGGATAAGTTCTTGGATATTTGGCTGGTTTCAGGAAAAGGACGATGCTGGAATGTTTCCATAAGAGAGGAAAATGGGTAGTTCTTAGGATGCAGTTGTATATATAGGTGAGGAACATGATCGCTTTGGGTGGTAATTGATGAAAGATCTGTGGGGTTAGAAGGTTGTATCCAGGAGATTTGCGGGAAGATAATTTTTGTAAACGATATTTGACCTCAGAAGGATGAAATGCTTTTGGTGGTAGGAAAAGTGGAATTGGTGAGGAGAGGAATTTTTCTACTTTTGCAGTATAGATCGAATGGGATTCAGGATGAGGAGTAAATGTACAGGAGAGGTGTTTGGCGAATCCCTCAGCTTTGTCTTCATCAGACGCCGTCCAGGAGCCATCGCCTTGACGGAGGGGATGGGAAATATTTTGGGATTTTAGAATTTTTTTGTTGATATTCCAGAGGGAATTGTCGTGAGTGGAGAGGGAAGTAAGGTAAGAGTTAAAGGATTGGGATTTGAAGTTGGATAATTCTTGCTTGACTTTTTTAGAGTAATAATTATAGGAATGGCGATCTGTGGGATGTCTGGTGCGTTGCCATATCACTCTGGTACGCCGTTTGGTTTGGATTAACTCGAGGATGTGTTGAGGTAACATATTTTTCTTAGGAATTATTGGGGAATGATTAGGGGAGGAAGCAGTCCAGACTGCTTGTTGAATGGTGACGGTAAAGGAGTGTACGGCATTATCAAGGTCTTCTTGGGTTTTCAGGGTTATTCTGAGGTCATTTTGTTCGGAAAGGATTTGATGGAAGAATTGCCAGTTGACTGGACCTCTGATAAAGGACGGTGGAGAGGGTTTAAACTAATGTAAGTTCTGTTTTTTAAAAAATCATGAATTATTCACCATTTTTTTATCATCCTTTAATGTGTTACAACAGATACGTCTTTTTTAGAAAAACTTCCTCATTTTATAACCTTTAAGTCTATATTAACTAAGTTTAGGTTAATTAGAGAAAAACTTGAGATTCACCTCAAGTTGTATATAAAAATGATGTGATTTTATACTCTATCACCTAAAAGTACCTGTGTTTTCAGCAAAAATGGTTACACTAAATTATTATAAAACTTTGATTTCTTTTCTTTTTTTTTTTTCATTGCCTGGGATGTATCATAATAAATATAAATGCATAGACACACTTTTCATTTCTAAAAAACAATGTTAAAATTAATGAACTGCGTTTTTACTCAGATATGTATTATAGAAATTAATCCATTTTAATAAGTGACAAACTAAATAATTCTTCATCCTAATATCTACGTTTTCATGTAAATAATTTATTCAATCAGCAGGTTTCTTTATTTTAAACATAAATTTTAGGAATGTAAATATTTATATATATGGATCAATTCCTATGATAGAAATCTTGGTAAAAAACACATTTTTCATTATCACTTAAGATGATGATGCATAATGGATTTTTTTTTTTTAGAAGTAAAAAGCTGTCAAAAATTGAACCAATGTTTTTATGAACTTTTTTGTAGCTCTTGATGTCTGCAATCAAAAATATATAAATATTTCCTCTATTCACAGGACACCCTGTATAAACCCTCATTAATTAAAAAAAACTGCTTATTTAAAGTTTAATTTTTTACTAGTAAAATGGGTATTCTATGTGAGTAACATTTTTCTGATTTTAGGCCACTGTTATTGGAGCTGAAAGCCTCCTTACAGTCGTAGAAGCCTGTAAAAGTTCTCAGAGTCATAAATGGCTGAGTGATGGTTATTATGGTATGGTAATAGAAAATTTTGAATGCCCTGAAGAGCTGAGTATAGCTGTTGAAAGCGCAATTGGAAATAGGTTTTCTTATAAATGAATTTTTTATAATTTTTTCATGATTCACTTTAACATATATGAATCTCAAATTTACAAGAAAAAAGATTAGTTATTTAGAAACCACAGCATTTAAAATATTTACTGTAATTGATATTAAACAGGGGCAGATTAAGATAAGTGGTAGTTCTAAGCAGTAAACGTTGTGAGGCCCTAAAAAAAAACAACAATATATACAATTTTAAATCTGCAGAGCAACTAAACGAGTAGGATGTAACTTAAAGACTTTAAATTTATCATTTTTTATTAGAAATTTTTGATCATTTCATGTAAATTTTATTGAACTTTACAACCACTTTCAAAATTTTTAGACCCCTATTTCTTCTTAGTATCGGAGACCCTGCACAGTCTCTTAGTGCACTAACCACTGAATCGTCCCCTGATCCTAAATTAATTTTTCTTCTCCTGAACATTCCAATTCAAATTTTCTGTTCTTTATTAATAGTCCCTCTGTTATTAATGGTACAGTCCTCTTTTTATCAAATTATCAACTAACTAACTAACAAACTTCCCAGCCCTATATGCCGGAATGACCCTAGGCCTCCTGAGTTGCTCTTCTCCACTTCTCTTTGTCTTGAGCTCCTCTCTTCCAATTTCGGAATCCTAGCTTCCTCGCATCTCTCTTTACTTCATCCTTCTCCTGCTTCTTGGTCTTCCTCTTTTCCTCTTTCCACAAAAGTCCGCTTCTAGTATTTTCTTCTGCACCCCTTCAATTTCTATTCTGACCACATGTCCTGCCCATCTCAGCCTACTTGCCATAGATAATAATGACATAGTTGACATATTTAATAATGTTATGATTATCTAATATAGCTTCGATTTCATTGTTACTCTTAATTTTCCACGTACCATTAACTCTTGTAGCTCCATAAATCCTTATTATTATTTTCCTTTCAAATACGCCAATTCTCTTGTGACAAACACCAGGTTTTCACTCCATAGGTGACTACTGGTCTAATAAGATTTTTGTATAGCTTTAATTTTGTAGCTTTTGACAACAATTGAAACTCAAGAAGTTTAAGGTTTACATAGTAGCCTCTATTACCAGCCATTATTCTTTTGTTGATTTCTTTGCTGATTTTTCTTTATTTAGGACAGAACTGATATTCACAAATGTGGGTACCCATTCAAATCTAAAATTCCTTATTTTGATGCTGCTACAGCATTTTCTAACTGCTGCCGAGGACAGTTTTAAATATTAAGTTTTGTTTTCGTTGACCACTAGCCCTACTTTGTTACCATTTTCATATATTATTTCAAATGCCTCTTTAAGTGCCTTTTCACTTCTGGCAGCAATTACTAGGTCATCAGCATAGGCACAAATTTGTCACGTCTTATCCAATGATAGTGCCTTTTTGAGCTGCGTTTTTCACAGTTGCATACAAAGCTATGTTGAACAGCATTGCTAAAAGAGGATCTCCTTGACGTACTCCAGATTGTACCTTAAAGAATCGACCAACTTTATTTCCAATAACAACTTTGGACAATGCACTTTCCATGGTCATGTGCATTAAATTAATTAATTTATGCGACTCAGATCAATATCATATTCCTAACATTTTCCCCTCATTTGTCTTACTATAAAAATTTGATCCATAGTTCCTCTGCCAGGTTCAAAACCACATTAGTAATCTTCCAAACTTTTCTTGGCATATTTTCACAGTCTTTTTAATATGAAACTAGAAAGGAGTTTATACAGGACTCCCGATAGGATTATTCCTCTGTAATTTGTGCACTGATTCTTACAGCCATTTGTAAGAATAGGGCATATTAATCCAACCCTCCAATCATCCGGCATCTTTTCCTCTCTCCATATATCACAGATCAATTCATATTAGAGCCTTCATTTTACTACTACAGTTTTAATCAATTCTGTAACTATCCTGTACTCACCAGGGGCTTTACAGTTCTTCAAGTCCTGATACTCTTTCCTGATCCAATTGACACCCTTGTAAAATTTTCTGCTTTCATGCACACTGTTAACCATCTTTGTATTATTCCAGTTGTAATTTCTCCAAATGTCTCTTCTGCCGCCTTGCTTATAGCTTCCTTTATCACTTTCCGTTTCTTCTCAATCGTTGCACTTTCCCTGCTTTCCTCTTCAGGCTGATTTCCATCTAACTTCTCTCTCTCCATCTCTCAATCCATAATCTCTTAAAAATTTTCGTATCTAGTTAAATGAGAGAGCCCCTTTTCTGAGAAGTTTCACAGATAAAAAATTTGTAGTTTACAATAAGATGAAGGCATTCACAAAGTTTTAGGCAGATTTTAATTATTTGATAAAAAGGGGTCTGTACCATGGACTATAGCAGGTCAGGATGGCAGTCAAAACATAAGATTTATATCATTCTCAAGTCTAGCGATGCTGGTTCGATTCCAGCCTGGGCAAGTTGAAATTCATTTTGTGAGGATCCACAGAATATTTCTCGGCCTTCCCACTCTGGTTAGAATAGGTTTGGTTACAACGTCTGGAATACCCACCTCCTCCCTGCTATGCCAGAAATGGCGAGTTGGGGTTAATGGAAAAAAATTTCTATTGTCATAACTCTTTAATTTTGAAACAAAAGATGTTATTTAGCAAAGTCTTATTTCTATAATGAAAAATAAATTAAAGCTTTATATACCTAGATAAAGCTTCTGAATATAAAAACTTTATCTGTTATTGTTGCTAATTATATCCTAATTTTTGTTTTAATGATTTTAATTACTTTTTGACTTTTAAGATTGTTTGCACACATTGTCTCAAATATCAAAATTGGTACCAATATCCTAAAGGAAATAAATAATCACAAACTGGGCGGTGAAATACTGTTCCTACCTATGGACAACTTAATTGAGACATCTTATATTTATCCTGTATATGAAGTAAGTATTCACAAAAAGTTATTTAAAGCCAAATCTTCAGTCATTGAAATTTATTATTTAGAGATGGAGATATAGTTGACTTTTAAAATTATAATAGAATGAAAAAAAGTTAGGATTAACAATCATTTATATAGTTTATTAAATTTTCGAACATTTCAACTCAAGCATCTGGGACATTATCAGGGCCATGGTTTGCTGGCTAGAAAATAACTGAGCCATAAAAAGAAAATATGGAACAAAAAATTAAATCAAAAGTGGCTGAGTTCTTGATGATATCTATATGCTTGGGTCGAAATGTTGACAAACTTAATAAATAACATAAATGACTGCATATCCTGACTATTTTTCGTCCTTAAAATTTATTAGTCAGTGGTACAGACTCCTTTTTTTCAAAGTCATAACATTCTCAAGGTTACGATCCAGTACATTATTTAATACACAATTAGACATCCGTCGGAAACTGCAGATTATTTTACAATTCAGGTAGAAAGCTGAATGCTGAAGTTCATAAGTTTTTAGTACTTCATGAAATAAACAAAGTTTATGGATCTCCAAATTGAAAATTTCCCATTTCTGAGAATTTTGTAATTAAAAAAGTTGTAGGTTACAAGATAAAGCAATTCAAGTTTAGATAGATGTTATTAATTTGATAAAAATTGATCAATACCATGGACTATATTATATTTTAATGATACAGTACTGATATTGTTCTATGTTTTAATATAACATAATAATGTTTTTCATAATTTAAGTGGAAATTCATAACTGGATTATTAATTTATTTTAGGATGTTGAACCAATTCTCAATAGAATGAAATTCAAACCACAAATGGAAAAAGTTATGAAATATTTATTTGGTCGTGTCTTGATTTGTAGAAATATTGATGTTGCAGTCAATGTTATGAAAAAAACTAGTGGATTAATATCTATAACACTGGAAGGAGATAAGGTATTATTTTATTTAAAAATTCAAGTGGATACTAAGATAAAAAAAAATAAAACTTCAGTTTATACAGTACCATCTCAGTTGAGGTTGTGTTGGCCGAGTATGTTGGAGCGTTGCCCGGGCTAGCATCCTCGTGCCTAGCGACACCGGTTCGAATCCGGTCTGGGAGGGGTTGACTTTTATTTCTCGGCGGACCCACGGAATGTAACTCGGCCTTCTCTCTCTGGTTAGAATAGGTTTGATTGTACCTCTAGAACAACCTCTCTCTCCCCCCCTCTAAATGCCAGAAATAGTGGGTAGAGGGTTATGCAAAAAAAAAAAATACTATCTCGGTAATCCAAACTCTATACTATGACTGATTAAAACTTATGAAATTTATTTGTATAACTTTTTTTTTAAGAACTCAGTTATTTTTGTTTACTTTGTGTGGGAAGTGCTTTTATGCTATATCTGCTTCATATATGGAATTCATATTCAATGAATGATTTTGGAAAATTCGATTTACCAGATGGTCATGTAAAAAAACTTTAATCTGGCTCCCTGTCTCTCTTTTTTCTTTTTCCAAACAAAACTGTTCACCCTCTTCTTTGTCTTTTTTAATTACTGAGGTTGTACAGCCTTTAAATAAGGATCGACTTCAAAAGTATTCATTCTTGATCAAGAACTAGTTCCTTTATGATCAGTGTTGTTTTTATTACGGTCAATAATCAAGTCTAAGTTTAATACACATTCATGTTCTACAATCTTTGAAAATATTAAGGATTTTCTACATTTATAAAACATAATTTATCATTACTAATTAAGGTGTTGGCTGTTAGCAGAATATTTTTGTTCTATATAAGTATTTGCTATACAGTAAAATAGTTTGTCTTTTATTAGATAAAACGGGTTTTCAACTTGGGCTGAAGTTGAATCCAAAATGGATTTTTTTTCCTTGTTCCATGTTTGTTAATGTGAGTGATCTAAGCTAAATACTTAAATACGGCCATGTTAAACCTTAACAAAACCTATTCAATTCAACCATGTTTTATGAAAATAATATTAAAAAATTACCTCTAAAAGTATTGTTCGTGTAATTACATTTTTTTTTTTAATAGGACTTCAAGAATCACTTAAACATCATTTCATATACAGTTAGTTTCTTACAACTAGCCAAGTCAGTTTGTGTCAGCTGAGGTTGGAAGTAGGATATTTCATTGTTGAGGAAATAATCTTCCACTATGTCAGATCACTAATCCTCTTTTATACCCAATTGCAACAATAAATTATAGAAAGAACATTAATAAAAACCGAGCAATAATTTTCTTATAGTTCTTGAACATATTATTTTATAATTGAAAAAAGATTGAATTTAATGTCACTTATACTGAAATTAAAGTCTTAACAAAGTCAAATGATACAGTTCAGATAGTAAATATAATTAGGTTTCATGGTTTCACATTATTTTAGGTATCCAAAAGTGTTATGTCTGGTGGGTATGTTAGTAACTCAAAATGTTCCAAGATCTTGTTTTCAGAAATTAATCGTCTACAAGAAACCAATATATTAAAAACTGAAGAACTTGAAAATGTTCAAAATAAAATAAATGAGTTGGAAGAAAAAATTAATCGTGGAATATCATACAACCAGAAACTCAAAAAGAAGTAAGTTAATTTTTAAAGTAGTAAAGAGAGAAATGTTATTCATAAATAAATAGTCCAGTAAAGTCAGGGAAAACAACAGTCTTACCCCAACATTAATAAAATAAAGATGAAACTTTTCAGAAATTGTTCATTACCCTCCCCATAATAACTGGTAAAAAGTCCCAAAGAATTCTGTGTCGGGTTTTGACGGAGGGAGAGGTGAAGAACAGGAAACTGATATTTTTTCGTTTTCTGAGAATATCTCTAAAAACTGAGAAGTTTTTCGCAAAGATTGTTCCGTACAATATTAAAGTACTTTGAAATCTCTATAAAAATGATCCTATACATTTTTTGATAAAATCAATGGTTAGGGAGATATTTATGAAATTCTATTTATTACATTTCCACTTTAAGCAAAAATTGCTCCAACCACGAAATTGGCATTGTATTGTTCATAGTAGAGGATAACTTTTTTTAAGTTTAATTAGTTTTTTAACATTTTCAATCTTTCGAATTATTATTCAAAGTTTCTTTCTTTTAATGATTATTAAAAGTCATTAACAACAGAATTATATTCGATATCAATCAATGGAGAATTTTGTGATAATGATATGAAGTTTAGATTGAGAATACATTAAAGCTTATAAAAAGTTACCAAAAACCATGGTCTGATTACATACAGAGAACCAAGCAACTTAATTTTTGTAAGTTTTAAACCAACCACATTTTATGTTGAATAAAACGTAATAACTAAAAAAATGTTTAATTTAAGTTACAATCATTTATCTCATAGTAAACTAGGTTAAATTCACATTAAATGCAAGTAAATCTTGTCTTTTTTAAAACAATTTAAAGGGTACTTTTAAGCAGTTAAACTACGGTAAGTTCGTGCTTTAATCAAATCAGGGATACTTGCTATTTATTTTGTAAACCAACAACACAGCTGAAGATACCACACTTTCGGAAAAAAACTTCCTCGTTCGATTTAAGTTTATATTAATTAAATTGAGTTTAAATTTTCTCTAATTGGATAAATATATTATTAGTACGGAAAAATTAGGAATCGACCCAAATATTTTTATATCTTTTTACTCAATTAGGGATGAATTTCAACTTATTCGGTAACAGACCACAACTTAATCAATATAAATTTTAGCCCATCAAACAAGGAAGTTTTTCTGAAAGTGTGGTATCTTCAGTTTAGTTTGAGGTTTACAAAATAAATCGTGACGTATCTTTGATTTTATGAAAACCTGAACTTAATGTAGTTTGACTGCTTAAAAGTCTCCTTTAAATTGTTCTAAAAAATACAACATTTACTTGCATTTAATATGAATTTAACATTGTTTACTATGAGGTAATTGGTTGTAACCTAAATTAAACATTTTTTTTTTTATTACGTTTTATTCAATATAAAACGTGGTTGGCTTAAAAATTACAAAATTTAAGTTTACTGGTTGTCAATGACCTTCAAGAATCATTAAAAGAAAGAAACTTTGAATAATAATTCGAACTATCGAAAATGTTAAAAAACTAATTAAACTTAAAAGTTATCGTCTATTGTGAACAGCATCAATTTCGTGATTTGGAGCAATATTTGCTTAAAGTGGAAATGCAATAGATAGAATCTCATAAATATCTCCCTAACCATTGATTTCATCAAAAAATTGTACAGGGTCCTTTTATATTGTACTGAACAATCTTTGCAAAAACCTCATAGTTTTTGAGATATTTTCAAAAAACTAAAAAAAAAATGTTTCCTCCCTTCTGTTCAAACCCGACGCAGGATTCTTTGGGCCTTTTTACCCGTAAAAAGGAGATTGATATGGTAATACCAATAATTAAAATTTTTTTTGTAAATTCTGTTATGTTTTGAATACCAGGCAGAATAAGCTAATAAAAGCTTATTCATACTGTCTATGGAGTAATTCCAAGTGTAATTAAATGTAATAATCATTAAATAGCGGTTTCAAGGTTTCAAATGAAGCTTTTGGTAACCTTAGTTTACTGTAAACCAAGTATTTGATGTTTTAAAGTTTCCAAGAGAAGAGGGGTTGGTGATTTTAGCTGGTACACAAGTGTGCCCTCCCTCTCCAGAAAATTCCTGGATAAAATTGATAGCATATTCTTAACTACTAAAGATAAGCGGCCTCTTAGGAATAGGTACTCTTCTTAGATTGAAGTAATCCAGACTTACTATAGCTTTTCACCCCTGTTTAAAATCTTTGTAGTATAGCGGCAAATATACAAATTTAAAGTAAAACCACTATAATTATTGAGGACTTAATAAATAAGAAACAGAAGAGGGGTATTTAAGTTTAAAACTGAAACTCAGTATTAGATTACAATGTAAAGGTTACCGAGAAATTTTTGGCAAACATGTATTTATTAGCAAATTAATTGCCCTGATGACCTGCATACATTGTGGGCCAAATACAATAGAATAGTAATAAGATGTAATATGTAATATGTATTTTATTTCCAATTAACTGACTCAGTTAATCATAATATTGGTAATGCTTTTTGTTTGAGAATTTCTTCAATAAATTACCTGAAAAATTATTTGAAATTCATTTTACATGTGGAATCATAATCAGGACATTGTATAAATTTAAATTCTAAGATATAAATTAGATGTAATCGTAAGATTACAATATGTATCAGCTTTATTTTAATATCCTAAATTAAGCGGATTTGTTTATTCTAGATATTCCAGCACTGTTCTGAAAGAAAATTTACAAAGACTGATTGATGATCAGAAGTATGGAAGCAAGGAATTTATGAACATTAATGTACTGATTGAAAACAAGAAACATTCCATTAGAGAACTTCTAGTATCCCGGAGGATGTTAATTGAAGAAATATCTGAGGTATTGGGCTTATTGAAGATATTAAAAAGAATCAGTGAACCCAGAAGTACAATTCTGACACTTCTTATGATCGTCTGAATTTATCTCTCAATTACATTAGATTACAATCAAAATCTACTTATCAACCTATCTTCCATCAATGTCTTGTCCTCCTACCTCTCAGACGTTTGTTCGTTGATTTTAGACTGATTACCTTATAATCATATTTGTAGTAGATAGCCCCCAGTATTTACTCCTTTATGTGACATTGTGTGAGGGAATGAAAAGGAATATATAGGAATATGAGATTGCAATATGAATTGTACTCAATAGTGCAGTGGATAAATTGTTCATTGAAAAGTCTCCTATTGATAAACAATTGATGAAGAAGGAAGAAGCTTGAAAAAGGACCGAGCAGGTAGCGGCAGCTGGAGAAGGACGATGGAGAGAAAATAAGGCACTCTAGACCTGGACAGGAAGAAAGGAGGTTAGCAGAAGAGATAGGTACTGCACTGAAGATTAAGAAGCCTAAAGTTTTAAGGCTTTAATAGATTCACTTATTACAGTTGTAAAATAAATTGTTATGTTAGACAGGAGTAAATAGTCCTGTTATTTAGTTGTCCTATAGGCCTCACAATTGAAGAATAACAAACCAGGTGGGTCAATTCATTCAAAGTGTATTTACTAAGTCCCACATTTCATATATACATATATATTCTTATTATTTCTTCTCACTCAGTGTCACAAAAGCATTAGGTTCCCGAATTCCCAACGACAGTTAAACACCCTCAAAAAGTCTATATCCAGTGCCGGGATTTTGTATTAAGAAAATTAAATTCACGAGTGTAAATAACCTAGTTCCCCAGCAAAGCGGAAGGAATATTTAGAATTCCCACCAAAAGGAAGATTTAAATTTTAGCTCTTAACAGGTTATTTACATATTTTTAGGCATTGGTTCTTTACATAACCCTATCTTTACTAACCCATTCATTATTTCAACTACATTTACTGTTTGCATGTGATGGAATTTTCGTGGGTTTTATTAATCGAATAAACATAATTTTTTTATGTAAATAAACATCGATCTGTTTATCCTAGATTCAGACAAACTCCTTGCCCCATCTAAGCACCCGGTCCCATTTTTTCTCCCCAAACTATATCCTACTGAAGCCTTATTTCTCTCACCTATGAAACCCTGTCCCATGATCTCGATGCTATCCAGTGGAATTTCATTTATTTCTTAAACTCCATTGATACCATGGTAGAAATATTTACCACTCTGAAGATTATCTTTCCTTCAAACAACCCCGAAACGGTACTCAATCTCCAGTATGCCATGCCCATCCATTTATATAAATGGACCTATTCCTTCCTTCTTTAATTCCAATCATTTCTTCTTTTCCCATATTACTCCTGATGACCTCCTTAAATCCATTCGTAAATGTCAAACAAATGATTTCAGACCAGATAAAATCATAGTTAAATTGATTAAATCCTCTCTTCCTCCCATTCTCCTTATCCTTTATCATATTTATAACGTCTCGTTACAAAGTTCGACCTTCCACAGCACCTGGAAAACTGCCCTTGTTCGTCCTCTGAATAAAACCTCCGATCCCACAACCCTTAACAATTTCCGTCCAATTTCCCTATTATCTAACCTTTCCAAACTTCTAGAATGATTAGTTCAATCCCAATTATTCCACTATCTCGAGAAAAATAACCTTCTGAACTGCCTCCAATGTTGTTTTAGTCTCTCTATCCATTCCGCCCTCATTAAAATCTCCCAAGATCTCCACACAGCTATAGACAAACAGAAACTCACCATCCTTATTCTCCTTGATTTTTCCATATCCTTTGACTGTATGGGAGCAGGGTAGCTCAGTGGGTGAGCACTGACATCCAGAGCTCAAGGTCCTAGACTCGAATCTGGTTAATGACTAGTAATTTTTCATTAGCCGTGGATTGACCCTGGGGTCAGGAGACCCTCCTGGGGCACACCTAGCCTCTACAAAGTGGGGTACCCTTAATTAAAAAAAAATAAGGGGGAAAACCTGGCGGTTGAGCATGATATGATATGGACCCCATCACCTCCCTGCACAACTGTAACAGTACTTCCTCGCATAGTACTGCAGCCAAGACCCTTCATGAGTTTTATTGGTACAGGTTTTTTTTTTTTTTTTTTTTTCTTTGACTGTGTAGACCACAATATCCTCCTAACAAATCTTTCAAATATCTCTTCTAGAGCCCTTAATTGATTCTAATCCTTTCTCAATGATCGCTCCCAGTATGTTGCAATCACTTATAATCTCCCCACCAGATTCTCTAACCTTGTCCAGAGGTATTATTCAAGTTACCTCCTTATCTCATACACTTTTTCCATCTATATCAAGAACCTTCCGTCCTCTTATCATGCACTGTCAATACCAACTGCATGCCGATGATGTCCTAATTTACCTCTCCTTCGATCGGACTAATTCCTCTGATGCCATCCTAAAACTCCAGAAAGATATCAACAGAATATGTGCTTGAGTAAACCATAATAGGCTCACTCTAAACACCAAGAAGACAAACACTATCTTGATCGGATTCTCCTCACTCTTCAAATCTTCTCCTGAACAACTCACATGTCTCATTCCATACTTCCGTTAAAAACCTTGGTGTTATTTTTGATCAAACCCTCTCCTAGAAACCACACATCTTCCAAATTTCTAGTTATACTATTTCTACTCTGAAACAGTTCAACCATTTACGATATCTCCTTCCATACAAAACCTGTCAACTCCTGGTTTCCTCTCTTGTTTTTCCCTACTTCCCCTATGGCTGGTTGGTATATGGTGGACTCTCGGGAGAACTCCAAACCAAACTTAAACGCCTAATGAATCGCTCAATATGTTTTATTTTCGGAATCTCAGGAGATACACATATTACACCGAGTTGAAGTGGCTCCACTCATCCTACCGCTGTCAGTACTTCCTTGCTATCAGTACATGTAAGAGAGGAGATAGGAGGGCTTTCAGGCAGGTTTTTTTATTGATCTATATTTGTTTCTGTAAGTGATAAGAGTTGAATATTTAAACAATCAAAATATGTAATATTTTTAAATTATAATGCATGTCTTTCAGTTACTAAATGTAAGTACATGTCAAGAAAAAAATTACTACTAAAAGTATTATTGTTCCTGTAGACGGGTTGAAAACAGATATCATGACTTTTAATATGATACAACCTATTGATGTACGGACTATAATCCTTTATCATTAAATTTTCTAATTGCAATTTATAATAAATTACTTTTTAAATGACCAGCTGTACCCAGCCCGAAGATGTCTTGGCCTACTCTTGTTGAATATTACAGAATGGACCTTGGTGGGAGGAAAAAATAACTCCTATGAATTCCATTTTATTCTTTCTTTTTTGGACTCATTTAATTTTTCTAGTTATTTATTTAAAAATATGCCCATCCTCAGCAAGGTGTGCACACTTCAGAAAGATGATATGCTTCATTTTATTTAATAAATGCTTTACAAAAGAACATTAGGTGAAGAGACAAAAATTAAGTGAAAATCAGTTTACTTATTCTTGATATATTATAAATTATAACTTCTATGTACTGTCTGGATTTTATTTTCTTGTGATCTCATCATTTCTCCATCTTGAAATTTAGCAAGAATTCAATCAATACATGTCAAAACAATATGCATTTTTAAAAAAATAATCTAAGATGGTGTTTTTGAGACTTTCAAAATTCCAAATTTTGAAAACAAATAAACAAAATTCTTTTAAAGCTATTTTGTCATCATATTTAAAATAAAAGCCCATGCATTAAGATTTAAAATGAAATGTATCCTTAGCCCATCATTGGTTGTAAAGATGATGTATTCACATGGTACAAAACATGGTGAAATTCAACTATTTCAGTTGATTAAAAAAATGTATATTATTTAGTTGATAGAGGAAGACGGTTGGTGGTTGTTGAGCAGCTTCATGTGCCTGTTTTGCCAATAAAAGAAGAAGAATATGATTTAGTTAGTAAAACTGTCAGTGAAAAACCACATGGATCTGAAACATAGAAGTTAAGCTCTTTCGTGATTTCATATAGAATGACCCCAATTGAAGATTTTACAACAGATTATAAAAGGCAAAAGTTTTAGAAACTCATGCGAAATAGATGTTGATGCTGGAGTCAGCCATATGATTATATAAGGGTTAATCTTGCGCCAATATCGAGATTATAAACTCTGTCTAAAGTGTGCCAGCTTTCCACAGCTAGTGGAATATAGTTATAAATGTTTCTGAAAAATTATTAATGCTTCCAAGTTCAAAATTTTTTTCAGAAAACGTTTTTGGAGGATATTAATCCTTTGATTCTGGGGATGGGCTTTGTGGATATCCAACATACACACCACATACCAACAACTCAAAGTTGTACTGAGTCTATTTCAATTGAAAATGAAGAGCATGTTATGAAATGGAATAGAGAGGCTGTTTGTGTTATAAGAAGAATATCACGAGAAGACTCCTACTTCCAAAAAGTTAAAATATTAGCATCATTATACTAGGTAAGGAAAAAATTTGTAAGGGTGCCAGCTTCTAAAAACAATGGCATCCTTATAGGATGTACATTTATCTTGTCTACAACTACCAGCTAGGATTTTAAACACAGAAGAATTTTACCAAAAATTAAAGAAGGATACTATTGTCAAATGATGCTAAGTAGCTCTAATGATGACAAGAACTGCAATCAATGATAGTCTACACTTGGAAGGCTAAGGGATGAACATTGGAAAAACTGTGAAAGCTCTGAAAATAGAGAAGAGAAAAACTAGGAAATGTTCAATAAATTCCAGCAGATCTTTTCATGCTGTAACAATCGGATGTATTACTCCAGGAGAAATCCAAGCATACCCTAAGAAGACCAAAGCTGAGCACTTGATCGGTTCCAAAAGATAAACATGATGTTCTGTGGGACTCTGTATTTACTATAGGAGGTTTATCCAAGGCTTAGCACAATTCTTTGCTGATTAACTGAAACGGATCATTTTGAGTGGACCGGTAAACATTTTGCACTGCTTCCATTTTAACTTGTACAAAAGATATTTAATATTTTTTTCTTATTCTGCGAAAAAATAAATTGATTCATATATTATAAATAACCTATAAATTTAGGCAAATCAAACGTAAAAAGAAATAACAATGTTTGAAAATATGTAAAATATTTTTCTCTCTACTCATAAAGCCCATTGGAATGAACGCCGGAACTTATGTCGATGCAGAATCAACAATAAAATTTGGTTGAAATCAGGGACCCACTGACTCTGACCGCTCCTTGTTATCAGTCACTTTTGTGATATTCAGCTTCAAAAATTACTGAAAATGACTTGGGTATTTTTTTAAATTCATATTTAAAGAATTACAAAGTTTGAAAACTAAGAAAGTAACACAGTGATGATAAATGTATATCAGTTAATGATAAGTCTCTTTTCATGAATGCACTTTTAAAGCATTAAAAATCTTGTTTTATGTTAATGATCATGAATTGTTTTAGCCATGTACCTTTTTTCATAGGTGATGTGTTCTATGACAAGAAATATTGCATACATTATCATCATAATTTTACTTTTTTATTTTGATTTGACATCTGCTAAATTATCAGAGACATTTTCACGAAACTTGCTTGCAGTGAAAAATCAAATTTAACATTACAGCCATTATATAAGTGTGAGCCTGAAAACAATTTTAGTCCTAGTTTAACTCACCAAATAATAGGAAAGAACTGTTAAAAAAAAAAAAAAAAAATACAAGAATCTAAAATGTTGAGCAGCAAAATTAATTCAAATTGGATAATTTCCTTGGAATTAAACCAGTATTAATTGATTCATCCTAACTGACATAACTAGAATTTTGTATCTTTTATTCTGTCATTGATTTATTATATATATATACATTTTTTGAATATTAAGGATTTTGAAGAAATAAATGAAAAAATAAATGATGAGGTCATATTACTTAATAGAGAAATAAAGGAATATGAAAACAATCTCCACCATAAAAATCTTGAGCTGACTGCGTTAGAAAGTAAAAAATTGAAATTGGAAAATGATTTATGTCATCAAAGAAAGTTGAAAAGTTTACAAGTAAGTAAATATAATATATTTTATGAGATGAAGTTATAAGTTATAACCCCTGTCACAAAATAGAACATGCAGTAAAAATGTTTGCTGAATAATATGAGTTGATTATGATCTGATTTACTCAACTTTGCTAGCTTTATCAAAATAATCTAAGTCAATGTTTTATATCAATAAAAAAGGATTGATTAATATATTTTGAACATAAAATAAATGCAGTTTTAAATATTATTATTTCACTTTAATATTAATATTTGAAAAACAGATTCTATAATTAAGATTAATTATTTGTTTTAAATTATTTATTTGTTTATTAATATAAGTGACCATCAAGATTTGGTATCTAATCGAAGTTAATTGTTCAAGTTAAAAACAGGTTTAAATCTTTATCCTTAATGTTTATTTTGTGAAAAGGATTTCTAGGTTTATTGAGACGAATAATTATTGACCATTTTATCCTGTTACATTTGAAAATTAATTTTGATAGGTACTTATATAACTAGTAATAACAATTATAATTAAATTATTTTATGTTTTGATTAAGGAACTTGATAAATCTGAAATGAAGACTTATATGAAGAAACTTACAGATTATAAATTGAAGGAGGAAATAATAGATAATCGGACCAAAATGATAATAAATAAAATTGAAGAAACTGAGAAATCAATAGCTGATTTAATCAGTGAAGTATGATAAAATATTTTTTTTTATATTATTATTTATGAAATTTACAACTGTATACAAATTAATATACATTCAGTAAATATGATATAGAGAAATACATGGCCTGACAATGCTTGTAGAGAATCTACCCATTGATAGCACTCTAATAAAGTATCTAAATTAAGAGGTCTTGAGCCCATCTTCTTTTCAGACGATTAAGGGGCTTATCAGGGATGGAGGAGGAAGCAAGGATTAGGATGGTTCTGAAGTTTATTATGGAAGGATAAGAATTTGGGCCAAATTGGAAACATGGCACATTCAGGTCGTTATGGATTATTTTATTTGTAACAAATTAAAGAACATTAAGGACTTTATGAAGGACTTTGGACTGTAAAGATTGGTTACGAGAAGAATTCGATGGTTTAGAGGAGTCCCTAAGCTCAACTCTATAAGTCCAAATAGGCCTTATTATAGTCATATATATGAGTCTTTTGTAATTAATTTAAAGCTTAGAGCATTTGTCTAGAAAGTGCTGAAATAGTCGGAAAAGTCAAGGTTTCTTGTTGTTTCAGTCTGGTATAAGGATTCTTAACAAAATACCAAAAAAATATTCATGGAATAAGAATTTCTGTGTTACTTATATTTTTAATGAGAATTTTTTTTTGTTAAACATGAATTTTTTATAAATTTGTTTATTACACAATGCCCTTTATGTTTATATTTTATAAAAAAATATTTCAGAGATGGATTAGCTACCATCACAGAGTTATTTAAATATGGGAAGAACAAAGGGTACCAAAGGCTTGAAGCATGAGCCTTGTCTCCTTTTATTAATTACAAAGGTATATTACCTACAAGATTATGACCAATAGCGGGCTAAACTGTGTTATGAAAATATAGTAGGCAACCACCATTACAAATACCAAATTAACTCAGTATGGTCATATAACCCGTTATAGAATAGAATAGAATAGAAAAATCATCTTTATTCTGGGACTAGGTCCCTTTAGAATAACAGTATTGTACATATATATTAACTACAAATCTGGTCAAAAGACTTATTACAATGAATAATGACAAAATACATGTAATATATTAAGTATTAATTAACGAGGACAGTTTGGTAATAGGGATTCAGTACTACAATATTGGAGCTAAAATAATTGCATAATAATCACTGAATGAAATTATAAAGGAAAGTACAATCTATTTTATAGGTAAATCATTGTAGTGATGGAATATAAAAATTTAAAAAAATAATAATAACTGTTAATATGTAGGGAAAGAAATTGTAAAAACTAAAACAAAAAAATATATAAAAAAACAAATAATGATATACATATGTTCCCTAAGATATTTAAGTGATTATGCGTAAAGATTAGGAGAAGAGAAAATAAAATAAAGTATATATATACCCATAGCGAGAAGTATGTTGAAGATAATTAGAAATAAAATATATTTCACTGAAATACATTCCATGAATAACAAATTAGAACTTAAGGAAAACAAATTTTATCTACTCACAATGCTTAGTGAGTGGTGATGAAAATTCACGTTCAAGACAGAATAAAACAATAAAAAATAAGAGAAAAAAATAATGTCTAAAGAAAATTAAATCCTTATAACATAGTATGTATTTAACCAGCATCTGATTGGATTGTGAAGAGGAATTGGAATAAGAGGGTTTTAAAGGTGGCTAAGGATGATGCATGGCGGATTTTTAGTGGGATGGAATTCCAGAATGCGGTGGAACGGACAACGAAGGAATGTTTAAATGATGCAGATCTGTGGAAAGGAGTGTAAAGGTCAGAAGGACGAGATCTTGTGGAGAGGGTGTGGATAGATGATTTGAATTGTAGGAGATTGTATGCGTAGGACGGACGATGACTATTGATTAATTGGTAAAGGAATGTGCCTAGGAAATATTGTCTTCGGAAGGAAGGGAAGAGCCATCCTAATTCAGCATAGTGGTGCGAAACACGGGAATACCTCAGGGCCCTTGTGACAAATCTTACGAAGGCATTCATAATTCTTTTCAGTCTCTCCCCGAGTTCTGCCGAGAGGCCACCGTACACCACGCAGCCGTAATCAAGGTGGGGGAAGATGAGGGAAGTTACTAGGAGTCTACGTGTGGAGATGGGTAGGAGATGGCGGAAGCGATGGAATAGTTTCAAGGTACCAATTGACTGTCGGGTAATGTGAGCAATATGGTGTTTCCAGGATAGGGTTTGGTCTATGAAAATGCCTAGGTTTTTTACTGAGGAGGTGAAGGTAATGGGATGGTCATTTAGGTACAGTATAGGTATGTTGGTATTGGCTCTGAGAAGGGGTTTGGAACCAATGACAATGGCTTGAGTTTTTGCAGCGTTTAACCTTAACCCATTTAAGTTTGCCCAGGCACTGATCCGATTCAAGTCTTCTTGAATTTTGGCAAACGCTTCATGCAACTCTGAGGGATATATACATATACAACAATCACTGGTGATCATGATCATTATTCCTATATTGAGGAGTAATAAGATAGCTGTTTACCATGGCTTATCCCCAATGTTACTGAACAGATACATCTAGGATTATCTTTATTTATCACAGGACTTAACAGATGTCAATGGAGTTCTTTAAAAGAATTCTATTTCATAATGGTTCAATATAACACAATATCTGCCCACTAGGTTATCTTAGTCAGCTATAGATTTACTTGTCACTTGGCAACCTTACAAAATTATCTGTTGAGAAGCTGGTAATTTTATTCCATAAGACAATCATGCCATGATATATGAGTTAATTGGTAAAACTGAAAAGTTCTTACTGATAAATTATAATCCAAATCATATTCCAAAGTCAACTTAGATATGTCCTAAGATTATCAATTTCAACAGAAGTGGCATGTTTTTTTTTCATGGCATTTTTTTCTAATACCGCACTGTGTGTAACAACATAGCCAACAAATATGCCTCACTTCTTCCTCTTTTGCTGTCACCGCTTTATTCAATTCTGCAATTAATAGTGCTGTGAAATATACGGAAAAAAAAAACAAGTAATATCATGACAGTATTGATATTAAAAGGTCCACAAGTAATACATTAATTAACAATATAGGTGCATATCCTCATGAATAAATTAGAAAGACATAATATGGCAAGAAAAGTTTAATGCAACTCATGTTAAGGGGCTTTACTTAATTGACATTAAACAATAATAAGAAGTGGAATAAAGAACCATCTTGTCAAGAGATTGGATCAAAGATAACAGAACTTCAATTTCTTCCTTGCAATTTAATAATATATGGACATTGAAATTTAAGAGGCTATTTGAACTAACCATGTTTGTTCGGTAAAAGTTAAACAATTAATTGAAACTTTGTGAGCATTCTATTGAACTAAATAGTCGCTGATAGTTTTTGATAATGTGGGCTGAGAAATACGGGCGTAGTTTGGCAACCGAAAGCAGTGGTCCTTTGTGTGGCCCAGTTGTTGACATCTGTAGCACTGTTCCTTCTATAAGACTACTTTGAAAAATATCTGGTGTGTCCACTCACACGACGTTCCTATCTATTTCAGAAAAGTTTTTAAATCTTTACATATGTTCATGAAGAAACAAAAAAGAATTGAACTAAATTTATTTTCCTGAAAATTGATCAAACAAAAGGTTTGAGTACGATTTACTTGATAAACTAAAGCATCGAAACCGGCTTAAGGTAGATCAGTGTAAAAATTTCAATACTCACTAATACTGCTGATCAAAAACTTTTTGCCATAGCTTAGTGTTGTTAAACAATAATTTCTACTTTCTGTTAAAAGTAGAGGAAATAATGAAGATAGTGTGATACGGGCAACAGATTTTCTTACTTTCACTTAGTCATCTTCATTCTCTTATTCACCCCTTTCTGACACCAGGAAATGAACTAGTAATCCTTCATTGGAAATTGAATAGCTGTAACTTCGTTAATAGTTGTCCAAAATGAATGATTTTTATATGGTTTTGTCGGTAATTTAATTACCTTTCAAAAGTTTTATTATAAACTTTACCGTATAATATATACTTAGAGAGTTAGGCCCAATAACATTTTTCTTTTCTTTATAACTTTTTTTCCTGAATTTTTTCGGGAATTTAGTCTATATACGAAAATTGAAAGGACAGTGATTAGAACATCATAGAAAAGTTTCATCAAATTCGTTAGAGACGTTTTCGCGCTACAGTCTATAGAAAAACATGTTTTTCATTTATTGCACGCAAGCTATTGCGCATGGAGCAACGAATTTCTGTCACAGGCATCAGTAGTCAAAACCCTACAAAATAAAAAAAGAAGCTACATAATCAGTTCAGTAGTTCCCGAGAAAATCTTGGCACAGACAGACAGACAGACCAATGGCTAAAAATATTTTTTTCGGACTCAAGGGGCTGTGAAACGTGTAGATCCGTCAAAAACCATATGTCGGAAATTATACCGGATTGCAATACTTTCCTTACCTAGTATAGGTAGGAAAGTAAAGACATTATTTATATACATTAATATAAAAGGGATTAAATTAATATTAATATATGAAGAGTTGGTCTGGGGGAAGGGAGGGGGTGCGGTAAAATAAATACTATTCTAATAGATAGTATTTATTTGACCGCATCTTCCGACCAACTCTTTCTCATATTGCAGTCATGGTCAACCGTCTCAACATCATTATAATATTAATATAAATGGGAGTGGGATAGCTCAGTAGTAGGGCACTGAAATTCCAATTTCCCAGGTTCGAATCCTGCCAGAAAATTTATTTATTCTGTTTCATTGGCCGTGCTGCAACCCTAGGGTAAGGAGATCCTTCTGGGGCACACCCAGCCTCTACAAAGTGGGTACCCTTAATTAAAATAATTAATTAAGGGAGAAAACCTAGCTGTTGAGCATGATCCTGGCCTAATCTTCTCCCTGCACAACCGTTGGCCTTGAAACAGTACTTTCCCTAAATAGTACTCAAACCAAGGGTACTAGTACTGAAACAAAGACCCTTCATGGGTTGTAGTGGTACAGGTTATTTTATTTATTCTTTTATTCAATTATAAAAAAAAATTATTTACTGAGAAGGTAATCTCACTTAAATACACTTATTCCTGCTTCTGGTTAAGGTGGTAACTGTAATATCAATGGAGAAAGTAGTGAAGTTTTTGAGGATGAAAGTAGGTACAATCTTAAGGGAACTTGAATCAAAAGAGTGGAACTTGGTGCTTGTATTTAATTTTTAATGAATGGTTATAATTTTGTACCCCATAGATGAAGAACGCCATGTCCATTTTTGTATTTGTTCGGGAGAGATAATGTTCCATAAATTTGAGCTATTATAATTTGTCTCTTAGTTACTAAATTATTTAATAAATAAAATGGACACGGTGTTATTTACCTCTGCGGCTCAGAATTACATCTTATGTTTGCTGAATGACTTTTAGTAAGTAGTTGGACTGACCATTTGTTCATTTACAGAAACTTAAATTGGAAGAGGATATAAAAGAGAGTTCAGAATTAGATATATCCATTGGAAGGAGAGATAAAATCATCAAAAAAATAATGCTGTATAAGAACAGATTGTCTAAGTACCAAGCTGTGTATAGTAAAATTCATATCTCTTCGAATGAGTCAAATGAATATTCTGAGTTCAGCCTGCCAATGGTTTGTAATTGAAGTTACTATTTGATTGATTATATATATATTTTAAAGATGCATATCTTACTTTGAGAAATATTAAATACAATTTCTGTTTATTTTAACTTTACTAAGCCGGAAATTCAAATTTAATATAATTAATTATTCAAGTGTCTGATTTTTGTAATCTCTCTGAAAGAGGAATATTTTAAAGTTAAAGGAACTACCTCACTTTTACATGTTATTTTAGTTTCTTTTGCGTACAAGGGGAAGGTGGGGGAGAGGGGTTTGTCCTAGAGGTACAACCAAACCTACACTAAATAGAGTGGGAAGATTTGAGATTCATTCTCTGGGCCCACCACAAAATAAATTTCAACTCTCTCCCCCCAGGCCAGATTTGAACCGGCATTGCTAGACTCGAGAATGCTAAAGTTTATAATTAAAAATGTTTGGACATCATGACCTCCACATTTTAATCTATCATAATGGCGGTCTTGTTGGTATAATAGGCAGCATTACTACTTACAAACCTTACTGAAGATCAAGTAAAATTCTAGAATCCCAGAGAAATCTTTTGAATGAGATAAAATCGACTTCAAGTATATGAATGAGTAATTACTTGAAAAAATAAGTACTACTTCAATCCAGAAACCAGAATTAATGTTATGATTTAGGAGACTAAAAATCATTATAGGGAGAACCGAGGTCTAGGTAGTTGGGTGTGTTAAGACGTCGCCTTATCAGCCTTTTATCACAAGCAATGCTGGTTCGAACCCCATCTGCACTGTTTGATTACCTATAGAATAATTCATCCTTTCTGCAATAGTTAGAGTACATAAGAATATTAAACAAAAATAAACAATTATAGAGGCAACAAATTTGGTTGGCTAATATTGAGTCATTTTAATCCAAAATAATACACCTTGTAATGGATCTTTGTTTCAATTTGTTAAAAATATAATATGTACATTTTTATATTTCTCATAGTGAATTTTTAATTTAAGTGTTCAAAGAAACAAATTCCAATCCTACTTATACTTCACATTTTAGTTTAATGTTTAAGAAATTTCTATTTTGCATGTGTATTATGTCTATAAAATGATGTTATGCTCTCTATTGTTTAATCATTGAACTTATTCTACCTGCCTTCGAAAAAACTTAAGTTTTTGTCAAATTTTCCAGTAAAAAATAATTTGCAAAACTGTTACTTTAACAAAACATTTAGGCTGCTCATACTGAAATGGTAAAAGTTAAGTATCGAATAACCATTTCTTTTTTCAGCTATATAATGAACTAAAAAATGAGAACAAAATCTTGAAATTAGCTTTAGAAAACAGCAAAAATGAGAGAAGGAAGAAAAGAATTACAAATCTGTATAAAAAATATGAGCGGTTATACAATGGTTTTACAAATAAGTAAGAATTTTTAAATCATAAAGCAAATGAATATAATTATTGAAATAAATCTATTATTTTTAATTTCAGTTATGTAATATATTCACATTTCGTGGAGTGGTATCACAGTTATATAGAACAATGTTTAAACAATGTGTCAGATAGTTTTTCAGAATTTTTTGAATCATTAACGTCTGGTGGAGATGCAAATTTATTTCTGGACAATGAGGAATCATCTGGCAGTGTGAGTATATGTAGATTATTTGTTTATAGTGTAAAATGTAGATATTAAAATCTTGATTTTATTTATTATCAAATTCCTTTTACTTTTATACTTCCACTCATTAATATTATAAAGTGAATCAGTGGTTTACATCACAAAATTAAGGGTATGCTACTTATCTACATGCTCATATATACATTGCATTGGTGTTGGCCACAGTCATTTTTTAACTGTTATCAACGACAGGGCACTGTCTCGAATTTTATGAAGTACTCGTCGAAATAAGGAAAGTAAATTTTGCATTCTGACATTTACTGGACAGTCCTTATTCTGATGGCGAAATGTTAATCATATTGCCATTGTAAAATAATGTTATAAAGGGTGATCCAATTTGAGTTTCCTTACTTTAATTTTAAAAGATAACATGCAAAATGTAATATTATTAGTTATATCTTTATTAATTCATATAATTCATTAAATATGAAAAATTATATCAGCCAAATGGCTCAAGAACTGAAGCATTTTTCAAAGAAAATTGTCTTCTCTTCTCAAAATGAAGCTCTCTTCCTGATATATAAGTATTTTAATAAACAAAATCACCACATTTTGAGACAGAAAAATCCTCACATGATACCATTGCTTTTGCCCAATAAGTTAGTGTATGATGTGCATTGTAGTCAAAAGGCATAATAGGTCCTAATTTATATAGGCGCTTGATAACCGATTATTTTTGGCATGAAATTTAAGATATTGATGTGGAAAACATGTTGTTTCAGCAAGATGGCGCAACATGTCACACATTGCAGGCAACATTATTTGTTTTTACATCAAAATTTCAGAGGTAGCATTATTTCTAATCATGGTGATATCAACTGGCTGCCAAGATCATGTGATTTGATGTTATTGGATTTTTTTTTTTTTGGTAGATTTTCTTAAGAGTAGTATCTATACCAACAAACCTGCAACATTGGAGCACCTAAAAACTAACAACTAACAAGTTATAGCCGTGATAAATCCAATACTTGCAAAAAAAGTCATAGAAAATTATCTCGACGAATCAACCGCTGTAGAATGGCCAGAGGTGCCTATTGGCTGACATCATTTTTTATATTTAATGATTTATACTAAATATTCAATCGATAAAGATATAACTAAAATAATATTGCATTTTATATATTTAAAAAAAATTAAAGTTAGGATACTCAAATTGGTTTCCCCATTATTTTAAATATTAATGAAATGCATATATTTATTACAAATTGATTAATACAATTAATTTCAATTCATCTGATTATTAATCATACAAAAATACAGTGGTAATTATTTATTAATGTAGAAAGTTAATGTAATGTTGAGGAATAAAAATGAATTGTTTTATTGATTTTCAGTGGCCAGCATTAGAAAATATTACAGGGCTTCAAATGTGTGTACAATTTCCAAATTCAGCTGAGACGTGGAATCTTTCGAACTTATCATTTAGCCAGTCATCATTAGTTGCTCTTGCATTAAAATTCTCTGTAATCAAAAGTTTTACCATTCCTATTTTTATTTTGGATGAAATTGATCGGGTAAACCAATTCCAAATTTTTTTTCATTATAAAAAATATATTTAAAAAAATGTAATATATATATATGTATTTTTTTTATTTTATAGCCATTAGAAGATGAACAGCAAAAATTAGTCTGCCATCAAATTTTAAAATTAGAGGGTCAAGTTCAAACTTTCACTGCATCACACTCCCAAGAATGGATTAAACTTGGCAAAAATGTTTATCATGCAACATTTAATTATACAGTGAGTTACTTATCTTATGCATACAAGTTATAATTTTTCCATGAAAATGATTTAAACTCAATATCATGATAAGCTACCATTAAACAATAATAATCCACACCATCCCGTGTGATGACTGAATACATTAAATTTAAACTTTTTTAAGGGAAAAATTATAGAGACATGGGAATGAATAATTTAAAAGTTTGGTAAATTGAAAGATTGCACTCAGTCGGAAATTTAAAACTGGAGATCTAGATAAGGAAAAATCATCCTCTGATTTCTCTATGGTTTTTTATTCAAGAGTTACTTATTCAAGGACTGGAAGCCCTTAAGTGTACAGGAAAGGAAATCCACATCATCATCATCATCATAAGTTGCACGACATCTCCTCTGACTGGGCTTCCTCCAAAAGTCTTCACCAGTTTGTTCGGTCATTAGCTGCAGCTCTTCAGTTTCAGACTCCAAGAAGGGCCCGCATGTGTGTTCCGCAGAGACCTAGTCCATCCATCGCACATTCAGTCGTCCAACTCCCCGCTTCCCGTAGAGCTCTTCGATAAGGAATCTTATTTTCGGAATCTTCTTGGCTATGTCAAAATCGTTGTGGAGTCTGTCTAACAGGACCGAAAATCTGTTTAAGATTGCTCTTCTCAAAGACAAGAAGCCTGGACTCATCCACCTTCGTGAATTCCCAAACCTGATAAGTGACGACTGGGCGGACCAATGTCATATAGAACTTGATCTTGGTCTGTTTAGAGAGCATTCTACTTCTAAAATGTTTGACAAGGCCAAAGTAGCAACGGTTAGCTGCTGCAATCCTTCTGTTTACTTTCTGGGTAATGTCATTTCGTGAGTTGATTTCCGAACTCAAATAGGTGAAGCTGCTCACCTTCTGAAAACGATACCCTCCTGCATCAAAATATCCTCCTGGTTCGGTTTCTCCAATCTGCATCATCTTAGTCTTATTAACAACAAGGCCAAGATCCCTAGAAGCATGTTCTAGAGCTAGGAATGATTCTCATAGGGTCCGTTCCGATCTGGCAGCAATATCAAAATCCTCTGCGTATCCCAGAAGCTGGACTGTGCTGTTAAACAGTGTTGATCGGAGTTGGATTCCAGAATTCCTTAAAGATTTCTCCCCTGCAAAATTAAAAAGAAGACAGGCCAAAGCGTAACACCACAATTTGAGAGAAAGAGGTCAGTACGCCCATACGGACCATACACTTTGAACTCTCCATTGTCATCTAATTTCAGAGGGAAATTCATTTCTTTTAGGGCCTGGTAAAGTTCCGGTCAAGCAACACTGTTATATGCGGATTTGAAATCAACAAAGAGATGATGAGTTACGATTTTATACTCTTTGAATTTTTCTAATATCAATATCAATGTAAATATTTTGTCCTTAGTGGATCTTCTCCTTTTAAATCCTGCTAGATACTTCCTGATCTCTCTATCCACATGGAGGACCAATCACTCGAAGAAGATATTTGAGAGTACCTTATAAGTAGATGAGATGAGAACAATACACCGGTAGTTGCTGCACTCCAGCTGATCTCCCTTCTTGTAGAGCGGGCAATAATACCTGTTGTAAATTCCTCAGACATTCTTTCTTCTTGCCAAATAGAAAGGATGGCATTGTGAAGATCCTTGTTGAAGTCCGGTTCACCCTACTGCAGTAGTTCTGCTTTAATGCCGCGCTGTCCTGGCGCCTTATTATTCTTCAATTTTGCAATGGCTACCTCAAACCCGTCTTCATTAGGTGGCTTCGCGTCATCCTGCATGTCCTCTTCTTTGCCTGTTTCAGCAACTTCTTCCACATATTCTTTTCGGAGTATCTTCTTGAAGTGAGAAGCCCATTGCTCCAAGATATTCTGTTTATCTGTTAGAAGACATCCTTCTTCGTCCATGCATGATGTCACCCTTGGTTGGCTGCCGTCTTCAGAGCTCCGAATATTCTCGTCCATTGTTCATCAGGAGAATCATTTCTGCTCCTCGATTCTTACACAAGCTATATTCTGAGATTCTCCACACACATCCACATCCTTTAGCTTGGAGACGTTGAATTTTTTCTGCATTGGCCAAACCTTGTTCCTCATATCTGAGATTCTTGCACGCATCCTGGTAATGCTAAATTAATGGTCCATATCTGCATTGGCTTCTTGATAAAATCTGACTCCAATGATGTTAGACTTATGTCGAGAACTTATGAGAATATGGTCTGATTAGAGACGGCTCCATTTGGTGGTATAATTTATCATACCAATTTTCTTTTACTTTATCAAATAGACTGAGTAGAAGGAAAACTTCCCACATTTAGACCAAAAACTTAATTATGAACGTGTATAAATTCATTATAGAGTTTTGGGGAGGTGGAACTTGAATGGGGCTAACTCATATTAGATCCTCTATACTTATCTATAATTTTTTTTCCATCACAACAGTTTTATATATATATATATATATATCCAAGTTTTGGGTTTTTGAAAGCGATAAGTATAAACTAGACAAAATTTCATATTGTTAATACCATTTAAAGAGGACTTTTAAGCAACTAAACCAAGCTAAGTTCTGTTTTAAAAAAATCATAAATTATTCGCATTTGTTTAATCATCATCCAACTATACTACAGATGGCCCACTTTTAGGAAATCTTTCCAATTTAATAAGCTGTAAGACCAAGTTAATTAAGTTGAGATTTAATAGGAAAAAAATTGAAATTCACCTCAAGTTGTGTATAGAAATAATTTTTTAACCTGACACCTAAAAATACCTGTTTTGTCAGCAAAAATGATTACAATTATTTGGTACAAAGCTTTTATATCTTGTTTATTATCTGGAATATATTGTAATCAAAATAATTGCCTAAATGCACATTTTATTTATAAAAATAAAAAAAGTATTAATATCGGTTTTTCAAATATTTTTCTTGTAAAGTGGTAAAGAATTGTGTTTTTATACCTTATCTCTGCCATAGAACTTGATTCATATTTATCAGTGATAAACAAAATTGTTCTAGTCCTAAAATTTATGTTTATAATAAGAAAACCTACTAATTGTTTCAATGATTTTCATGAAAACATAAATATTAGGGCTATAAACATTAGGTTTGTCACTTACAAATCAGTTCCTATAGTTGAGATCTGGGAGAAAAATACAATTTCATAACAACCCAACATGAAAAATATTTTAAAAATTATAATTTCTTAATTTTTTATTTTTATAAATTAAATGTGTATTTAGACAATTACGTTTAATCACAATACATCTTAAATCATAGCAAAAACAAGAAACAAAAGCTTTGCCCCAGTTAATTGTATTTTTGATGGAAACACGGGTGCTTTTATGTGACAGGATAGAAAACCACATCTCTTATTTGAATGAAAATAATTTTATTATTCTGGGACTATTGTCCCTTTAGAACAAGTTACAAATACAGAATATATATCAATATTTTGGTGTGTCCATAAAATACAATTTAATATTTACAGGTTGATTCGGAGTACCATAAAGTTATAAGTAATAAAAAGATATAAATACGTGTAAATATAAAATATACAGAGGAAGTAATTAAGTAAACGAAATATCGATGAATTACAAAATAATTAATTAATAAATAATCAGAGTATCTGGGTGTACTTTGAGGTTTTAAGTGCATTTCGTGATCAATTGGATTGGGAATGGAGTAGGTGTTTGAAGAGGAAAGATTTGAAAGAGGATGATGATTTTGTGTGTTGAATATCTGAAGGTATAGAATTCCAGGAGGAGACAACTTGTATTAAAAAGGATTTATCAAACGCATCAGTTCGGTGAGGAGGAGGATAGAGGTCGGATACACAGGATCTGGTGGGACGGGATTGAAAAGAGCGTTTGAATTGTAGGATCTGTAGAATATAGGCAGGTCGCATTGTTCTAATGGCATGGTACAGGAAGGTAGCTAGGAAATATTGACGGCGATAGGATGGATAAAGGCACTTCAACTTGGTGTAGAACTGAATTGCTTTTTTTCTCAAGTTTTTGCCTTATAAACCTCAATTTAATTAATATGGACTTAAATCTTATTAAACGAGGAAGTTTTTTTTAAAGTTGTGTATAGGCCGTATAGGTCTCTGTCGTATAGGTGGATAATGATAAAATAAATCGCAAATAATTTATGATTTTTTAAAAAACAGAACTTAGCTTACCCTCTTTAAATGGTTTTATTAATGACAAACTCTATGTTTATTTGAAGTAAATTTTGTCAAGTATACAGAAAAGTAATTGCAAATTACTTTACTTTACTTTTAGTTAACACCTTCTATTCAACAAAATTATGTAAACATGGCTTACTTAAAAAAAAACAATACCCAAATTTGGATTTCCTACTTTTGGAAAATTGGCTTTTTTTATATGAACTTTTTTGTAGGTCTTGAGGTTTGCTATCACTCCCCTATAAAAATTTCCCTCTACTCATGTGACACCCTGTATATTTATATATATATATATTCATTCAAGGTTCTTTGGAGAGGAGATATAGTAAACTATTTATTTGTTGTTTATTATCTCTTCTATTCCTTACTTCATCTATATTTATTGTTTGCTTCTTTTATAGTTATATTTTGTTTTTCTTCACCATATTTAAAGGCTATAACATAGACTGAAAACAGCAAACTTCTCCTTGAATTAATTTATTTGTTTTAAGAATGTAAAATAAAATAGTAAAAATATAAAACAGGTTCATTTTTCAAAAATTCGAGACAGTAATCAAGGACCCGTTTAAATGTACTAACACTGATTTATTTTCAGGGTAGCAATATTAAGAAACTTACTGCAACAGAAGTAGCACATTTTCTTAATGAAAGACAGACGCCAGTTGCTCAAAGTCATAGTTTTGGTTCTGGATATGATACAGTTTCTTCAATCCTTGCATAGTTTCATAAATATGTAACATAATTTTTTTTAACGTTTTTGATTAATTAAGATGCTTAGATTGACATCCTTTGTTTTTAAATTAATGTATGCAATATTTGGAAAAACGTATTAGAAAAAATTAAATAAAACCATATATTTAAATTTCCTATTCATAATGATGGAGTTCATGCATTCATAATCAATTGGTTTCTCTGTATAAAAAAATATACTAACTTCAGGAAAACAAAATATTAGAAAATCTAAAAAAAATATTGATGAAACCTTATATGTAAGTTTTCATATTTATAATATTAAAGTTCATCTATCCTTAATCAATTTATTTCTTTATATCACTTAAAAACTAATGATATTTATATTCTTATTATTCTGTAAATTTTAAAAGAAATAGTTCTTCCTTATAACAATAAAATAAATATATTGTTTCCAAACTGATTTTGTTATTATTGAATCTTTTCTGATTAAAAGTGTAAGCTCAAGCTGAAGAATTTCATCAACAATTTATAAGGAATAAGTTTTATTATCTTTCTGGAAGTTAAATGTTTCTTTATTAACATTCTTGTTGATAAGTCAAGTTTACCTGCCATTTAATTTCTGTGGATACCACAATGGCTTGGTATCCATTGAAAGATGATATCTATGTTTCTGAAGAACCAATCCTTGAATGATATATTGGCCTTCCAAAATATTCCAAGCATAGGAATTATTGAATTGGAGGACAATGAGTTTGGCCTTTTGAAAATCTACCAACAGAAAATTTAACATCAGGATGGTGCTTGATAGTTATTGCGGCTTCCATGATCCGATTTTTTAGCTCTTCTTGCATGGCAACTGCCGCAGAATAAACCATAGACTTCATCCAGTCCCACACAAAATAATCTAATGGTGTTAAATCCGGAGATCGTGATGGTCATTTAACAGATCCGTTTCGACCAACCTATTGGTCTCTATACATTGTATTTAAATAATCAGTGACACTATTAGAAAAGTGAGCTGGAGCACCATCATGCATAAACCACAGCCTTTGCCTAATGTCTAGCGGAATATCTTCTAGGAGTTCATGAAGATAATTTGAAAAAAATGCAAGTAAGATATACCTGACAGGCTGGGTGGCAAAAAGAAGGGGCCGATGATGTTGTTCCTTAGAAAACCACACCAGACATTTAAAGAAAAGGTATGTTGGCTATGTCCAACAGCAGTCCTATGAGGGTTTTCTTCAGCCCAAGTATGGGCATTTCAAAAATTAAGAATCCCATCTCTTGTAAAGCAAGATTCATCAGTAACCAAAATGCAGTTCAGTAAGTTAGGATCTCGTGTGCATTGCTCTTAGGCCTTATAGCCTACAAGGTGAAGAAAAAAAAAAATGATGAATTTTGTTGAAGAATCCTTATTTGAAAACGAAATAAATCACTATCTGTATTAGAGGAGCTTCAAAGATGTAAATGTAAGATGCAAGATGTAATTAATTCCAAAAAGAAGTTTTCTGAAGCAATTGTTGGTTATAGTAAATTTCACTTTCTCATTCACTTATATGCCTGTAAATTGTCATTATATTATTCTTATACTTATTATTCATTTATTCTTGCTAGCTCATTAGTTGGTAGATTGAATATTAGATATTTTAATACCAAAAAAAACAACCCATACAGAATGGACAGGTAAGTTTTTCTCTTACAACATGTGTTAAGGATAAAAGATAAAAATAAGAATTATGAATAAAATAAAAAAATCAGAAGATATTCTCTTATTTTAATAAAAAAGTATAGTTACAGTCATCTCTGTCAATAGAAATACTATAAAAATACCAAAATAAACATTTGATATAATCTGAAAAACTGTTGAACAATGTAACATAATTCACATTATTTTGATGGACTAAAACATCATGTCATGGTTTCAAGCTAACTGATCCACTAAATTAAGATGCTGCTGCATAGATATAGTAAAATAGTCTGTGGGCCAGACCCCCTTACCGTGCACCCCCTCCCTCCCCCTCCCCCCACATCCCTATAAATTGCATATCGTTGTGTTCCTTGTGACAATTTATTAAAAAAAAGCCAATGTTCCCACAAAAAAAAGTGAACGAACTGCCCCAAAATGGCGTCCAAACATGGCGGATTGACGACTTTGACTTTAGTTAGTTTTTTTGTTACTGAGAATCAGCATTTGGCTTAATTTCATCGTAGTTGGTCTTTTATTAAAGCTAGATAGTCAGAGAATAATAAAACATGAAAAAATATTAAAACTAATTGGCTTAGGCATTAAAAAAAATCGGTAAAGTCAATCTTTTTTACAAAAAAATTTTCAAATTGAAAATCAGGCGTCGTTTGTAATTAAACGGTCAACAATAATGCAAAACAAGCTGAAATAAAACTTCTGGATAATACATTTCTCTTTCTAAAACACTGATTACTTTTTAAAATATTTGAAGTAGTTCCGTAGAAAATGTACTTAAGCGTAGCAATGAAGAAGCGGCTACTGGCGTAGGTGCCTTCAGGCCTCTACCACTCCACTCAGTACTCATAAATGGCTTAGTTATAGTGCTATAATAACGTTTTTGTTATATTATATAGATTGTATTAACGAATAAATATTAATACAATAATTTAATTGTCAAAAAAATATATTTTTTTAAATTTATTATTTTTTAAAAATTTATTATCATTTATTTTTTTAAATTTAACTTCCTTTATTCTATACGGAGGTCGCTTAAGAAGGCCTCTATTATAAAAAATATATAATTATAATAATAAAACTTAATTCAAAAATACTTTGCAGAATATCCTGAATTTTTTATTTAATATTTGCAATTTAACATTTTGATTTATATATTTACTGATTCTTACAGGTAATTTAAATTGTATATACTTCCCCGGAAATGAGTCATATTAATATCTGTTTTATAAACTAAAATAATATATACCTAATCTGAACTACTTTTAGGTGATAGCTCTCCTCCTGTTTACTGCAATTGTAAAAGATTTTTGAATTAATCTGAAAGGAAAACGAGCTTTTGTGAAAGACTAGTAGATATTAGATCAATCCAAAGTGTGAGGCACTAAGCAGATAGAGAACCATTTTTTTTTCTTTGTGGACTTCTCTATAACCTACCTTAAAGTGAAGACAGTCCCAATTTGCAACTTATGTTAAAATGTGCAAGTTGAGTTTCTCAATCCATATCGCTCAGACAATCGACAATATTTCTTATTTTAGCTTCTACGATTCTTGAGTAGACTTTCTTTGGTATTATAAACAGTAAGTAATCTCGAATAACATTTCCTAGTATCCCATTTCCTGTAAAGGGACAAAACTACAGTCCTTCCATTTCGGGTTACTTCATCCAGACTGTCGCCATTCGTCAGTCCCAATGTGCAACTTCAATCGCAATCTAAAATAAAGTGGTTTTCATCATTATAAACCTCGTTTACTTCCTCCAGACCTGCTTGCCAATTGCTTAGAACAAATCCTTCTTGCTGATGAAATGGTCTTCACCATAATAAACCTGCTTAATATCATCCAAACTGATCAAGCATTTTGACCCCCTTTTAACATTGGGACTGCCGAATGACGACAGTCTGGACGAAGTAACCCGAAATGCTGTGCGTACAAAGGCTACAAATGTATTAGAAATTGATATGGAAGGACTGTAGTTTTGTCCCTTTACAGGAAATGAGATACTAGGAAATGTTATTCGAGATAACTTACTGTTTATAATACCAAAGAAAGTCTACTCAAGAATCGTAGAAGCTAAAATAAGAAATATTGTCGATTGTCTGAGCGATATGGATTGAGAAACTCAACTTGCACATTTTAACATAAGTTGCAAATTGGGACTGTCTTCACTTTAAGGTAGGTTATAGAGAAGTCCACAAAGAAAAAAAAAATGGTTCTCTATCTGCTTAGTGCCTCACACTTTGGATTGATCTAATATCTACTAGTCTTTCACAAAAGCGCTGAAGGCACCTACGCCAGTAGCGTTTTTCTGCCGCTTAAGTACATTTTCTACGGAACTACTTCAAATATTTTAAAAAGTAATCAGTGTTTTAGAAAGAGAAATGTATTATCCAGAAGTTTTATTTCAGCTTGTTTTGCATTATTGTTGACCGTTTAATTACAAACGACGCCTGATTTTCAATTTGAAAATTTTTTTTGTAAAAAAGATTGACTTTACCGATTTTTTTTAATGCTTAAGCCAATTAGTTTTAATATTTTTTCATGTTTTATTATTCTCTGACTATCTAGCTTTAATAAAAGACCAACTATGATGAAATTAAGCCAAATGCTGATTCTCAGTAACAAAAAAACTAACTAAAGTCAAAGTCGTCAATCCGCCATATTTGGACGCCATTTTGGGACAGTTCGTTCACTTTTTTTGTGGGAACATTGGCTTTTTTTTTAATAAATTGTCACAAGGAACACAACGATATGCAATTTATAGGGATGTGGGGGGAGGGGGGGGAGGGAGGTGCACAGTAAGGGGGTCTGGCCCACCGTGTAAAATTTGAAGGACAAGTCTTCTGTACTTTTCAGATGGATTTTTCAGCTTGGCAAGTAATTTCCCAAGCTTTGATTATTAACACTATAACCAAATTAAAAACTTAAGGCTTTTCAATATCACAGGCAAATATTGTGGATCTGTTCGATTAATTAAGAATAGCAACCATTGATGCTAAGACCTGTCACAGGATCTCTTTTGCACTGTAACATCATTGTCAAAATTATAATGGTTCAATTTTTGATTTTGAAAATTTCAGATAAGAACATGTTTTTGATTCGACTAAATCACTGAATAATCACCAGAACAATGTCTTAAAAATCCCAAACATTTTGATTAACTAAAGCTTTAGGTTTGGTTCTCAAAATTGTCAAGCAATCTGAGAATGACTCACTAATGTGACTAATTGACTCAAAATGTAATAATAAAAGTTCAATGATGATATATCTTTTAATCTTAATATTTATCTATGTAGGATAAATATATTCTTCAGTAAACACATTCCAACTACTTCCAGAAGAGCTTATTCTGTCCCATATCTCGCAGATATCACTGCAAAATAGTTAATTATAAATTAAATCATGGAAACATTAAAGTAAAGATGGACAAAAAGAACTCTGAGTAGAAAGTACAAATTGCAAAGTATTATACTTAACTACTCGCGTGATTCGAGTACTTTAATCAATACGTGACTTGCTGATCGACGAGTACAAAAACTACTCAGCTGTTCTCGTGGGTACTTTTCATTTTCATATTTACTCAGAATTATTTTACTTTGAATACTTTTCAAAGTAATCAAGTACTTCATTTGACAAATTACAGAAGTGGAATATTTCTACTTAAGATATTTCTACTACAATTTATATTTATATTTATAATAGAACATTTCTACGGAGGAGTTTGTATGAAAGTACTGTCGTATTTGAGAATTTGCAACCGCTGTTTCTGTCACTTTTCGGATTTTACTGATATTAGGGACCACTTTATGTTATCGGGGGTGCTTTTCACGAAAATATTATCGGTTGTAAGAATAGTCAACCACACAACAAGTTTTGTAACTTTTAGGATTCAATCGATATTAGGGTCCTCTAATATGATGTCGGGGATGCTTTATGAATATACTGTCGGATTTGAGAATGGGCAACCGCGTATCATGTTTTTGTAACTTCTCAAAAAATATTTTCATAACAAGCGCCCCCTATAACATAATAGTGGACTTTTATATCAATAAATCTGAAAAGTTACAAAAATTTGATGCGCGGTTGCGCATTCTCAAATCCGACAGCATATTTATAAAAAGCGCCCCCGATAATGTAATAGTGGACCGTAATATTGATTAAGTGTGTCTTACATAATCCCAATATGGACTCCATTATTTAAGGAATTAAATAATATAATATTTACATGATTTAATAATACAAAAAATATTTTCATAACAAGCGCCCCCTATAACATAATAGTGGACTTTTACATCAATAAGTACGAAAAGTTACAAAAATTTGATGCGCGGTTGCGCATTCTCAAATCCGACAGCATATTTATAAAAAGCGCCCCCGATAATGTAATAGTGGACCGTAATATTGATTAAGTGTGTCTTACATAATCCCAATATGGACTCCATTATTTAAGGAATTAAAGAAAATATCTATTACTCATAATAATGATGGAGTAGTTGAAAAATAAAAAGTACTCAGAGGAATTTTGCTGAGTACTTTCTCTAATCGGAGATAACACCGCGAATACTTTCTGAACTAACGTATGATTAATGCAGCGTGAGTACTCTCAGTACTCACCGCGGTCGGACCGAGTACAGAAACTACTCGATACTTTTTCCTAATAAAAGTACTCAAATCATCAATGTAATCGGAGTACTGCCCATCTCTACTTAAAAGTATATTTAGATAAATGTTTTATGACATTTTTGTATAAGGATATGACATTTGTCTTGTACTATTGGAAAGGCATATATTAGAAAGGCAACTTTTAATAAATCAGCATATCAATTATTTGATTGATTTTTGTTAAATGACAAGGTCTAAGTGTGAAGAATGCTTAGGTTCACACACTATAAATGTGTAACAGCCTTTTCAAATATTACATGTACTTGAAGTAGACTAAGTAAGTGACTTATTACTTGGAGGATGTAAGTATTAATACAAAACGAATCATGGAACACATTTAACTGATAAAAGTCCCATATAAAACTAGGAAGTCATATAGTAGCTAACTTGACCTGTAAAACTTATAAAGAGATATGTAGATATATTCCATCATGAACATGATGGTCATCATGTTTAACTGATGTGTCAGAAATATTTTATGGTACATGATTGATAGATACATGATAATCATATTTTATCGCCTCTTTCAAGCATTCAGTAGCTTTGACTGTAACTATTAAAGAATTGAATCTAGTTACTAAGTGTAACTGTATAACCACAAGTTGATGAAATCTATAGTATTTTATATTTACTTACTTACTAGTAGGCCCGTGCGAAAAATTCGCACAGCATATTGTTATCAAATGCCAAATCAATAAGAAAATAAAATAATGCAACGTATCAAAAGATAAATGAATCAATTGTTACTTTATCGAGAAATATAATCGACACAGGAAACAAAATTAATTTAAATCTTCATTTTTATTTGGAACCAACATATTTACAAATTTCAATAATATTAATAAATTAATTTATTGAGCAATTTTACAAATGCCTTTTGACATATTTTGTGCAAATTTCAATAACCTATATCTTTAAGAAAAAATGACCGATTTCAGAGATTTTTTTTTTCCTTTTATAGACAATTTAGTAATATTTTATATAATCATGGGAATAACCGAGGGAAAAGTGTGTAATTTTTTAGTTATTCGCAAATAAAGTTTCTTTTCTTTCATAACTTGTTTGCCTGAATTTTCGGGTTGATTGGACTATTTTGCCCGCCTGAAGGAGAAGGAAGCCTTCGAAATTGGTGGCTCAATCTTGAGATTTGGTGAAGAATTAACGATGATATGGCTTGCCGATCAAAAACACCATCGATAAATAATATAAACTCCTCCTGTCTCGATCATCGAGCCTTCAAGTCGACAAAATGAGACATGTATCTAATACCAGTACTACAATTAACATCAGGTTGTGTGGATGCGAACCCCATGCCTTGCGTTATCTCGAAAATAGTACGTTTTTGGGCTTAAAAACGCAGGATCCGATAGTTCCGAGAGAACTACCCGGGTCTTGCTGTACGCATCAAAATCTTAAGGTCCAATTTGTCCCTTATCGATCTACAGACCTACCACCGTTCCAGTATTGAAGCCAAGGAAAATGTTTGTATCGACTTTATTTATTTTAGAAAGAAAAACAAAAGCGGAGAATACGATTCGCTAACCCCCCGTGAAATTCTGAATCCAACGGTACCCCATTCATGGTATTTGAGCATGACAGGAGCTTATATTTGGTACAAAACCGATTTCGAGCCTTACTGTAATAATATATGTGGGGATTAAATGTTACATGTTCACTTGTGTGAATTTAAATTTACTTAAAATTAAATTAAAAAAAAAAAATGATCAGCAGTTAAGTTTAAACTTACCAACACCGCTTATGAAGTTCTTTAGTATTTTCTAGTATAGCACTTAAAATGTAATAGCAAGGCACACAAACTTCTGAGTTGAACTGAACTTGATATTTTGGTACATCTTGGTTATACATTTTGTTCATTACATAGACTGGTGGGATACCAAACTTAATTCCTAGGTCAGCCTATAAAAACAATTTTTTTTTACTTTTACTTATCTATATACGAAGTATATAGTAAAGAAAACTATTGTAATTGTGAAAATTTTGGAATCCGAGTTTTCAACGGAAATTACGTTTTGACGTCTCTGGAGTCCGAATAACCTTGTCTCACTAAACGGTCTGTGTGTGTATGTGAACATTCAAACCCAAAAACGAAAAGTCATACGAAACTGAAATTCTGCATTTGAGCTTTGTATATACAAAGCTTAAATGCAGAATTTCAGTTATATATATGCAGAATAATCAACCATATGGCTGGCATGTTAAAAAACGTTTCGTTAAAATCAGCAAACCGGAAGTGGCACTTTATATCATCGATTTAAAACATTTTTACGATTTTCTCGAACATGGCTCTAACGATTTTGGTTAAACGTGGTATATCAGTGTATAATTAAATGGTATTTAATATTAGCTAGGTCTTATCTTCATTGATGTCGCCTTTCAGGGCTTAAATGCCAAATCTTCAATATATCTCCCTCTCAAAATATCTTTAATATAAATAGTGGAGAGAAGAATAGATGGGGTGATCAGTCAAATAAGAAGGCAAAAATAAATGATACTATTTATTTTGACATTAGCCGACGTTTCGACCTGAAGTTCAGGCCATCATCAGGGCTAAGAAAAGAACCAGATAACAAGGTATGAGAAACATAAGTAGTGTAGGAAAAAAAATTAAAGTAAAATTCAGTTGTTAGAATAATGACAATAGTAAGAACAAAGAGATAAATGATAATAAGCGGTACAAAGTGTGGAATGATGAAGTAAAAATAACAAAAAAAAAAAAAAGTGACAATTATTAAAATGGTAATCTTAGAATAAAAATAATTTATTTTTTTAATGTAAATAATTTAAAAAATAAACTATCTTTAATTGTTAGGAGTTGCGAAAAAATGCTAATTATAACTTTTGAAGAAACAGATTGATAGTTGAATAATATAAAAAAAAAAAGGAAAAATGTTTATATAGGTCGAAAATGAATCTCTGGAAATAATAGTCAAAAGGTATTCGTATAATAATATATTGTTGGAAATCAGAGAATTTGAGAAACAAATCTAATAAAGAGAGTCGTAGAAGATGGTGGAGAGTTACAAAAAATTATAAATAATAATTTGTGAAAACTGATATTACTTAACGGAAATCACATGTTTCCAAGGAAATTAAATAATATTTCTTAACTAAATGCAAACTTTTAAAATATTTTTTAAGTTAAAAAAAAATATACGGGAAAACGGGAAAACCCCGTATAACCTTTACGGCGAGGGGAGGACACAAAAAAAAAATTATATCAACATGTAATAATTAACTTTTGTTGTAATGATTGCTGTATAGATGAATAAGTTGCAGTCATGTCTAATTTAATTGGAGCATGACTGTTATTTCCTTCATAAAACTGTGATGCTTTATGCATATTTTTTATTTTTATTTTTCTAGCTAAACAAAAATAAAAATTAAGGGGGAAAACCTGGCGGTTGAGCGTGATCTCAGTCGAATCACCTTCGTCCACAACCGTTGACTACGAAATAGTACTTTCGCTAAACAGTATTGAACCCAAGTCCCTTCATGGGTTGTAGTGGTACAGGTATTGTTTTTTTTTGTTTGTATGTATATTAATCATAAAAGAATTTGATGAAAAACTAACGGAAAAATATGGAGAAATATTTTCTCAAATTGAAAACAACTTACAGGAAATAAGAATAGTTATATGATTATATAATATCCTTTTGAAAAGCTAAAGATTTTAGATATAATAATATTAAACATATAAAGTTTTAGAAGGTATTGGAGACTAACAAATAATAATATAAATTTTTATATTATTCAATGGAAACTGTTCCTATATAAATCGAATTTCTAGAAAAAAACTAAAAAGAATCTTTTATATATTTTAAGCTTGAGATACCTTAACTATAAAGTCAATAGAATTGTCATGCTTTTAATTGAATTGATTTATATTTATAATAAAAGCAGTCAGGCATGAGACAGCAAGCAGTTCACTTCGTTTCTACAGTTTTTTTCTCTCTAACATTAGTACCCTTCGTTATTTATTTTAAATTTTTATATATAATTTTTTAACCTATTTTCAAGGTTAATCAAGTTTGAATATTCCTTTATTGCCCGATCCACTGTCTTCTGGAATTCCTTGCTTTTTGAAATCCGCCATGCCTCTTTCTTGTCCTCATTCAAATATCATCTCTACCAATTCCTTCTCACATCCCAAAATGACGTTATACAATGAAATAAATATTGCGAATCAAATTGTTACTGAGGTGAATCGTTGTTGAAATAGTTTGAGTTTTTATATTAGAATCAACCCATAGTGTTTATTACATTTTGTTTTTTGTTTCCTGATTTCTGTTTTTCTTTTTTTTTCATAGTGGTGTTACTTTTTTATTTGATTTAATATAATTTTACTGAAGATATTGTATATATTCTTTAATTTTGTTTAATGTAATTTTTTGCCAGATCTAGTTTTTATTGTTTGTTTATAATTGTTATTCTTAAGAGACTTCGTCCCAGAATAAAGTTTATTTTCTATTATATAAATAGAAAGAATAGTAGTATTCTGAAAATTTGTTAATTTATAGAAAATTAATTTATACTCTAAGCAGAGCCGTATGTGAAAGTTGTGTGATGCACCACACTAGATTTTAGCCAAATCAGAATTTGTTTATAAACAGGTTTTAATATAAAAAAAAACTATTATTTCCTTAGAATATAATAAATAAAGTAATCTAAATGAAATTGAACTTTAGATTTCAAATTATTTTATGAGTTACCTCAGCATAAAATTCTTTGTATAAATTCCTGCACAATCTCTCAGTCACTCTAAAAGATTTGCATTGACCACATAAATCACAGGCTGTCATTAGTATTGCTATAAGAAGGTCCCTTAAAGAAATATTCAGATTAAATAATTTTATCAACTTAACTGTTTAAAAATATATATTATAACTCATACATATTTACTTGTGAGCCTTGTTTTTCGGTGAAAACGAATTGTTCATAAGAATATCTACCATTTTATACCGTGCTGAGAAATGGAGACTCAGATCTGTAGATAATATAGCCAAGTTAATAATTTTTATAACTGTTTCGTAATCGTTGGAACTCAAATCAGAAAAGATCCCACAATCCTAAAATTAATAGAAGTGATTATTCTTTGAATAAATGAATTACCGATTTAAAATATATTTACACTGCACTGCCACACTGCAAAAGCCTGCAAGGACAATTTCTATGGAAAGTAAATTTTTGAGCTTTTATAGTTTATCTTGTCCTGCCGCATATTCTGATCCTACAAAATGAAATCAGAAGAAAAGAAAGATTTCATTTCTTCTCTACGGTCTTTTGTAAAAACCTGTAATTTAAAAACCAGCAAATTGTGATTTAAAAAACTGTTCATACTAGACTGAAACGACAAGAAACCGCTCGACGTTTCCGATTACTTCAGCACTTACTGGACAAACGCCCTAAACTTCCAATTGATTACAAAAGACTCATATACTTGACTATAATAAGGTCTCTGTGGACTTACGGAGTTGAGCTATGGGACTCCACTAAACCATCGAATTCCTATCGTATCCAATCCTTACAATCCAAAATCCTTCGTAAAATCCTCAATGTTCCCTACAAATAAAACCATCCATAATGACCTGAATGTTTCTTTTGTTTCAGATCTGGCCCAATCCAGATACCTATCCTTCCATAATAAACTTCAGAACCATCCCAACCCTCTAACCTTGCTTCCTCTTCAATTCCTGATAACCCTCCGAGGCGTCTGAAAAGAAGATGGCCCCGTGATCTCCTAATGTAGGCATATCATTAGAGTGCTACCATTCTCTCTACCATTCTCTAAACTCAGCAAGTTTTCATGTCATTATACCCATTATGTTCAAATTTACTGGATGTATTTATTTAATAAAGTCGTAAATAACATTAAGAAATAATAAAAAAAAACTGTAAGTTGCAATGAAGGTTTTAGATAATATTACCGATAAAACGTAATGAAATGCTCCATGAAATGTGGTCATGTAAATACAGAATGTATAAAGTGTTGTTCGCACAGACTACGGTATCATTTAGCTTTATTAACTGGCGAAAATTAAATTTTCCTCATACGCTTTGTATTCACTTTTTTTAATTTTTAATAATGCCGGACACTTCCAGCCAGACGCCACTTGGAAAATAACCGAGTTCTCCTGCTCTGAGGCCGGCACTGCTTACGAACTAGACGAAGCAAACAAGAGAGTGGTAAGTGGGAATCTTATGTTATATAAATTATCTATAATATAAATCTTGGGAGCGGGGTAGCTCAGTGGGTGAGCACTAACTTCCAGAGCTCAATGTCCTGGGTTCGAGTCCGGCTAATAACTAGTAATTTTTCATTAACCGTGGATCGACCCTGGGATCGGGAGCCCCTCATGGGTCTCAGCTAGCCTCTATAAAGTGGGTACTCTTAATTATAAAAAATAATTAGGGGTGGGAGGGGGAGGAAACCTGGCGGTTGAGTGTGATATCGGCCCCATCACCTCCCTGCAGAACCAGGAGTACTTCCAACAGTACTTCCTCACATAGTACTGCACCCAAGACCCTTCATGGGTTTGTAGGGGTACAGGATTTTTTTTTCACAATATAAATCTTATGCAATGCTAAAAAGTAATTTGGGAATAAAACCAGCAGAAAACACAATTGAGGAAAACAGGCTACGCTAGTTTGGCCATGTCAAAAGAATGCGGGAGGAAAGAATGGCCAAAACTATATATGAAGTAAAAGTGGAAGAAAGAATGCCGAGAGGAAGGCCCAGAAAGACCTGGGAAGGTTCAGTCAGGGAGGATTTCGATAGGAGAGGAATGAACTGGAATAGATGCAGTCAGCTGGTGCAAGAACGAGATAAATGGCTCTATAAAAATTATCCTCTACACTGGTCTAACGAGAAATTGAAAATGAGGAATTGATTAAGAAGAAGAAGAAGAAGAAGAACATATATATATATATATATATATATATATATATATATATATATATATATATATATATATATATATATCGTATATATAACGGCCTTCAAAATAATCGAAACCTCCTGGACACTGCAAAATGAGCTTGACTGGAAAAAAAGCTACAATGCCGCCGAATTCCATATAGTGAGAGACAGAGAATTTACTTCATTAATTGGAAAATTTAGCACGAGACTAAAAAAAAAATTCTATTTTCACTTATCAAATCAATGAATCTTCGAAATCGCAAGAAGCTCAGAACCGAATTGATCTGCACATCAGCAGGTTACCTGGAATACCTCACCAAGCATTCGTAAATCAAACCATGTCCACATGAAGTTGAATCCTTCAAAAACGAATATTTCATAGACTACTCCAAAAAGAGGCGTATGAACCCAGTTCAAGCCGCCCCCACAGTGGGAGCCGAAAAGTGAATAATCCATGTGATCAAAAACTCGCTTTCCAGTCAAATTTTCATTTGAGTTATTCTTTCTCTACATTTTGGAAACTGGCTTTGTTTCTGTCATGCTTTGATCAATAATAACAAACTTATGGGTATTAGTAAAATAAGTTTGCTTGATTTTACCTATCTAATACCAGTTTTTCAAAGTAATTAAAAATATAGAAGTAATGGCTACGATCAACAAAGTTACATAGTTCATTACATCTTTGTCTTATTAGGCCTGCTAAAAAAATTATACCGAAAATATAATGCTCATATAACAAACAATAAGCAGTTTTTTCGTCTTCTGAAAGTTTTTAGTTTTTGTTCTTACAGGCTTTTGCAGCGTGGTTGTCGATATATTATATAGGTATGTAATATATTCTTTAATTTATTTTATTTTATTTTTTTTTATTTATTTATTTAGACATATAATATTCTGTCACGGGGACAATAATTATATTGATAAATGAACACATTCACACCGTATATACAAAAAATAAAATTAACAAAAGTAAAATAATAACTAAATAATAATAAATAAAAACTATATACAATAAAAAAAAAACCTAAATATAAGTAAATTAAAAACATAAAAATACAGTCATACCTATATACAAATACTTTAATTAAAATATTTATTTTATATTACAGGTTAATCTTAAAATAATTTACAAGGATAAGTTACAGACGTGAGACTGATTTAAATGAAACTTTTTTTGGTGATACTGGGATTAAAAAAATATCCATGTGCTATGCTTTTGCCAATGGCCCCTAGGAGCCGAGAAAAAAACTTTTTATATAATTTCAAACAAAATTTATATTATTTTTGCCTTGAATTTGAACTTACTTTGCCCGGAATTTCAGGTAATAAGGTTACTGTATACCTATCGAGTTAGAAAAAACCAACTGTTATGTTATTAAATGAGTTATATAGTAACTCAACAACTAACTTTTTTTTAATAGTGCGCCGGTATTGCGCAGAGAGCACCCAATTTGTGTCACAGGCAACAGTAGTCAAAATCCTACAAAATCAAAAAAGAAGCAACCAAATCGGTCAACTAGTTCCCGAGATAATCTTGGCACAGACAGACAGATAAAATAATAGTCGAAAATATGTTTTTTGGACTGAAACATATGATTGGACTGAAAAATATGTAATCTGAAACATATAGATCCGTCGAAAACCGCACGTCGGAAATTTGATCCGATCACAATAATTTCCTTACCTAGTCTAGGTAGGAAAGTAAAAAAAGTGTAGATTCACATAAATTACAATACATAGTAACTAATTATAAGGCACAGTAGATGAAATTGCAAACTTTGAATATCGTAAACGCCGTCAAGGAAATCATAATAAGGTAAATGTCAATATAAGAGTAATTAAAATTACTGCGCGCAACAGACAACTTTCAGTTACCGCTCTACTTTGATTAGAAACTATTTTCTGGCAATGCTGGGTTATTATAAAATTTTTGAAGTGCATTTTAAACGGAGCTAAAACTTGCAGATAGCAAATCATTAAGACCATTATAATTACAAAAAGTCTATTTATTATATCGACGGTAGGCAATAAAAATCTATTCACTCCATCTACTTTTATAAACCACACAAGTCCAGTCTCTGAGCCTTTCAGTTGACAGAATGACAAACTCCAATTTCAACATTTTTGAATAATGTCATTTTAGTGATATTTCTAGTTGAAAAAGGTATCTATATAAATAGTGAGTAAGTTGATTCCGGAGTAGGTAATTGCAGTGTTGAAATACAGAACTGCGAATAAAGGTATAAATTTTGCCACTAGAAACATCACTAAAATTTATAATAAAGAATGTTGAAATTGGAGTTAGTCATTCTGTCAACCAAAAGGTTCATATATGCCTACAGAGGTTTGAAAGTATATCTGAACATTTAAAATATAGATAATTATGGATCGTAGGACTATTAGTTATTAAACAGTTATTTTTCATTGCAAAGTTTGCTAAAATGGAATTAAGAGATTTACATTGTCTGCCATAGACAGGTCAAAAGTTGTCACACTAATTGGAAGTGAATACTGTTGGAACACCAAAACGGGAAAATTCATCAAATTATTCACTAATTTAATTGTCTAAGAGGTTACATGATGGTTTTCCGGGATAAACTGACTATAGATACCTTGGGTTTAAAAAAAAAAGAAATTCTCGATAATTTTAAGCTGTTTAAGATTTAATAAAACCATTTTTTATCCATACCACTTTAAAATGGAGATATTTATTCATAAACAAAAAAAAATTCAAAATTTCAATGGTTTTTGGAGCATTGAAAATCCACAAGATTTTTTAAGGGCGGAAAGGATTTTTTATATTCACTACATACCTACCAATAAATCACATATCACAATCCATATCCATATTGGTTCTAATATTTTTCCAAATCGGTAACCCGACGTCTAAAATCCCCTTTTTCGATCAGGACAATAAATGTTATTGTTACATAATCTTATAACGATATTATAATATTGTATATTGTATATTGTATATAATAACGATATTATAATCTTTTAAAAATTGTTTACTTATGTAGCAACTGATTGATGACTGACAGAAACATGAATGCAATATTTCAAAGCAATCGGTGAAGAACTTTCGGAGATTAGCGGTTTTAAACAAACAAACATTTACGTTTTTATTAATATAGATATATTTATATTTCATTTATATTATGTTTATTACTAATGTCAAAAAAAAAAGTTTTCATCATACCTGGACAAGCATCCTACACATACTTGCATGATGATTTTCCAAGAAGGAATCATGATATAATTTTGTCAGTTGGTGCCCAGTATCTTGAATAAACTTATTAGTTGTTCCACGGTGGTCTATGTCATGACAAAGCGCTGCTATAATCAGTGCTTTTCTCTACGAAAAAAAAAAAATGAAAATAGGATCCTTTGGTTAAATTTTTAAAAAAGTAAATAATGAATTGTTAATTGAAATTTATAGATTTGTTGTGTCTACAGTATTTACTGAGAACCATGTATTCTACTTAGCCAATTTCAAGGAGGACACAAGGTAATAGTGGAGTGAATAGCTGAAATTAAAAGATCCTGGTTCAATTAAAGTCTTGTAGAGAAGATTAATTTCTAATTCATGGCCAATCTGTTAAATCACTCACTCTTTCCAGTCTTGGAACCCATCCTTCCTACCATAGTTCATAAAGAAGTGGAGCAACCACCAATTAAGTTGATAAAATTAATAACAATATATTTTTTTTAACAAGTTGGTCTCTTATGTCCATGACCAACAACTTAACCAAAACATTTATTAATTTTTCTACAAATTTTCAAAAATTAGAACAATTTTTTGGGGGGAAATTATCGGCTTCAGAATGACAAAGAATTAATGGAGTCTGCAGCAATATCCAGGGAACCAAGGCCTCCTCCGATATTTGTAAAAATTATAAAAAATTTCCAGTTATTGTGTACACAACTAAACAAAATCTGCTCTGGCGGAAACGAATGCAAATTTTCGTACGTACCAGCTTAAGCAGAAGAGATCGTTTCGAGTGGTGATAAGAAATTTGCACTCCTCAATCCCAACTGAAGTGATAAAAGAAGAACTAACAACACTTGGTTTCAAAGTACGTCAGGTGACCAACGTTTAGAAGAAGAATAAGCTAGGAGTAAAAAATAAAGTCCCACTACCTTCATTTTTCGTTGACCTAGAGCCATCACCTGGTATCGAGAAAATATATGAAATCAAGAGATTGTAGTAGACTATCATGAAGATAGAGAAGCCATACCTCAAGAGGGAAATCGTGCAGTGCTTCTATTGCCAGACATACAGCAACAGAAAGACTTATTGTCACAAATCAGCAGTGTGCACCAAACCAATAAAAGATCCTGCAATTTGTATCCTATGCCTAGAGGGACACCAGGCGAACTACAAAGGATGCCAAATTTCAAAGAATCTCAAATCCACATACCAGAAGACCAAAATTCAAGAGAGACAACCAGACCAGATGAGACAGAGAACCTTCAACGCTAGTGAATAATAATGTATCATTCTCCGAACTACTTGGAGGTAAGAACACAACTAATAAATGTGAGACTCAGCCGCAGCAACTAACTCAACCCCAACCTTAATATCCTGCCCACTCTAACATACCTAACCATCAACAACCTCAAATTCCTCCCCCGTTCAAATGCCTCAGATCTCACCAGTTTGATGGCATCATTCCTCATTGAATTCAAATCAATGGTTACCCCACTAATATATCTGCTTACAAATCTCGTATTTAACCTCATCACCTACTCCCATTACCTACTCAAGATTTCCTACGATCAACCGCTATCGTAATCAAAACCTTTTCCTATCTGGTCATCCTTGCATCAGCATATTGCCATATTAACAGATCCATATCCAATGTTCAGTTCAGTTCGCTCCTCAACACCTTAGGTCATCACTTCATCCTGGGAGCAGTCATAAATGCCTAGCATCAAGAATGGGATTCAAGAACCACGAATTCTCGAGGTAGAACATTGCTGTCTGCACTCAATTCCCAACGTTTCAGCCTCCTTCCACCCAACTCAACTACTTACTGGCCTACTGATCCTAACCGCAATCCTCATATCCTTGATTTTTTTATCCAAAGTTGTTTATGTCTCCTCAATTATTCTCTTGCCCGTCGTGACGAACTTTCCTCAAATCATAGTGCATTAATATTTCAATTATCAATAGTTCATATTCCTAAACCTCCTCTGCCGTCCTTCATCAGAGGCCCAGTTAACTGGAAGCTCTTTCATCAAATTCTTTCCGATAAAATTGACATCAAAATAACACTGAAAACCGCCGAAGACTCTGAGTAAGGAATAATGCCGTACATTCCTTTATCACCACTATCCAACAAGCAATCAGGACTGCTTCCTCCCCAAATCTCTCCTCGAAAATTCCTAAGAAAAATAATAAGAAAATCTCAATACCTGAAAGATCTAATTCACATCAAACTCCGTACCAGAAGATTATGGCAACGTTCAAGACACCCCACCGATCGCCGCTCTTATAATTATTACAGTAAACGATTAAAGCATGAACTGGCCACCTTCAAATTCCAATCTTTCAACTCCTAATTAACTTCCATCTCTGTTCATGATAATTCCTTACGGAGGATCACCAACAAAATCCTAAAATCCCATCATATTTACCACCCCCTCCATAGATGCGATGGCCAGACACCTCTACAAAACATTCACCTCTCATCCGGAATTCAACCGCACCCATGCCACAACAGTAGAAGAATTCCTTACATCACCCATTCCACTTTCCTTACCCCCTAAAGCAGCTAATTCTTCTGAGGTCAAATATCACTCACAAAAACTTCCGCTCCGTTAATCTCCTTGATTTGACTTCCTTACCTCTCCAATCCTCCGACAATTTCCTCCTAAAGCTGTTATATTTCTCACCACTTTAGAAACTATATTTTAGAATTTTAGAAAAAATATTTCAACCACCTACTTTCCTCTTTTGTGGAAATATTCCACTATTATCCTAGTTTCAAAACCAGACAACCCTCCCAACACCCCGAAGTCCTACAGACCAATTAGCTTACTTCCAATCCTTTTAAAAATCTTTAAAAAGATCCTAGCATTTACAGAACCCCAAAATCTTCCTCCCGATCAGTTCGGATATTGTTCACACCACTCCACAACTCAACAAAGACTCTGAGTGGTCTATATTATTGGCTCGGGTGCATTTCTGAACATAGCTCAAGATTTTGACCGGGTATGGCACGCCGGACTTCTTTCCAAGCTAATGCTCCGCTCCTACTTCTCTGACCGCACCTCTCGACTTCGCTGTGGTACAGAATTCTTCAATTCTTACCCAGTTGAAGCTGATGTTCCTCAAGGTAGCGTCTTGGACCCCGTCCTTTATATCCTTTTTGTCGCTGATATTCCTGTCCATCCCGATACCTTCCTGGCAACATTTGCTGATAACACAGCCATTCTATCATCCAACTCAGATCCCGAAATAGCATCCTTGAATCTGCAATGACATCTCACTTCTCACTGATAAATGGCGGATCAAAGTAAACGAATCCAATTGCAAACACATTACCTTTACGCTCCCACGCAGATCTTGTCCACCAGTCCACTTTAATTCCATCCAGTTTCTTTTTTCATACACAGTCCGGTATTTGGCTTTCTCTTAGACCGAAAAATAATGTGGAACCCACATACTAGACTTAAAAGTCAAGAACTTAACAGACGATACGGCCAATTATATAGACTACTAAGTAGAAAATCTCAACTTTCAATTGACAACAAATTACTAATGTACAAGACAACCCTGAAACCTATTTGGACCTTCGGACTTGAATTTTGGGAGACAGTAAAATTTTCTAACATCAAACGCATCCAATCCTATCAGTCCAAAGTCCTCCAAACAATAGTCTATGCTCTGTTCTATGTTACTAACAAAACTCTGCATCATGACCTTAATATCCCATTTGTCCTAGACCTTATCCCAGAAAATTTTTCCAAATTCCATCAGAACCTTACAAATCATCCAAATCCCCTTGCACAATCCCTATCTAGTTCCATTAATCCCTACAGTCCTCCTCGAAGGTTGAAGCGGCAGTGGCCCAGAGATCGTTTATAGTATATATCATGGAGTTCAGGCAATGGCCAGATTCTCCACTCATGACATGAGTTTATGTGACTAAAGTGCTCCCGCTCAATTCCCATTGGCTTTAACACCAGGAATCTCTTGGAGTCCTGCTTTTCCCTCTATACTTGGAGAGAGAAGCTTGGCTTGGGGTTCCCTGCCTGATTGTATATATTGTATATAGATACGACTGTGTTTTTATGTTTTTAATTTACTTATCTTTAGGTTATTTTATTTTTATTGTACATAGTTTTTGATTATTATTTAGTTATTATTTTACTTTGTTTAGTTTTATATTTTATGTATATATGGTGTGAACGTGATTATATCTCACTATAATTATTGTCCATGTGACATATTATTATATTTCTATATAAATAAAAAAAACATTGAACATAATCCTACAGTATTCATTGATTTTTTTTCTTTTGCAAGGAGAAACAATGCATTATGATTATTATTTTTTTTGCGATACAACTCTAACAATGTAAACTGTAAATATTTGAAGGACCTCAATACAACTTGTTTTCTACTATGTTGGTAGGAAGGAAAACGAAAAGCGTAGAAAGGTAAAATCAATATTGCATTGGAGGAAAATAAATGGAACAAGTCTTCCGTCATTATCCCAACCTGAAGGAAATGAGAAAATCTTCCATGAAGCATTTTACCAATATATTTTAAATGAGTAGCGCAGAACCTTCCTCGACTTGGTCAGCGTCCAGTACAGTGGAGAAAAACCTATGGCCAAAGGGACAAATTTTCTCGGACCTCTGTCTAATATGAATTTCACATATCAAACCCAATCCCGTTCTATATAATTCAAACAATGATAATTTTATGTATATCCAATGACTTATTTTGGATCCGAATCTTAAAACTGTCTTTTGATCAATGATTCACTTTATTTTAGAGTAAATTTGAAGCTAAAAAACAAAACAAAATACGCAGGGTGGAATGGTGGAATGAATCATACAATTCTAGGCCATTTTGCTATATTTTATTATTTTTGAATATAAATACAAATTTAAACAATAGGAACATTTAGGGCATAGTAATTTAATTATTGGGAGGGGGCGAAAAGATATTCTCGTCTTCTATCTTCCATTATTATGTAGAAGGCCACGATCCCACTCCCCGATATCAGTGCCTATGCACTTAAACTATGAACTATAAAAATTAAATTTAGGCTCAATTAAAAGTGAAATTAAAGAATTTATTTAATTTTACCTCTAAGTCTGAAAATATGTCATAGTTAAGTCCCGTGATAATATATACACAATGACAAAAAATGAATGCATGTTCGAAATTGTGATAAGGAAGATTCCTATAACCATGTTTCGTTTTCAAAATGAAGTTTAACAATTTGTCAGTTGTTTTTATATCATTTTTACGAACTTGAAACACGTCTCGAAAAATATACAATGTATACATTGTCAAGTCCGACAGTTCCTCTTCTGATGGATAGTAAGTAAATCTGTAAAAAAAAAACAAAAAAAAAAAAACTAATAATAATAATAAAATGAAATAAAAATAATGATAACAATAAAATATGTATTTATAAATAGGCCGTATAGAAACGAAGCTACTAAAGTGAAACTGATCAGTCTGCGATTACCGATAATTTAGTTATGAACAGGACTCATATTTCAATGATTTAAATTTTTAAAATTGTTCTTATGGGAAAATAGATATTTGCCGATCTTCCATTATGTACTATACGAAATCCTGTAAGATATTTTTACGATATCGCACTAAAATACATTAAATTAGTGCGCCAAATGCGAGTTGTTCAAAATGCCAAAAATGAAGATTCGACTTTATTCTCTAATCTTTCTATGTTGTACAGCTACATGTCAGAGACTTGAATCAAAACAAATATATCTCAAAATGTACATAGAACTAATTTAAAATAAAATGAACCAGGTTCTATTCCCTCCAGGTGACAAGCCATAATTACTACATCTTTTATTGAACATACTATTGGAAGTATTCAATTGTATTTACTAACGTATTGAGTAATGATTTCAAATTATGTTTTGCCTCCTATGGAGTAGATCAAAGAATATATTTCTCAATTGTCTTATTTAATAAAATCATTTGTTATGTCATAATAGTGATAGGTTATTTAGTGATAAATTACACTTTTTTCCATTCACTTTGAGGTTTGTACGTTTCCAAGAACCACTCACAACTGCCCGAAGGAGATTTCTCATCCTTTATAGGCCATTGACTTATTAGCTTTTATAAGTTTCGTATCCACCTATGTATATAACATTAACAATTAAGAATTTTTATTTAAAAAAAAAATAATATTTTGTTACAATGAAGGTAATTTAAAAAAAAATCGGAGAGACCACCAAGAAGGTAAAGAACTTCTATAACAAATTATGTTGTGTAATTTAGACATATCTAGTCCAATCCAAACCTTCAAAATTGGCGAAATTCACTAATGATTTGAAATTTTTATGAAGATTTAGCGTGGTGAGTAAATTGTTGAAATGCAATCATTCATGTGCACAAAACTTACTGCATTAATTGCTGCCATCGACTAATCCTTGATAAGAAAATATAGCGTAATTCTTAGATTTTCTCGTCAATTTTCTGACGATAGAGCGATAGACAATTTTGTGAAAATAGAGAGGGAGCAAGAATATCGTTTAGTTCTCTCCTCCCCTCTTCTCAATATTTCGAAGAACAAAAATAAAATAACAATAAATGTTATAGATTAATTATTAATCTAATGAATGTATAAAATATATAAACTAAAATAAATTAATAAAATAGGAAAAGTCGACTAATCTAAGGCCTAAGGCCTAGAAAGGGGTACGCAAGTATTTTTAGTTTATATTCAAAGATAATTATATGTAGCAATCCTTGGATATATCTTTGGATTTTATGATTTATTCATATGCACATTTCCATTTTTACGTGATGATTTTATCATTGAAGAATCGAGTAATTGAGAATATAATTCATCTCACTGCTTCAAATGTTTTATAAAAAATAATAATACGTATTATATTAATGAAGAGAAGAATAGTTGGGGTGGTCAGTCAAAAAAGAAGGCAAAAATAAATGATAATATTTATTTTTACATATGATATAAGAGAGATATATTACTCAGAAATATTATGGAAAATTGAACGAAATTTAATAGAAAGTGGATGAAAAATTCAAAAGAAAAATAACTGTTGAGTAATAAGGGAGAATAATAATATGATAATATATAATAATATAATAATATGATATAATAATAATATGATATATTTTTATTTCAATTATTCTCCCTTATTACTCAACAGTTATTTTTCTTTTGAATTTTTCATCCACTTTCTATTAACTTTCGTTCAATTTTCCATAATATTTCTGAGTAATATATCTCTCGTACCTATTTAGGCTTCCAGCGCTTTAGGTCAAACTTCGTCGGATAACCGTTAGAGATGACGCCACCTACACATCTCTTCTCTCTCCCCCTCCCTTGCAACGACTTTTATTCTCCCCTGCAACACTTAAGGAGACAGGTAGTACTTCTTTTATTTATTTCTTATTTCACCTTTCTCAATTTCTTCCCTCCTTCCTTTCATTCCTTTTCTCTGTTTTTAACTCTCTATTATATTATACATTGTACATCTTGATAGACTTTACAATATCTCAATGTTCTATCTAACTACTCCATTCTCAATGTCTTAATTTTACTATTTATTTTCATTTCTTATATAACTTCATATTTCTTTTTTATGTTTTACATTTTATTCTAAGATTCCCATTGTAACACTTATGTCACCCTTTTTGATTATGCCTACTTCATCATTCCACACTTTGTAACGGTTATTATTATTTATCTCTTAGTTCTTAGTCATTATTCTAACAATTTTATTTCACTTTATATTTATTTATTTTATTTTATTTTTTTTTTACCATCACTACTTATGTTTCTCATTCCTTGTTATCTGGTTATTTTCTTAGCCCTGATGAAGGCCTGAACTTCAGGTCGAAACGTCGGCATATGTAAAATAAATATTATCATTTATTTTTGCCTTCTTTTTTGACTGACCACCCCAACTATTCTTCTCTTCATTATCCACGACAGTCAACCATTTACCAATTACGTATTATATTAAATTGCTTAGTTAACATATTTTCAAATATACTCATGCGAAAAAATGTATGTGTAAACATAAAAACAAATATATAAACATATACATACATTTATTTTATATATAGTATCATATTGTTTATTTTTTATATTTATGTGTATTTTATTAATTAGCACTCACAATTTGTATACAGAATTTAAACCCCGACATTTTCCAACTCGACCAGACTGGAAAGTGAGTGTCTATAAAAACAATTAATTTTTTTTCTAATAATAGGATTTCAATTCCATCAGAACCTTATCAATCATCCAAATCCCCTAGCCCAATCCCTATCTAGTTCCACTCATCCCTACAACCCTCCTCGAAGATTGAAGCGGCAGTGGCCTAGAGATCTTTTATAGTATTTATTTTGGAGTCCTGGCAATGGCCAGATTCTCCACTCAAGACATCAGTGTATGTGGCTAAAGCGCTTTCGCTCAAACTCCACCGGCTTTAGCACCGGTGAGGCGGTTGAGAGAGTAGCGCGGGGATTTGGGTTCCCCGCCTGATTGTATATATTGTATATAGGTGTGACTGTTTTTAATTTACTTGTATTTAGGTTATTTTATTTTATTTTTTATTGTATATAGTTTTTATTTATTATTATTTAGTTATTATTTTACTTTTGTTAATTTTATTATTTCTTTTTTTTTGTATCTACGGTGTGAATGTGTTCATTTATCAATATAATTATTGTCCCTGTGACAGAATATTATATGTCTAAATAAAAAAAAAATAAAAAAAAATAATAGGGTAAAAGAAACACTATTGTAAAAGTTTATCAGATTTTTATTCGATCTTCCCACTTCATCTCGCGAATGATGTTGAAATGAAGGTGTGAATGAAAGTTTGCATGGATGAGTTTTAACATGGTTCAAACTATTTTCCAACTGTTTAGAAAAAGGCTAAAAGAAATATGAGTGTGATAATTTTCCGAATTGCTATTCGCTTTTCTTCTAGTATGTAGTGAATGGGTGATCGGCATTCGTCGTACAAATAATTTTCAGATTATTTAGAAGCACAGCCGAACCTACAGGGCATAGGGACTTACGGTCCTAAGTCCTTCTTCCCCCCCCCCAAAATATGACTAAAAATTATATATAAAATTATTATTGTTCATGTAATTGTATCTTTCATAAAAATAAATGATATGAAGAATATTGATCTATCGAAAAATTCGCATGAAATGAATGAAATATCATCACAGAAATATCGGTGCAGCTTAACCGAACTGAATGATACTTAATGGAGATTAAAAGTTTGAGAATGTTCATCGATATGCGTTCAAGTATTTGTTCAATATCAATTTAAAGTTATATTAATAATATTGTACAATATATATATATATATATCGTGTAAAAAATATTTTTCTCGCTATATTTTGTATCTGACCTTGGTTTGAAAAGATTATAAGTAATAGATAAAATAACATTATTATTTCTTCTGATTTACCTTTAAAATTAAATTTATTTTTAGTTTAAAAAGTTCTAATTTCATTCACACTTTTGACATAGTAATTTCATCTCATTTTGTTTATGTCAATGTTTTAACTGCATTTCTTCATATTTTATATAAAGTCAGAGGTTAAGGATTTTTTTATTATCAAACCAACTCCAAAATTTTTATTCGCACATCTATAAAACAAATTTAAATCAAATTATCATTAGTCACTTTCGAGAAGATAGTATAAGTGAGTGAAACCTATGATATAAAGTGCCGCTTCCAGGCGATTTTGACGAAAAAGGTGCTTTAACATCCTAAATTAAATACGTAATTGAAGTTTCTGGCTACTTTTCGTTTTTGAGCTAGTCTGTTCACATTCACGCCGACACAGACACAAGCTGAGTTATTTGGACTCGTTAAAATTGAAAACTCAGATTCAAATTTTTTTATGGTTACAATATTTTATCTTATTATATATTACATTCATAGCTAAGTGAAAGGCATATTCAAATCAAAAAGTTTAATTAATTTAAACGAAATCATTTTACTTACTTGAAAAAATCAGGGGTACATTTAAATTGGCCATTTTATATTTTACAAGTTCTAAATCGTGGGAGCACGGAATCATGTGACGTAGCAGGGTCCGGCTTTGGTTTTCACACATAGCGAACTGTAATAACAATAATTTAATTTAATTTATTTATGTTTAATATGATAATGATTATATTTGTCATAATACCATATTAGTAGTTAGAATGTTCTTTTAATTTCTTCTTGACTAAAATTAGTCGCTGATTATTTTTATTGAAAATGATTTGACTATTCAATTTAATTCTGTTAAGTGAACGGATGATTTTATCATTAAATTTAAAAGAATAATACAAAGACATTAATAACAGTAACTTTTCATTCAGTAATAAATGCTCGTTAAAATGTCTGATTCATTTTAAGGAAATAATTATAGAAATATCGCTGCGCTGAAACCTCGCCTTCGCCATCTTTGTTTCAATGAGTGACAACAGAACATAAAAATTACCTCTATAAATTAAATACTGGATCCGCAACTGTTCTGCTTAACACGTATTCACCGGTTACTTTTTACACCGCCATTCACAAAATACCGGCATCTCTTTATCTCGGTTTGGTAAAAATTAGAAATAGAATTAAAAGAACAAGTATCAATTATTTTCTGTAATATACAAATTGACGAATTTTCTTCGTTTGCCAATTGGTGATTATTTGCGAAATGACGAATTTCCTCATTAATTTTCTCTCATTTAGATGGATAGATAGATAGATAGAAAGTAAACTTTATTCTGGGACAAGGTCCCTTATGAATAACAGACACTAGCGGATCCAGGATTTAATTTTGGGGGGGGCTTCAGCCCGGAAGCTTTTTTTTCATATATAAAACGATAATTACTTTAGAAAAACAGAAATATACTAACTACCTATATGAAATGGTGTTTAAGTGATTCTTTAAGTCCTATTACATGTAATTAAACGAGCAATAATGCTATAAGACTTAATGTTTTAACATTTTTTACCATAAAACATGAATACATTTTACCATTTTGGGGGGGGGGGGCTTCAGCCCGAAAGCCTTCCCCGTAAATCCGCCTGTGATAACAGATATGAAAAAAATAAATAAAAACTACATCTGGCCAAAAATTACATTAGTCAATATTAAAGAATATATAGTATCTTCAGTAGAATTAAATTAAAACAAGTAAAAATAACACCATTTTGAAAAAAAAAAACGTAATAAAAAAACATTTAAATAGAAAGAGAACAAAATAAAATAAACATGGGCTGATTTTTAAAATTAAAACTATCAATTTTAACAACCATTCACTTCAGTCAAAATCTGTTACGCAATATTTATTTCATTGTATAACGTCATTTTGGGATGTGAGAAGGAATTGGTAGAGATGATATTTAAATGAGGACAAGGAAGAGGCATGGCGGATATCAGAAGGCAAGGAATTCCAGAAGGCAGTGGATCGGAAAACTTTTTTGCTTCTTCTCTTAAAGATAGGGGTAATGTGACCAACTTTCCACTTTTCCGGTACTTCATCTTTAGTTATACAGTAAGACATATACTTTAAAGAGATTGAATAAGTTCTTTCGGTTCATTTTATTACCTCTATTGGAATATCACCTGAACCAGCAGAGTTATGGTTTTTCATTCCTTTCAGAGCAAGAGTTATTTCTTCAACTGATATGGTGGAGTAATAGCAGCCAATCTCTTTTTCTTGAGTAGACCTGAAGAATACTGAATACTCGAAAATCGAAAGTCAGCCGACGATAATCCTCTAGCCTTGACAATACCTTTATCTTTCAAGATTCAAGAGACCGAAACATCTGTTTTGGTATAGACTGTAGCGCCTCATTGAATGTACTGATTTTAATGAAGTAAGCATAAAGTCTTCTCCGCGATGCCTTTTAAATATATGTATAGAATATATTTCACCGAAAAGTACTTCTCTTTCAATAAAGCGAGCGAAATACCAGTGTCGTTTAGACTGTAGCGCCTGAACGGATATTAATGAAACTTGGCTAAAGTATTCTCCTCGAAGCCCTTTAAATTTATTTATTTGACATATTTCAAGCTGGAAAAAGGTTACGAGAGGTGGTGAAATTAGATTTCCAAATAAATCAAATGTGAACACTTTTTCTAATAGGACTCTATCGACAGCCACGCTGCAAAAGCATGCAAGAACAAACACTAAAAATATACAGGAGCTTAAAAAAAAAAACTGCTTAATTTTTTTCTATGGTCATTATTGTTTTGGCTTAATTTTTTTCTCAGGCGAAGATGAAATGCTCTATGTAACTTTTTTGATCGTATTTATGCCACATAATATTTTAGAGCCAATTCTTCTAACTTATAGCTTTTTGATTATTTTAAAAAACAGGTACAAATATTAGTTAGGTAAAAACAATCAAATTTATTGTACCAACACCCACAACAACTTTGTTAATATTGATCAAATCATGACAGCAACAAAGTCAGTTTCCAAAATGTAGAGAAACAATATTTCAGATGAAAATTTGTAAAACATTTGACTGGAAAGCGAGTGTTCGATCGGCTGGTATATGGGTCCCCCATTTTGGAGTAGTCTATGAAAGTTTGTTTTTAAACTACACAACTTCATATGGACACGGTTTAATTCAAGAATGTTTGATACGGTCTAGGTAACCTGTTGATGTGTGAAAACACTTCGTTTCATTTTCATTTTCATTCGTTGCGATTTTGAAGATTTGAAAAGATGAAACTAGAGTTCTTTTTGAAATCACTTTTCATCCTGGGCCTCATTTAAATATAATTTATCTATCCATCTCATCAAGGACAAAATTGATCAGAAAAGCTCGAAACCTCATTTTCCTAAGAAATTGTCCTTAAAGGCTTTTGAAGTGTGGCTGTCCTTATATTGGATGTAAAAACAACATAAATGGTTCAACATAGATATTTTACGATACTAATTTAATGTTTCATATTTACAATCATAGGATCTGTCCCTGGCCATGCTTGTTGGAACAGATCCATTAAAAGTGAAATCGCGTTTGATACAACGGTATTTCGAAAACGACTTCTAACCAAGATTTTATTCTCAAATGAAAAATTATAGATCTCGAAATATAGGTGATAGTGTAACCAATGAAAATTATGTGGAACTATACTGATCTAACTTGGCATACAATTTTATTTATTATTTTTATTTTAAGAAAACTTACCGTTCTTTGTTTTTTCAAATATAATCTGTTAAAGCGGAGGCCTGCAACACAATGGATACCACACCTGGTGGCTTCATCTATGTCAAAATCACTAAAAGTATCTCCGTCTTTCTTATTAATAAGTTCTACAACTCCTGTAATTGTTATAAATCGTTATTTTCACACTCGTTAAGTTTATAGCATTTTATAATTCATGATACCTAACCTCTTGTTTTTGTTTTTATACCAATAGGAACACACAGATAAGAAACTACGCCTCTGAAGTTATATTTAAGCGGTTCGTCAAGCAATGCTATTTCATCCCTTGACATACTTTTACTGGTATGATTATCGATAATCGTTTTAATGAAATCTCCCTCTTTTAATCTGTAAATACATGTAACAATTACTTCAATTTGTCAAAGTTTATATATAAACATATATGCCTGATATGTTACAACTAATATTTCAAGAATTTTTTTTTTTTGCTAATTTATTTATTTATGTATTAGCCAATATGCCAAAACTTAACAAAAGACTGAAATATTGAATACTTTAACATCGGTTACATTTATTTCGATTGCCCAGTGTATGCTAGTTTAGTAATTTAATAAGTTAATCTATCGAGAAAAAAAAATACAAATAATAATTAATATTCTTCTCATTAGCCCTTTTTCCTTTTACGGAAAAGATTTTATGTATCACTCCGAATACAACTCCCATGGAAAATATCTATACAATTATCTTTTATCTCATTCCATCATGTCGACACAAACGTGGTTATTGAGGTATCTTATTTCACATCATATTTTTGTTTGTTTTGCTTAATGCTCTCGGTGCCCTGACTCATTGGTGAACCTCCATTCATGCATAGTATAAGGTGTCATCAACAACAATACACAGAAGGCGTAGATCTTGAGAAATATTTTCTATTGATAAACTGAGCACACTCTCTAATGCCGAATGTCCAATCCGGAATCAACATCTTGAATAACCTAGAGAATTATATCGTATTAAAAAAAATTAAGGCTTGAAAAAAGTGTTTTTTAAAAATCATTTTCAATAATCAACCTTCGTAATCGTCGAAGATAAAAAGTTAATCCCTCCCAGAATTTGAGGATTTACGATCCAATATTTGTAAAATCCGAAAATCGAATAAAAATAAAACCATCCGTTCGATATATGCGGTTTTTCTCCTAGATTACCGGCTCCTATATTGGAACACCGGTTGTTTTGACAATTGGCATCTCAAAAATTAGAGGTAACCAAGGATGATCTCCGAAATTCGACATTAGCTTCAGTCAACGCTGGATGGAAAATTAGTCGATGAATTATAACATAGTGGCCGTGCACTCCTACCTCCCTTCAACATCCCTATAAACTGTGTTCCTTGCAACTAATAATTAAAAAAAAAAAACCAATGTTCCCACACAACAAATGATCCTCACTGTCCCAAAATGGCGTCCAAACATGGACTGACTAATTTGACTTGAGTTTGATTTTTTTGTCACTGATATTCAGCGTTTTGCTCAATTTTCCCATAATTTTATGAAAGCTGGATAGTCAGAAAATAATAAAACCTGATTATTTTTTTTTAACTTTTATTTATTAGTCCGCGCACCTGGCAAAGCAAGGATCGGCAATCAGTAGATGTGCTGGCATCATCGCGATAAAAAAATAACAATAATAATAAATTAAATAAAAATATAAAATGGACTTAACAGGCATGAGGAAAACCAATACCCAAATGTGCCCCTTCCATTGTGTTTATATACTAAAACATTATGTAAGTAGATCCCTCATCCTGACCCTTTATAAGGTCAGAATATATTAGAAATATTATTTTGCAGATGTTCTATTTATGCACATTTTGCATTATTGTTGGCCGTTTAATTACAAACGACGCTTGATTTTCAACTTGAAAATTTTGTTGTTAAAATTTTTAACTTTACTGGTGTTTTTGATTGCCTAAGCCAATTGTTTTTTAATATTTCTTCATGTTTTATTATTTTCTGACTACCCAGCTTTAATAAAAGACCAACTATGAGGAAATTAAGCCAAGCGCTGATTCTCAGTTACCAAAAAACTAACTAAAGTCAAAGTCGTCAATCCGCCATCTTTGGACGCCATTTTAGAGTAGTGCGTTCACTTTTTTTTGTGGGAACATTGGCATTTTTTTAATAAATAGTTACAAGAAACACAACGATATGCAATTTATAGGGATGTTGGAGGGAGGAATGCACGATAGGGGGGGGGGGTCTGGCCCACCATCTAAGGATTACTCAAGACCTCCAATCTGCCATAGATAAACAGAAAATCTCCATCCTAATTCTTTTTGACTTTTCCAAGGCGTTTGATTCCGTTAATCATGAGATCCTTCTTTCCAAACTCCAAAGCCTGCCCATGTCAAATAGCGTCCTAAAATGGTTCCTATCCTTCTTATCCAATCTATCTCAGACAGTTACAATTCCGGACAAACCTCCGTCATCATCACTTCAATTAACGCGAGGTGTTCCTCAGGGTTCCTCAGTCTCCCCGACCCTTTTCTCCATCTATATTAGTGACCTTCCTAACGCCATTCAATACTCCAATTACCACCTATATGCCGATGATTTCCAAATATACCAATCATTCCAACCTTCTGAGATGCCTGAGGCTGCTCGGAGGCTACAAGAGGACATCGACTGCATCAACAGATGGGCAGAAATAAATGAATTAAAGCTGAATGCAGATAAAACCAAGGCTATTATCATCGGGTCCAGACATCTCATCAGCTCCCTTCCTTACTTTCCTCTACTTTACCTCAATAACCATCCCATCCATTTTTTCCCTACAGTCAAAATCTAGGAGTAACCTTTGACCAGAACCTCTCCTGGAATAATCATATCTCCCAGATTACCCGAAAATCCATAACTGCCCTTAAACAACTCCTAAGATTCCGTGATTGTATTCCTCTAAAAACCAGACAGCTCCTTGTAACCTCCCTTGTATTCCCCCACTTCGACTACGGCTGCTTGGTGTATGGAGGGCTATCTGCCAGGCTGGAAATGAGACTAAAAAGACTCATGAATTGTTTCATAAGATACATTTTCGGGATCCCCAGACGTTCACATGTTTCACTATGGTACACCGAGTTGAAGTGGCTTTATCCTACTTCCCGACGACAATTCCTTCTTGGCGTTTTCCTTTTCCAAGTCTTCAGAACCAAAAACCCTCCCTACATCCTGGAACTCCTTACTCTGCGCTCCTCTATCCACTCTCTCAATACTAGGTCTCAACCTATAGACTTATATATTCCCTCCCATAAAACTTCCTCCTTCAGCAAATCCTTCGTCATTCGTGCTGCTTCCTTATGGAACTCACTTCCTACCCCAATGCGTCAATCCTCATCCACAAATTCCTTCAAACAACTCCTGTTCCAACACCTACTCCACATTCAAACTTCCCCTGACATGTAAAATTACTTGCATCTATACAATGTTTAATTTCAATCCATTGCACAATTGAAGTAACAATTAACAATAAATTAGTTGGTATTTTTATTATGTTAGACTAAGATACATAAATTTGTAACTCTGTTATTATTTTTAGGGGACAGTAGTCCCAGAATAAAATTATTTTTTCATTTCATTTCATTTCATGTAGTTGTTATTCACGTACAATGGTGCTTGGGTAATTAGTCGTAGTATCTTAGAATGGACAGTTTGAAGTATTTTTATGTATGTTGGTTTTGCAATTGCATATATTTTAGATCATAAGTCATGAGAGGTTTAATTATACATGTATAGATACTTCGTTTCTGTTTAGCTTTTAATTTGGAATATTCTTAATTATTATTATTATTATCTCGGCGCAACAACCCGTTGTGTATTTGTTGGTGAAATTGTTTTGGGCATTAAATCATTATACTAATATTTTTTCGTTAATACCTTCAGAACAACATACGAAAATGATCATTATAGCACTATAACTATACCATTTATGAGTACTGAATGATCTGGCATAATACTCGTGGCAGTACCGCTTTTCCGCAAATCAAGTGCGTTTTCTAAGAAACTATTTCAAATATTTTAAAAGGTAACCAATGATTTAGGAAGAGGAATTTTTTCTACAGATGCTATATTTACACAATTTTTTCGTTTTTGTTGGCGGTTCAATTACAAACGACAATTAAATTACAACATTTATTTGGACCTTGAAAAAAATCGACTTTGTTTTAATGAATGAATGAATAAAAAAAATGCTTTTTTTTTACTAACGTCCCCTAGAATAATAATAACATGGTACAAGACATTGGTTCATTTGTTAGTGTATTTTATTGCCTAAGTCAATGATTTTGTAATTTTATTTCATGTTTGATAATTTTCTGACAATTTAGCTTTAATAAAAGGCCAATAATGATAAAAATTAAGCCAAAATCTGTTTCTCAGTGACCAAAAAAAAAACGAACTTAAATCAAATTAGTCGATCCGCCATGTTTGGACGCCATTTTGGGACGGAGCGGCCTCTTTGGTTTGTCGGATTATTGACTTCTTTTTAATTAATAGTTGCAAAGAACCCAACGATATGTAATTAATAGAAATGTGGAACGGTGCACGGTGGAGGTGTGGAGGGAGGGGTCTTTACATTTTTTTATTTTTTCCATTTCTTTCTCTGACTAACTCAATATTATATAATACAATAATCAATAACCTTTTAAAATATTTTTAATAGTACGTAACAATAAACAAAAAAGCTTAAATTAGGAATTGTTACGAGTTAAGTATTGTCAATGAAAAACAACGGTTACTGCACAAATGAACTTTTTTTCGCTAAGCAACTTCAGTAAATATAACTCACATATACTCAGGACAGCATTGCCATTTATCGTTTCCCACTTGTGCTCGTAATCTGCACCTAAATTCTTCACCTTTGATTACTTCATAATAGTTTACTTTCTCCATAGGTACAGTGTTTAATAGTACTTTCTGGATCAAAATAATTAAATCATTATTAATGAAAAAGGATCGAATGTCAAAAATAAAATTATCATGCAAGGCCAGAACTATAATTGTTCCCTAATTACTAATTTTATTTATTGAATGAAGGGTTAAATAATAAAAAAATACAAATAAATATTTCCGTTGAACCACCTAGTCTTTAGGATATTACTTCAATGAAATGAAGATCAATAACTTAATACATTGACCTAATGAGTTTATTCGAAATCGTTAGAACCGTTTTCGAGAAAAATGTTTAAAATAAATTATATAAACAGGCACTTAGCCGATTTTGATGAAAATGTTGCTTCATCCCAGCCATATACAAGTTATCTTATCAAATGATCAGACAGACTGAAAAGGGTTTTAACCACAGTCAACTGGTTTGTTGTGATTTTTCTCACACTTCATTAGCTGGCTTGGTAGAACAAAATATTTTTAAAAAAATATTGTTTTGACCGGATATCCAAATAATCCTTTCAGAATTGGTAATTGGTTGACTGTCGTGGATAATGAAGAGAAGAATAGTTGGGGTGCTCAGTCAAAAAAGGAAGGCAAAAAATAAATTATAATATTTATTTTTTAAATATGCCGACGTTTCGACCTGAAGTTCAGGCCTTCATCAGGGCTAAGAAAATAACCAGATAACAAGGTATGAGAAACATAAGTAATGATTTCTTACAGAAAGAAATAAAAGAAGTACTACCTTTCTCTTTAAGTGTCAAGGGGAGAATAAAGTCGTTACAAGGGAGGGAGAGAGAGAACGACTTTGTAACGACTTTATTCTCCCCTTGACACTTAAGGAGAAAGGTAGTACTTCTTTTATTTCTTTCTTATTTCAGCTTTCTCAATTTCTTCCCTCCTTCCTTTCATTCCTTTTCTCTGTTGTTAACTCTTTATTATATTATACATTGTCTGTACATCTTGATAGACTTAACAATATCTCAATTTTCTATCTAACTACTCCATTCTCAATGTTTTAATTTTACTATTTATTTTATTTTCATTTCTTATATAACTTTATATTTCTTTTTTATGTTTTTACATTTTATCCTAAGATTCCCAATGTAACACTTTTGTCACCCCTTTTTGATTATGCCTACTTCATCATTCCACACTATGTAACAGTTTTTATTATTTATCTCTTAGTTCTTAGTCATTATTCTAACAATTTCATTTTACTTTATATCTATCTATTTTATTTTTCTAATAATTTTTTTTTTTTAATTTTATTTTCTCATTTTTTATTATCTTTTTTACCATCATTACTTATGTTTCTCATACCTTGTTATCTGGTTATTTTCTTAGCCCTGATGAAGGCCTGAACTTCAGGTCGAAACGTCGGCATATGTAAAAAATAAATATTATAATTTATTTTTTGCCTTCCTTTTTTGACTGAGCACCCCAACTATTCTTCTCTTCATAATCCTTTCAGTTTATTTCAAATAATCCTTTCAGTTTATTTCATTCATATCAATATAATGGAGATACGTGCATCGAATGGAACGATCCTGTATGGATTAGAGGTTAATATGTCATATCTTACATAATTACTCACCAAAATATCAGATATCAAAATTTCTGGATCTGCATGTGAGACCTGAAATCGTTCTAAGGCACTAAACAATGATTGATATGTCTCAACACTCGGTCCAAATTGAACTGGTTTCGTTATGATAGATTGTCCTAACCATGCGACCATGCATGAACACATGCTAGTTTCGGCCTAAAAGTTTTTAATCGTTAATCTATGGTGAAAAAAATATGCAATTCAATCTACAACACTGAAAATACAGACCACTAACTCGATTAAATTTCTTGTCTGGAGAGATTTTACCAAATTCATACACAGCTTTGCAATTTCCATCATCAGTTAACATAGGAATGCTTATCAAATGTATTGGTTTGAGCCCTGTGGTAGAGTTTTCATTCACTAATTTCAACTAGTTGTATTTTATAGTAACTAATATTTACAACTTAAAAAAACAAAAAAAGCACCTCCTCTTCCTGTTCCAAGAGGATACAATTTATGGTAATCTGATTTTTCGTCAAGAATTAAAGTTTCTCCACAAAAGGCAACATACGCTGAAACTACTGTTCCTGGTCCTAAAAAAAAAATTATCAAAACAAATATCTGTTGTTGTTTGATCAGATTGTACCTCAAAGAAGTGGTTCGCTGTTCTGACAAGAAATGGCATTAAATAGTGATAACCATTAATTAAACTCCAACGTTTTTACTCACATCTTTAACCTTTATTGTTTCCATTCTATATTTTCTATATTTACATTTGCATCAGTTACAATTTTTATTTATTTATTTTTATCTATCCATAGTTTCAACTTTATCTTGCGTGTGATCTTACAGATCTTGTGTTACATTCGCCCTATTTATGGTGAATTTCGTTGTGGATTTGATTATGGTGTTAAATAGGAAGTACGCTGGTATACCTGATTGATGTGGTTTTGATCCAAGGGTCATCTTGCAGTGACACTCAGGAATCAGTATTCTAGTATCTAGTCTGCTTATTGTTACATGGAGCGACAAGTAGCAATTTGAAAACTCTAAGGAATGTAAAATAAGTGGATGCAAAAAATTACCAACTGGCCATGCAGCACCCATCGATGGATAACCGTGTTTGTAGAGTAACCTACAAATCTTCTCGTCTTCTACAATGTACACATCGGCAACTAAAATAAATAAATTAAATATCAAAAATGTATATTTATGTTCACTGAATACTGGCCCATGTATTTAAGGCCAATGAATAAACATTTCTTTGGTTCATTCTAAATCGAGCCTATAATAAATAATTTATTTTAAAAAATAAATTTAAGTTATTGATGTCAATGAACGCATGTACATTTTTGCCCCCGAACACAGGCGGATCTACGGGGAGGGGGGCTTTCGGGCTGAAGCTACACATTTCAAGAACCATTTAAACACCATTTCATATCGGTAGTTAATTTCTTTTTTTTTTTTTCAAATTAAGTATCGTTATATGTATATGAAAAAAAAATCTTTCGGGCTGAAGCCTCCCCCCTCCCCAAATTAAATCCTGGATCCGCTAGTGCCTCCGAACTTCATAGAATCCGCACAGAACAATTATTTATTTGTAACAATCAATAGGGTAATATTAATATAGTTATTCGAAAAAATAACATTACATTTAGGTTATAATGAGTATTTTAAAATAATATCTTCATTATTTAGTAAAGGGAATACGACTAATCTGAAGTGTTTTTTTTTTTTACTCCGCTGCCGCTAATCACTTTTCAATAATAATATATGATTTCATTGTCACCGTTTACATACTTGTTAATAATTATCGCTCGTAGTTTAATCTCACTTTAATACAAAGAAATAAGTAGGTGCATGTTTTTTTACCAATACCAAATAAAATTGACAACATTGAACGTATTTATTTGAAATTCATATAAAAATGAAAGGCGAGCTACAAAAAAAATCTATTTTTTGTCATGCAGGACAATTGCAGCAAATAATTACAAAAGATTAATTTTTAATTTTTTATTTAAAAACTCCTGAACGTACACAATAAATAACCCAATCGGTAACAGGGAAAACAATTTAAGCCTAGATTTATATGTTTTTATTGAAAAGTAAATTGCGGTAGCGAAGAAAAAGACTCCTAATCTGTTGCGATTATATTATAAATTTTAATTTAAACATTTAAAAATGATATCCAATTTCTAGTAGGAAAAGTGATGTATATCTATCTATACAGAGAGTGAGTAAATTGCTTGCAGTGTTGAAATGTGAATAAATTTTGCTACTAGAAACATCAGGAAAATTAATAATAAAGAATGTTGAAATTGGGGTTAATCATTTTGTCAACCCAAAGGCTCATATATGCCTAGAGAGGCTTGAAAGTATATCTGAATATTTAATATGGATTGTAGAACTATTAGTTATTAAACTGTTATTTTCCATTGTTAAGTTTACTAAAATGAAATTACGAGATTTTCATTACCTGCCATGAATAGGTCAAAACTTGTCACACTAATTTTAAGTGGATAGTATTGGGATTTCACAAAGGGAAAGTTCATCATATTATTGACTAATTTAATTTTCTAAAAGGCTACTTGATGATTATTATATTTAAAAAAAAAATTAAAATACTTTCAGCTTTGATATATTCTTTGATGAGAAGAGCTCCTTCACTTAAAAATTTGAGAAAGGTTGTTTTTTCTTTTCTATTTCCATTGATTTTCAAAAGGCGTATTTTCCGTACAGATGGTTTCTCAATTAGTTTCCCAGTGTTTGACTGTCCTTGTTGTAATAAATAACTGATATTTTGCCATTTTTCTAGTTCGACTTCATTGATTTTTTCCGGTAAATCCTTTCTAATAGCATCGACAGTAAAATGCCGCGACCCAGGCATTAGTTATATTTCAGTACTAAAATTAAATCTATTTACAAAATTTATCTACTTTAGATATTTAAAAAGCAGTACATAACCAATGTTTATATGCTAATAACTTTTAAAAATAAAAAAAAATCATGTGATGAAATTAATGACATGAAGCTGTTTGGAATATATTGGATATGTTGTCTGGTTATGATTATAGTTATAAAACGTAATTATAAATGAGCTTTTCAGTTGACAGAATGAACGGTACTAGTTCACAATTGTTCCGCACGGATTACGCGTGGTTCACAATCACTTCGATCACTTCGATTTGTAGGCTATAGTACAAAAAAAAAAGTATTTATTTTCGAGAAAGGAATTAACGTATTTGGGAAACAACTGACGAAGAATATGTAATAATGTAAAGTACTTAAATGACGGGAAAGTTAATAGTAACTGACCCAAGAGATCGGTCGCCTTCGTTCTCTTTCGGAAAAACACGAACGCATTCGGGATTCCAGGAACAAGTGTGATCGAAGTGATTGTGAACCATGCGTAATCCGTGTGGAACTGTTGTGAAGTAGTACCGAATGAACTGCAATTGCAACATGTTTGAGTAAATTCATTTTAGTGATATTTTTGGTTGGAAAATTTATAATATCTGTACAGACAGTGAGTAAGTTGATTCCAGAGTGGGCGACTGCATGGTTCAGTGGCGGATCCAGGAATTTTCTCAGGGGGAGGGGGGCGCACCTCTGTACCAGATGCTTCTCCCACCCCTATCCGTTCCCCCACTACTACTCATCTCCCCCACTCCTTACCTGAGATTAGACGCTGAAAAGTCCTTTTTAAATGGTGTTAACAAAATCAAACACTATTTTAATTTAAAGTAAATTTTATCTAGTTTACAGTGAAGAAATCGTTAATTACTTAAATTAAATAGTTTTTTTGTTATCACTTCCAATTCAACAAAAAACATGGCTTACATGAAAAATCACAAAACATTAATTTCCTACTTTTCTGTTGAAAATCGAACCATTGTTTATATAACATTTTTATATTTATTGAGTTCGGCTATCACTCATTTGTATATTTCCCTCTTCTTACGAGACGCCCGAAAAAAGTATTCTTTATGAAATTAACGAACGTCAAATTATGCGTCGAACGAAAGAAAAGTACTACATATTTTTAATGAGGGATGTACAAATTATTATCGTGACCAGTATTATGAATCGCATGAATTTTTCAGGGAGATTATAGTTGCTCGAGTTCCAATGCATCCAGATCTATTGGAACTGAATAAAAACTGGGTCAGGGAGAAAACCCGTAATTTCTTGTGCTCGAATAAAAGGTTGTTCGCAATAAATGAAGTTCATATTTTTTAAAATACGTTTTCCTCCATTATGTATTTCACCTGCGAGATGTATTTCAATTGGGAGTCAGTAGGAACAAACTGCGACAGGAGCACAAGCCTTCGCATCTCACGGCGGTCCAAAAACTACATCACTCTTTTCTTTAGTTAACAAATCGGAGGCAGTGAAGACCTTATAAGTAATGGTTTCATTCATAATCTTTGTGCTTTTATGATTTGCGCCGTGAGAAACTAAATGCATGATTCACCAATTGGTTTATTTAACAAAATAAAAGTTAAATTAATTTGTTAACGCCGTATACATTCGTATCTTAATTTTTTTTTATTGTCATTTTGTCTCACCATGTTTACCCTTTTTGAATGTAAATGGAATAAATGTTGTTTTTTGTAATAGGCTGAAGAATAGTGTCCCTAAAATATATTTAACTTTGTAGTATTTATATGCTTGGGTATTATTCGCGATGTATTATCGCACTTGTATATACACACCAGCCCGGCAGTAATACCCGGTCTTAGGGATTAAGACACAAATACTGTGATATAACTGCTGGGCTGCGGTCTAAAGTCAGTCTGGAGCTAGCCTTTGATGAGATTGGATTCACGTAGTGGACAGCTACCCCCACCAGCCAGACTCACCTCACCTGGTAACATCCTAGCGCCATTTTTTGATAAAAGATGTTGGGCGCAGCTGAGTCATCGATCGATCGATAGGCTATCGATTCGATTTCCCCACCATCGACTGTTGGACACCGAGAAGGTAACCAGATTGGAAGCCGAACCTCCAACTTGGCTCGTTTTCTCGTTTTCTTCTCTCACCATTACCACAGACATTTAGTTAAATATTTTTCCTCGCTAAATTTATTTTTATTCACTAATTTTATTTTTATTGGATAAATTAATCTTTATTATTGGAAGTTTATTTTTATATATGTTTTATTATGATGGACATTTTTTTTATTTTTCATTGAGTATTTTCTTTATGTTTTTAAATCTTCTATGTATATATATTTCATATTTTTATTCCAAGTCAATAAATATTGTGAACATTTAGAAGGAGATTTTCTTTATTTACTTATCTTAATATCTTTAATTAATGTAATTATTTTATTTAATAATATTTTGTTGTGTATGAAATTTTCATGTTTTACAGGTCTCATTTTTACTCTTTTTTTCCTTTCTCCCTTCATTTTTTAATTTCACTCGAATTTTCCCCACCTTTGAGGAAACTAACCGGGGAAAGATTTGTACTTCGATTTTGAAGTACCCCTGGCCCCAACAAATATCATTATTATTATTATTATTTGTTACGGATTAAGTCCATTCCGTAACTTTTGAATAGCTGCTTTGATGGACGAGACCTCAATCCCAAAGAAGCTGCTGAGTATAGAGTCGGTTGGAAAAATAAAGGTGGACAGACCGAAACTGAGATGGAAAATTGCGTAAGTGCTGATGTCAGTATCCAGGAACTGGTGGAGGCTGCTCAGGACAGGGAACATGGAAGAAAACACTTGAGGCAGCCAAGATTATGGATTTTGGAGCTCAGGATGATGATATTCATCACATTAGAATTTTCGTCTCAAAGGATGAATTTTACCTATATTTCCCTTTTCTTTAAATAGCTGTTTTTGGATACTTTTTTATGGAATTATTTTTCTACCATCCGGAGGGGAACGGGCCTCCTGGCAGAAATTACTAGTGCTGGTCATGATAATTACTTTTTTTTAATATTACATTAGAAATTCGTCTATGAGGATGAATTTTTAATATATTTCTCTTTTCTTTAAATAGCTGCTTTTTGGAACTTTTTTCCAACCATCAGGGGAGAGAGAGGCGCGCCCCCAACTGGATCTGCTAGTACTGATCACCATAATAATAGTTTTTTTATACCACAGAAAATTCGTCTCAAAGGATGAATTTTTCCTATATTTCCTTTTCTTTGAATAAGTGTTTTTTTTTTTTCACCATCCAAGGGAAGGCGCGCCCCCTGGCTGAATTCGCTAGTGCTGGCCACGATTATATATATATATATATGTTTTTATTACACTAAGAAATTCGTGTATGAAAATGAATTTTCTCCACATTTCTCTTTTCTTTAAATGGCTGCTTTTTGTTATCTTTTATTGAAATTTTTTTTCACCTCCCAGGAGGGGGAGGGGAGGCCGCGTCCTCCGGCTGGATCCGCAAGTGATACGGTTGAAATATAGATCTGTGGTGAATAAGGTATAAAATTTCCTCCTTGAAATATCACTAAAATTAATAATCTTAACTGTTGAAATAGGAGTTGATTATTTTGTCAACAGAGAAGCACAAATATTACTTGCCATAAAAACAGTACCGGCCTAGGACATTTGGTACCCCGGGGTAATGACGTCATCTTTCCTCCAAAAATTAAATTTATTTCTTAAACTGTTTTATGTATTGAGTAATATTTGAATTTTATTTTAATAAGCGTATCTGTAATTCAGTTGCTTTATTAATAGCCTACAATTAGTTCCTCTTAAGCCTAGTCCTACACTAGTAATCATGTCTCAGTTTGTCTACGTAGACATGTCTTTAGACGAATCTGTGTTTACAGGCATGTTGCGAGACCTTAAGTCTAGTCCACACTAGTCGACATGTTGCGCGATTTAGGTCTTTGAACCATGTCTCGGTTTGTCTACGTAGACGTGTCTATAGACAAATCCACGTCTACAGACCTGTTGCGAGACCAAAAATCGCAGGTCCAAAGTTTATTATTATTATTATGCAACGTTTAGATTGTGTGACTCGTTGTCCAGAGACGAGACACGTCCTAGAGGTGGTGTATCGAAAACTATAAAAGCAGAGATTTATTTTCACCGATAGAAATATCGATACTATCGAGAGATATTTTTATCGATATAAATTTTTTTTTTAATAACCAATAATATTAAAATACCTATGAATATTTCATATTGACTTTAAGATAAATATAGATTCTCTATCAAATAGGCTTATAATCGTTATGTTTTTTTCTGTCCTCTCATTCCTTGCATTAAAGCTATTAATTAAAGGCTACAAGAGGTATTACCGGGCCAGAGAGTGAGGATGGGGGATTTATGCCAGAATAAAAACCCCCCGGCACCGGGATGGGAACTCTTATTTTTTAAAATTATTTTCTTCAAACGCGTTAGCCCACTCAGTCACTCTGCCCCCCAAAACAGGCTTATCAAAAAATATGTTATTTTCCTCTTTAAATTAATTAATAGAAATATCAATTCTTCTATCCCACTAGCGGATCCAGGATTTAATTTTGGGGGGGCTTCAGCCCGAATGATTTTTTTTTTCATATACATATAACGATAATTAATTTGAAAAAAAAATAAGAAAGAAATTAACTACTTATATGAAATGATGTTTTAAGTGGTTTTTGAAGTCCCATTAAATGTAATTCAACTAACAAGAATACGTTAAGAGATAGTTTTTAATATATTTTTATGTAAAAAATGGTTATATTTTACCATTTGGGGGGAGCTTCGGCCTGAAAGGCCTCCCCCCCCCTCCCGTAGATCCGCCTGTGTTCTATCCTCCTTATTAAAATTAATTTCCTGGCTGGTTCATGGTGAATCATCTAAATAAATGACTTCATCGAGTTTCGATTCTTTATATCCGATCCAATGATTTTTGGTTGTTCTGACCTAGCTCTAAAAAATTCTGTTTTTGAGTTTCTATTGATTTACTTTTTCCGTTAACATTCTAATTTGTTCATCTTTTTCGTCTACGGTATAATGAGCTCGATTAGAAGCAGTTCTAATTGAAGTGGTATTAGAATCATTTTTAAAACCTTACATCATGACCTTAACATCCCTTATGTCCTTGACGTTA